AACTATCTCCTCCTCGTCCGCCTAGTCGTCGTCCCCCCAACCTCACCACCACGACCACCACCACCAGTATCCCCCATCATCTCGCTGAACGTCAACTTCCCCTGCTGCTGCGCCGCCAACGCACCACTCATCGGCGCGCCGCCCTTCCCCAGCATCTTGTTCATTAGCTGTTCTTTGTACCGTCGCGCGTCGGGGTCTTCGTATTCTAGTTGTGTCGAGGCTGGTTGGGCGGGCTCAGTGGGGGCGTTGGTGGTGTTAATGGTGAGGTTGGAGTTGTTGTTGCTGGCTACGTCGGTGGTAGGCGTGGTGTTTCTTCTGGTGGGGGGTTTGTTGGCTGTCGCTGCTGCTAGGGTGGGTGTATCGGTGTTATGGGTGGCAACCCGGCCAGCGACAGTATTGGACCCATCGCCGCGCCAGTCGCTGGCGCTTGTGCTGCTGCCTGCTGAGACGTTACTCATTGCGCGGCCGAGGATCTTGCGTTCGCGTCGTTTCGGTTTGGGGTTTGGTAGCGAGCCGAGGGGCGTTGCGGCGGCGCCTTCGTCTGCGCTGGCGTCTGCTGATAGGGCGCGGGCTAGGCCTTGTCTTGGTACGGACGTGGCTCGGGCGGTTGTTGTTGCTGTTGTGGTGGTGGTGGCGGTGGTGGTTATGGCTGCGGCCGCGGCCGCGGTGGTGGGGTCCAGTAAAGAAGTGACAAGTTTGTTGGAGATCGCCAGGCGTTCGGCATCGGCTTTTTCGGCCACGCGGCGGCGTCTTTCTTCTTCTGGATCGGGCGGTGGTGGGGCTTGTTTCTCGGCCGGCTTCGGTGTGCTTTCGTTGTCATCTTGAGTTGGCAGGTCGTCCGGCTCGCCGAAATCACCATCGGTAGCTTCCGAATCTGCCACGCTCGTGGTCCTGGCGATGGGTTTACGAGGCGCTGGCGTGGCAGATCTCGGCCGGGTAGTGGATGTCTTGTTGAGAGAACTCGGGGTTGTCTCGGAAAGAGGGGCGCTGCCGAAGCTTTTGACGCCGAAACTGATGTGGGCGTCGCTCACCGTGAACGCGTGGGTTGGCGCCGTTTCGAAGTGTGTTGTCACTGAGTTGTGGTCTGCTGCAGACTTGTGGCGCTGGGGGACGTCGTGCATCTCTTCTTTCGCCGTGATAAAGACCGACTCGCCGAGATCCAAGCGCGGCCTCGGCTTGGTGGCCGGCTTGGGCAGTAAATCACCATCTATCTCGTCTTTGCTCGTTGGCTTTCCGTCGATAGCTTTGATTTGCGGCTTCTCCTTGGGTTGGACAGTTTTCTCCTTCGGCGGAGCAATGAGTTTCGGCCCATCACAGCGCTGTTTCAACTCGGGAAACATAAATGGCCTGATGTCCTCGTTGACCCCTGCGGCAATACATTCCCACAGCCAGTCCGCTCGCACCACGGGTACACCCCATGCCAGCGCCAGCTCCAACTTCTGCTTCCGTACTATATCTAATGACGAACAGAGAAGCAGGGACACCTGTGAAGTAAACCTCTCCTCATACCGCGCGCCCAACTGGCGTACCGACTTGTCCATCTGGTGCAAATCCACCCCAGTGAACCCGGCTGTGCACACCACCAAGTCTTCAAACCCCACAATCGGAAACACCGGAAACGGCCGGCCGATTGTGTGTTCCGCTGGGTCGAAAAAGTATTTCTTATGCAGACACCGCTCGATATAAAACTCGGTTACGACGTGGACGGTCTCGGGAACTGGTGGATGGGTATCGGGCTGGGCGGTCTGTGGGACGACGAGGAAGCGGTGGGCCATCTGGGCGCCAGACATGGACACCACCTCCTCGAGGGTGTGGCAGACTAGCCCACCGAGTGAGGCCACGGTGTTGGTGAGAATCTCGGTTTTGCGCTGGGAGAAGCCGTGCACGAAGAAACAGCACGAGGCGAAGACGCCGCTGTCTTCCGGAACGCCGAACGAGGATAGCTTGGAACCCCGGGTTTCGGCTGACTCGCCACCGGTTGGCTGGGTGGGTTGTGTCGCCTGCGTTGGTAGCGCAGCCGACCCTGGAGCGGATGCTTGAGAAGCAGCAGCAGTAGCGGCAGTCTGAGGCTTCCCCAGGATATCTCCCCATATATTGTCCCGCTGGTGGTTCAACTTCATGTTCGCCGTCTTGCGCAGTTTACGCTTGCCCTCCTCCTGCGCCGCATTGTACTCCCTCAGCCTCTTGCCCAGAGAAGACACCCGCGAGCGCTCCCTGTTCCACGCGCCCGCCCCGCGTTCCTCGCGGGACAAGATCGGATCATAGAGAGTTTCATCCAAGATCAGGCCGCGTTCCACACTCTCATGTACCCATTCAACCGAAACCGTCGCGACGCCCCAGGTTTTGGCGGCGTGGTATTTGCGCCCCTCCGGCTTGTGCACAATCAGGTGCGTGACCCGCTTGGTCAGGTCCCCCGTATACAACCCGCCGTTGGCCTCGATCTTGTCGCTGATGCGCTGGCGCTCGTCGGCGTCTTCGAAACCCGTCATACAGCACAACAGCCTCCTACGCTCGGGCATGGTGCCGTCCGCGTTCAGCTCGCCATTACTGCTGCCGGCCTCGAAGGTGTGTAGCTGCCACTGTTTTTCGAGGGCGAGGAAATCGATGTCGGCGTCTTCGACCCAGAGATTGCGCACGGCTTCGACCCAGCCGGCGTCCATGACGCGCACGTCGGGGCGCTCCTTGGCGACATGGCGGTATTTTGGGGTTGCGTAGTCGCCGACGATTAGGTGGGTGCAGTCGGGGGTTAGATCGTATTTGTGCTGGCCGCCCAGCTCGGTCGTTTTGGCTGCGATGTTGGCCTAAAGTAAAACGTTAGTAGCTGAATGGTGAGGAAAGTGAAGAGATAGATCAAGAGAAAGAAAGCAAAGAACAAAGGGCAGGGAACCGTACCCTCAACTCCGTCGGTATACTTGTGCAGCAAACGACAACGCCGCGAAACGGCTCTGATGAGTTGAACAACGACGGTGCGCTTCCTCCGGGAGGTGACGGGGGTGTGGCCATTGCATCGCTATGGGTTGCTGCTGGGTCAAGTGTCTAGTGTGAACAATGTACTATGGTAATGTTTCATGTCAAAGGGGAATCCGTTTTTTTTAAGCCTTTTCTTTTTTGGCCGTTTGAGGTCACGGTACAAACAATACAGCTGCAGTGCAGTGGACAAACAAACGCCCCTGCGCCCAGCGCGTCGCGTGGGTAGCTGACAAGGTGGGGTCAGTTCAGCCTTACAGCAGGGGTTCTTAAACATGGAAAACGGCGCTGAAGTCTCAAGAATCAGGGTTAGGGTTTGCTCTTGAGCAACTGCCCCCTTCCTTCCGTCTTTACTGTGGTAGTTACTTGTTCCCATAATTATCCTTCCATACTTATTTCTCTTGGTTATCTCGTCCCGGGGACGTTACTCCCATTTCCGCTCCCTTCAAACTTCCTTTGCCTCATCCCGGAGCAAATCCTCCCTCCTCAACTTGAACCCGTCCAAAATCGCCATCTTCTGCTCCTTCGCTGTATACCGAATCTTCACCACCTCCGCATCAACCACTTCCTCACCACCCACCCCCAACACCTTAACCTGATCCGCCGCACACTCCTCCTCCGTTGCCCACAGAAACCTCGCATGCTCATTCGGATCCAACGTCACCTTCGGCAGCTTCTTCTCACTCTCCTCCTCAACCTCCACCTCCACCTCAAACGTAACCTTCCCGACAAGGTTCTTCCTCCTCGTAATCAACGGATGTATCCCACTAACCTGCCTCACCACCCTCTTCGCCTTGAGCCCGGCCTCCTCCCACAACTCCCGCACCGCGGCATGCATCAGGGTAAAATCATCCTTTCCGTCCGCCGCGCCACCGGGGATCTCCCACTGTAGCGGCATCGAATCGTGCGCGGCACGCTGGATGAGAAGGACGCGGTCGGTTCCGGTGGCGCGGGAGTAGACGAGGGCGCCGATGGCGGCACCGACGAATTGGGTGTGGGTGGAGAGGAAGCTCCGGATGGGGATGTTGAGGTCGGCCACGGCGGGGGAGGTGGTGAAGGGGAGACCACCGGCGGGGAGGGCTGGAGGAGGCGGGGGCTTTGTCATGGTGGTGGGATGTTGTGGTTGTTGTGTGTTTTGGTGGACACTATGTAAGTGAATAGCCTGTGTTTCCTGTACGGAGATGTACACCGGTCAGGGTTTCAAGGTCAAGATAATTATGAAAAAGAAAATCCAGGGCATGAGAGGAAGACCGTCGTTTGTGCGGAGTGTCGACTTTTCAACGCAACACCGGGCGTTTGGCCATCTCTCAATAATTACAATAAGGCGTACACAAAACTACCGTGCATCCCATTCAAATAATTTGACCACACCAATGGAATTCACGGCCGCCTGCAGGTATCGGTATTGTATGTCGAGCAAACCGGAGTGTTGTTACGCCGGCGTCGACTCATCGATTAAACACTGTACAGTCTGGGCAGACTGGGGCCAATGGCAGACGAGTAATAGGGACGGAAGTTTCAGGCCTTCATTGAGCCACGACCCCGCTCACTCGATTCGTCATTCTGTGCCCACGATGCGTGCTTTGGTTGCGGGTGTAATACGAGCAATGCGAAAAATGTAGTCAACCTGACCAATAGAAACAAACGATGGATTTAGTTGTTGAGAGTGTTCAACTTTGACTTTGGGTTATAAGAAGCTTTGCTATTCGTACGTCGGTCTGCAGTTACGCCGTTGATAGCGACATTCCACCTTTCAAACGCCAGGAGATTTTTATCTCAGGATCTCATGTACCTCGCCCCACCCTAACAATTATGACCAATCACAACGCACACACACGAGCAGCGCAACCTCGAACTGCGTGGACCCACATGCTACATGTGACGGGCCTCAATGTGCAGAAGCCACAGCGTGTCGCAGATCGTCAGCGAAACCAGGCTGTGATCCAGAGATAAACCGCCAGCTGGCGAGCTGAATGACTGCCATCAGGGGTTCAGGTTCCCAGTGGCCCGGATTGGCTCCGAATGCACACAACCATGGAGAGCTAACTTACTCGGTGTGCTGGTCTGGCCTGGGCTGCATTCAGCTCACCACTCACCGCTTGGCACCGACGAGGCTATCAAGGGTTAAGGTTTAGTATGTCTCACAAGGTCAAACAGCACATGCGGTTGACGGTCCATCATAAGCTCGTCACAATGGTCCCGAAGTCTGAGAGGCTAAGATCAACGAGGGAGCGGGAGTGAAGGCTCAGTATCCGTATAAGAAGAGCCCTCCTTTGAGTCCTCTCCAAGTTCTCCTCTCGGTTTCCACACACTCACTTTCCACGGTATTATAATTACCTATCAATCCAACACACCAACCGCAACGATGGTCCTCTCAGTCAATAACTAACATCTGGGTTCCCATAATTACTAGCCCGGGCTCGGCTTTGTAACCCAGGCGGAGGCCGAGGCGTACTACGCCAGCCCCGAGAACAATAAGCGTGCTGCAGGCCAGAAAGCCAAGCGCTTCCAGGCTTAAGTGGGGGTGGTGGTGGTTTGGCTTGGGCGGTAAAGACCGTGAAGATGGGTTTTTGTGCAGTGTAATGCGCAGTCATAGGCGTGGTGTTAATTAAGTTTGAGAACGGATCCGGTGTTGTTTGCTGTGTTGAAGGTCCAAGGCTGTGATGTGATGTTGGGGGTCCCTGGGGGTTGGAAGTTGAAAATCGAAGTCCGAATCCCGCCTCCCGTCTTGCTTTGCATCATGGACCAGAATACAGATTACAGTCTGCATCTTCAACTTGTTTGTGGCCGAGTTTGTGGCCGGAGACCTTGCGGAGCGATTCCAAGTGAGGTGAGGCCTCTTAGTTGTCCAAGAGAATCGTGATGTCGCTGTGCTGACTTATTTGGCGCTAATTTCTCCTGGCGTTTGAAAGGTAAAGCAGTTTGATGCCCCATGTTCGGCGACGCTTTTTTGGCGTTGCGGGGTTGGCTTGGCAGAAACTCTGCTGATTAATTCCTCACTTCCTCCTCGCGAGCACCGCGTCTCGGCAAACGTCAACGACGAGAGGTCATTCGGACATCCGAAGCTCCGAGCGCCGTGAAGCATCCGTCACTGATCGGAGCCGCATAACCCACTTGCATTGCGTCCTTCCTCCTCCTGGGCCTCGCACCCAGATGCGAGCCCAAAACGGTAACGCTTGGCTGCTCTGCTGAGTCACCCCACATCCTACGCTATGCGGGCAATTGCGGGCAATTGCGCTTTGACAGGACGAAGCAAAGCCAGAACCTGTTCTATGATGCTAAAGCTGACGGTGTTACGGCCGAAAGGGCGTTGCGAAGTGTAAACGAGCTGTAGTCGGGACCGGCCGGACCGTTAGGATTTGGCAACATGCTGGGTGCGTCCTGGGTGCCTTGAGTGCGTTGTAGGTGATGGTGTGTCATAGCCCTCTTGGCCATCACTACAGACCGGACTACGGGTCCCAGTAAAGCCGCAGTGCATCGGCAGCGAGGACACCGAGCGGGATGGGCACGGGATGGGGTATATAATGACAAAATCCGTCCGCTTGTGATGGAGGAAGTTTGTTCGCTTCGATTGAACAATGGCATCGCGTCCTCTCTGGTCTGGCTTACGAAGAGCAGCAGCAAACTCCTTACCTCGTTTCACCCCACCACCGGCTTCTACAGGAATCTTCAAGGTCACCAGACTTACCTCGATCACCACCAGAACCATGGCTTCCACCGCTCTCCCACAAACCATGAAGTCCCTCCTCCAAGCCTCGCGCAAGGGCACCGAAGTCATCTCCATCACCTCGCCCATCCCAACCCCCACCCACCCCGACGATGTCCTCATCCGCGTGCACACCGCCGCCCCCTGCGCCGGCGAGCTCCTCTGGGCCGTCAACTTCCCCGACAGCGTCCCCGCCGACAAGGAAATGGTCCCCTGCCAGGACCTCGCGGGCACCGTCGTCAAGGCCCCCGCGGGCTCCAAGTTCGCTGAGGGCGACCGCGTCTACTGCCGCATTGAAGCCAACCGCGCCGGTGCCGCGCGCGAGTATGCGCTTGCTCGCACCACCGAACTCGCCAAGATCCCCGCGTCGCTGGGCTGGATCGAGGCTGCTGCTACGCCGCTGAGTGCGTTGACGGCGTATCAGGCTGTGTTTGACCAGGGCGGTCTTGACCCTGCGGCTCTGCACGGCGATGAGGCTGCGCGGGCTAAGAACGGTGCTAAGCGCGTGCTGGTTACCGGTGCTGGCGGTGGTGTCGGCAGCTGGGTGGTGCAGCTCTCGTCGCTGGCGGGTGCTAAGGCCGTGGTGGCTGTGTGCGGCGGGAAGGAGAAGATTGAGTCCGTCACCAAGCTGGGCGCTACTGAGGTTGTGGACTACACCAAGACGAGCATCGAGGCGTGGGCGGCGGAGGACCCTGCTGCGCGCGAGGTCGACTTGGTCATTGAGATGGTCGGTGGGAAGACGCTCTCGGGGTGCTGGCACGCGGTCAAGAACGGTGGTGACATTATCGCCATCAACACCCCGCCTGAGTATGGCAAGCCCGAGGGGCTGAAGAAGGAGCTGGGCAAGGGGCTGTTCTTTATTGTTAAGCCGCTCGGCAGCAACTTGGAGGAGATTGGGCAGCTGATTGATGCCGGCAAGGTCCGTCCTGTGGTGGACAGTGTGTGGACGTTTGATGAGTTTGAGAAGGCGTTTGCCAGGCTCGACTCGGGGCACGCCAAGGGCAAGGTCATTATCAAGATTAGCGAGGAGGCGGACAAATAACTTGAGGAAATCCGGGAAGGAATCGGGAACGGTTGCCGATGAATGAGGGATGGATCATGGCGTTATGAGTATATAGATGAACATAAACGGAAATTGAATCAAGAATGCATACCATCCTGCTGTTGATTATTTTGGAACAACTGTTCCATAACGACGAATAATTTGAACTCTGCTTTCGTAGGTGGATGAAGAGGGCGAGAGGAAAAGAAAGTCAGGGATCGCGTGCACAGTTGTCGGTTTCGGAGCCCTGTGAGACTGGTGTAACCCGCATTTGATTGGTCGATAGCCGCTCAACACACCCATTTGAGACGACTTTCACCTGTAACACCCCGCAAAATGCAGGGTCCTCATCCCGTCTTTGTCGCCTCCAACATCAGCCTTTTCAAGCTTTCCACCTTCAACAACGACCCCTGAACGTGTCTGATCTCCTCCATCGCACTGGCTTAAACGTGCGCCCCTGTCGCAGGTTCCGCGGCTGGGGCGGATCCGGAGTCTATACGAAGTAGTTCATAGGCGATGCTACTCACGATGGCGCGCTTGCTTGAACTGACGCGGCCTTCAGTTTTGACTGAACTTCTGTTTGTTCCCCTTTTGAGGAAGTTTTCCATGGCTGGCTACCTCCGATAACCCACATCAACACCCGTAACTCACAATAATAACCGCGCGGCTCCTCGCCCACCTCCTACACAATACTCCCTGTTTGCCCGCGGGATCACCCCGGCTTCGGATTTCGGGATGTGCCTGGGAGAAATGCCTTTGCTCGCTAACGGCTTGTCGGCACGGCCCTGAGACGCGAGCACGGTAATAGATACACGGGGTCGTGTTTCGGGTACGCAGCCTTTTGCGTTCGGGTCTAGATGTTTTCTCATGCCTTTCTCTCTCTCACTCATGACTCTCGTATCGTTCGATAGACTGCCCAAGCACGGGTAGGCCCGCCCGGCTAGTCGATGGTGGGCTTTGTGTTTCATTCGTCTGGTCTACTCGTCTCGTCTATTCGACTGCTTCTTTTTTCCACCTTTAGGGTTTGGTGTTTCTTTTCCTTTTGCTCTTTTCCTTCCTCCTTCTCCTTTCCCTTCACCCTCGCCACCCGCTACAAACCCAAGAGGACTGGGGCGGTCTGATACCGTAGGCGTACTTTGGAGCCCGGTCTCCTCACTCCGTCTTTACCTCGTCGTCTGTCTTCCTTCTTGGGTTTGAGCGTGGAATCCGCTGGCCGGTGCCTCTGTAATACTCCCCTTTCCTTTGTCTTTACTTCCTCCTCGTTGGCGATCCGAATACCCATGTAGAGGCTGCAGAGATACCCCGTCCTCAACCGTCGCCGCCAGAAATGGCATTTCCCTCACTCTTTTTAGCCTCGGCGTTGCTTTTCACTTCATTCTGGTGTCCTACCTTCGCTCTCCAGCTACCAGCCCACATCGACGGGTGCATCCACCTCCCTGTCATCCACTCGACCAATGTCGAGCACTTCTCCATCAAGCGAGGCATCCAGCTCCAGCTAGCGAACCGGTCTGATGTTGCCTATTATGCTCAGCGTATGTTCTCCAGTTATCCCTCCCACACCAACAAGAACCTGCTCCTAACTCAAAAGCACAGTCAGCATCGGCTCACCCCCACAGCCCGTATTCGTCCAACTAGACACGGGCTCATTCGAACTATGGGTAAACCCAGACTGCACAACCGTGACCGGCTCCGACGCCGCCTTCTGCGACCGAGCAGGGCAATACGACGCGACCCAATCCTCCTCCGCCGTCTCCCTCGGCAGCACCCGCACGCTCCGATACGGCATAGGCTCCGCCAACATCTCCTACTTCACCGACACCATTTCGCTCGTCGGAAGCCCCAACGCCCTGCAACAAGTCCAATTTGGCGTGGCCACCGCGTCGGAGGACGCCTTCTCGGGGATTCTGGGTATTGGATATGGCCAGGACATCGCCACGCGGTATCCTAATTTTGTGGACCAGCTGCAGGCGCAGAATGCCACGCGTGTGAAAGCCTACACCCTCGCTCTTGGTAGTAAAGATGCCCGTGAGGGGGTCATTGTTTTCGGGGGTGTGGACACGGCCAAGTTTGCGGGGCGTCTGGCGAGGCTACCCATCATCCCAGCGGCGCAATCCCCGGACGGTGTCCCGCGGTTCTGGGTGACCATGCAGTCCCTCGCTCTCACACCCCCCAACGGCGTCACTACCGTCTACTCCGCTGGTGGCAGCAGCAACAGCAGCAACAGCAACAACAATAGCGACACCCCCAACGACATGCCTGTCTTCCTCGACAGCGGCTCAACCATGACCCTCCTCCCCTCCGACCTAACAGCCGCGGTAGCACGGGACTTTGGGGCGTCAGCGCCTGACGCCAACGGGTTTTACCGCATCGACTGTGGGCTGACAGCGCTGAACGGGACGCTAGATTTTGCATTTGCTGGGACGACGATCAAGGTGCCATATAAGGAGCTGATAAGGGAGGTGGCGAGTGATCCGCCGGCGTGCTTTTTGGGGATTATGGCTAGTGAGAGGTTTACGCTGCTGGGGGACACGTTTTTACGGTCGGCTTACAGTGCGTGCTGTCCCCTTGCGCTTCATCTCCCCGTTTTAGCCCTCATCTTAGTATGGCTGTTATAAAGATAAAGTGTTAACAAAGTAAACAGCCGTCTTCGACCTCGAAACAAACGCCATCTGGCTCACCCAAGCCGCCAACTGCGGCGCCGCTCCCGCCGCGCTCAACACCGTCCAGGCGCTGTCCACCATCACCGGACAATGTGGGGGTGCAGATGATACCGCTTCACAGGAACCGCCTAGTTCGACGGTGGGGAATGCTAATGCGGGCGCTGCGACTACGGGTACGAGTAATGGTGGTACTGGGGGTGGAGGGGGAGGAGTGGGTGGGAACGGGGGTGCGGATGGTAATGGGAATGGGAATGGGAATGGGAATGGGGGAGTTGGAGTGGATGTTGGAGGAGGGACGTCTCAGACTGTTGAGTTGGTAGGTGCCACGCCGACACCAACGCCGGTGTCAGGGGAAGCTAGGCCGGCGGCGGCGGGGAATTCGGGGTCGGGTAAGAGTCTGCGGGTAGGCGTTTTGTGGAGTATGGGATGGGGAGGGGGGTTGATGATGTTCTTGTTTTGGTGTGGAGGGTTGGGGATCTGATTGAGGATGAAGGGGTTTCGATTTTGCTAGGCACGGATTGGGTTATGGACGATAATGGTCGGGCAAAGTAGTTTTGAACTGTCCCCCGTAATACTGATTAAGATCATGACAATATTGCTTGCTAGTCCTGGTGTAGCGTTCAACCAGTTGTTGATGAATGACTTTTGACGTTTTGTTTCCCTTCTCACATCGCCCATTTCCCATCTCTCTGCCGTTCTTAACTTACCTTTCAATGGAGCAGTTCACCAGCACACCTGGCCGGCATCCCTATTTCTACATCCCCCGTCTTGCTGGAGAATCACGAGACAGGCACTATACACCCCATAACCTCCCATATCATCGTTAAAAGCCTCTGGTTCAGCTCTTGGAAAGGCAGCATTTTCATATACATACATACAGGCTCACTATTGTGAGACATGAAACGGAGCAGGCAAAGAAGTAATGAATCAGGAGTAAGTAATTCTGCCCGGTTAAAAAAAAAAGTACTCCAAAAAAAGATCAAAATAGCAAAAGCTCACCACTCAGCCCTACTGTTATACCCGGCCAGTAGAGGTAATCTGATGGTTACAAAAAGTCCCAGGGCCTTAAGTATGTCAGCCGGGGACTTTTGCTTCGCGTTCGGTTCGAACCCATGCCCTCTTCCCTCAGGTCGCGTAATGAGGGCGGGTTGCCTGCCAACTTTTCCACGCTCAAGACTTTTCCCCGTCAGGGAATTAAATGATGCGACGCCTGAGCCAAACTCACCACCGGATGTGGTCGGTTTGTAGCCCCATTGGCAGGCGGGTTGGGAATTAGGTCGTTGGACCTAATATATATGGTAGACTCGACGGGAGGGAAGGAAGGAGCTGGATTTTGGGCGAGATGGTTGAAGCCTGAGGAACTGAACCGCCAGAGTGGGCAAGATACTCAGTAATTAGGATAGAAGCCTTCCATGATGGCTAGCTGGCATTCTATAGAGGAGGATTTAGTTCAACGTCTCGCAAGAATGAGGTCTTAGAACCCGGGGTGTATCTTATCTAAGTGCTCGGCACTTCATCGACTTATACACAACTCCCGGGGCATGTTCTCGTTGACAAAGTCACTCGCCATTTCCCAGCAAACCCCAAGTAGTTCCCCACCTATTATAGACGACCCAGGATGGTCTCATGGCAAGAGTTGTTACACAGTAGTGTTGACTACGGGAGCACAAGGAAAATATCGCGGGGGATGCCTGAGAAACGTCGGTATTACTCGTAGTTATAAACGGGCCTCAAGATATATTGACAGCCCGGTAGCGGAAATCCACCACAGGTCTCTTGCGTCTCCTCGAGCCGGAGGACTCCTGTTCAACCGCTTGGGGGGCCTCTGTTATTCCTGTGCCGCTGGACTTGTCCTTCGATCCGTGACGACTGAGCAATCTCTCGTGTTAGATGTCAACGGTTAGTTGTGTAGATGGGGGTTAGGGTTGTGCGTGAACATGTGCAAGATGGGACTTTTTCCCCTCAACCCTCGACCACACCGGGCAGGAATGCAAAAAAGTCTTGGTGGTTTTGTTTTGTTTCAGTCTGGAAGCGATATTGGTTGCCATCTCGGCCGAATAAACGCATTAACAATCTCCCTCTGCAGTCCCGCCCAAATCTGCTAACGGCCTGGTTCCGTAACCCATTTTCGGCCGTTCGTTTCACCATCTCAGCCAGGCCCGGGGCCCAGACCGCTTCAAAATCTCTTGACCGTTAAGCGACCCGATAATTCGAGATGTCTCCGAGATTGTTCATATTTTGGGCCTTCAATTTCATCGTCAGTGGATTCTTTTACATACACGTAGTAGGCATCGGACCGGCCGAGACTCTCTCTTCCATGCTGTTGGCTTGCGAGAAGCTTGTTGAAGCTTGAAACGCCCCCCCTTTTCCCGCGTGCAGGCCTCCAAGCTTTCCATCAAATCCCGACGAATGTTCGCCTGTCTTGCCTGCGTGGCTGACTGGCTGCCCTGGAGGGCCCCCTGTCTTTGCATCAGGGGCAGCTGCCGCCTGTGGGGGGGCCGAAGGGGTCTGCCAGGTTTTGGGGTGGGTCTCGGCCAGGCGCGTTTCTTTCGCCGCGTGGTGGACCTGTGGTCCTCTTTGTGGAACAAATTCCCAGCTTCGATACGAGTTCTCGCCCGAGTTGTGAAGTCCGAACTGAACGGAGGGTTCGGAACCGAGCGCGGTGAGGCTGCCGGTGTGCTGGCTTGGGAGTTGGACACAGAACACAACAGACGCGCGCCAATATGATCATCATACTATGTAGACTGAAATAGCTGAATGGATGAGATCAAGAATGTTTCTTTCCCCGCCGAGCCCATCTTCCGGGCCACGCAACACGGCAGTCCGCGTGAAACACCGGCCGATCGAAACGCAGACGCCGGACGGAAAGGGCCACACACAGAAGAAAAGAAGCGCACTCGCTCGTTCGGCTTGTTCATTCCTCGAATGATTCGATTCCTCGCTGCGAGCCCAGGAGATCGGCACGCCGAGCTTGCCAAGGAGGCTTGAGGCTGTGTCGCCCTCCCGACCCGCTCTTGCAGCCGGCCGGGGGAGACCGACAGGGGGCCCCGGGGAAGACTTCCCCTGGACAGTGAGTTTGTTCTGTTCTTGTTTTTCTCAAAACCGAGATCCAGCCCGTTAACGCGATTGTCTTTTTACCCTCCTTTCCTTCGTCAGGTATCTTGCACTTCCGACCGTCCTTTTGCGACGCCGACATTCTTTGGCTCTGCCGATTTTCTGCTGATTCGTTCGATTCGGCACACTTTGCACACACGCTCTTTCCTCGAACCGAGGCTCACCTGTTATTTTCTCGCGATTGTTTTAGCACGCCATCGCGAAGTCGCCAAGTCGGCATCAACACACACAAATTAATCCAACTTTCGCTACTTTATTTCCAGCAAAATCAAAATGCGTCCCTTTGCAGCTCTTCTCGCCAGCGTCCTCGCTGCTGGCGCGTCGGCCGATGGCACCAACTACCTGGGGTTCAACTCGGGCGCAACCCTCGCGGATCGCTCGGCCAAGTTCAAGGCGGACTGGCTCGCCGAGTTCAAGACGGCGCAGGCTCTGAACGGCGCCCCCGGCAAGTTCAACGCCGTCCGTCTGTACACCAACATCCAGGCGTACTCGGAGTCGGACCCGATCCAGGCGTTCGAGGCGGCCATCGACACCAACACCAAGATCCTGCTCGGCATCTGGACCTCAGGTACCGACAGCATCGACAAGGAACTCACTGCGCTGAACAAGGCCGTCAAGAAGTACGGCAAGAAGTTCACCGACCTCGTGATCGGCATGTCCATCGGTAGCGAGGACCTGTACCGCGACTCGGAGACGGGCGTCAAGAACAAGGCCGGCGTGGGTGCCGGCCCCGAGGTCATCCTCAACTTCATCAAACAGTACAAGGATTCGGTGTCCGCCACCGACCTCAAGACCGTCCCCGTTGGCCACGTCGACACCTGGGATGCCTGGACCAACGGCACCAACAAGGCCGTGATCGACGCCGTCGACTGGCTGGGCGTGGACGAGTACCCGTACTACGAGAGCGGCAAGGGCAACGACATCAAGAACGCGGGCACCCTCTTCGACCGGGCCTTCAACGCCGTCGTGGGCGTGGCCGGCTCCAAGCAGATCTGGGTGACGGAGACCGGCTGGCCCGCGACGGGCAAGGACTGGGACCAGGCCCACCCCAGCGTCGAGAACGCCAAGTACTACTGGGACGAGGTCGGCTGCCGCAAGCTGTTCAACAAGGTCCCCACCTTCTGGTACAACCTGCGCGACTCCAACCCGGACAACGAGATGAAGTTTGCCATCACCAACAACCTCTCCACCAAGCCCCTCTTCGACCTCACCTGCCCCACCCACTTCGACACCCCCACCGGAACCTCGACTTCGCACACCAGTGCTTCCTCTACTGGTGCTTCGACCCCCGGTTCTTCGTCCACCGGCGGTGCTTCCTCCGGCAGCGGGTCTGGCTCCGGCTCCGGCACTGGCTCCCAGACTGGTAGCGGCTCGGAGACTGCGCCCAGCCCGTCGCACACGGGTGCTGCGTACATCGGCAAGAGCTTGTCGGGCGCGGCGGTGGTTGGGTTGGCCGTTGTTGCGGGTGTGTTTGCCCTGTTTTAAGTTTGAGTGTGGAGTAGGAGTAGGAGTGTTAGCACAGGAGAGAGAAGATGTTGATAGATTGAGTTGGCTGTGGGTGTTTTGTAAACGCATGAGAAAGGAATATAATTTTACTGGACTTGGACTTTTGGAATTGTGCGCTTTTTATGTCATGGATCTTTTTGTTTGTGTTGTCTGGCTTTGTTACTTGGCCAGCTGGATCTGTGTGTAGACATGCCTGATGCTTAATACTATGGGATTTCTAGTTCTAGATGCTAGGTGAGGAATAGACAACGGGTTGTTCGATATTGCCTTGAAAACTTTCTAGTTTTTGGTGGTACTTCGTTTATAAGTTAAACTTTCTTGAGTTGGTGATATCACTCTAAATTTCCTAAGCAGCGTGCTTGAGAACAAGCAGCCCCAACCTTCGGACCTCGGCAGTTTCACGATCTGCCCCGGGGATTGACTCGTAGACTCGTGGAGTATGTGTAAGAGTACGAAATACAAATTGTAAACGCGGCTGCGGCCCGTCGCAAGCCGCGTGTGTGCGAGTCGTGGAGCGCTGGAGCAGGTACGTCATTGATCCGGAGCGTTATCCACCCTGTTGAAGGGAGCTGATGCTCCGGGTGTTGTTTTTAAACTTGGGCAGAGGACTTTGAGGGAACTTCTTTTTCTAGTTTTGGATGTGTAGGCTCTTCAATTCTTCTCTGTGAAGAATCGTGGAGTTAACCCCTTTTCTGCGGCCCAAAGTTTTAAACTCAACTTGCCGTTCAATAAACAACTCGACCAAGTCAACAAGCCACCCCTGACCCACACCACTACCACGACCGCTACCACTACCACCATAACCACCACCATGACCAGCACAATGCCTACCCCTCAACCTCAACGACAACCACCCGCACCATCCTCCCACCTCCCCGGCACCCAAACCCTAGGAGCTCGAACTCCTGGATCCTACCCTCTCAGCGACCTCCCTCCCAGCAACTACACCCCCAACAACCAACCTCCCACAAAACCCAGCCCAATGCGTGGACTCTCCGAGTACGCCGTGGCCGACACCCCCGCCACAGCCAACTCGGAATATTATGCCAACGCGGCAGACTATTGGGAAGCGAGGCCTGTTGTTGTCTCCCGGGAGCAGAGCCAGCAGCATGCGACCCCCCAAGTCCAAGACCGAGATCAAGAAGGGCTCTCATCCCCAAAAAAAGTGACGGGAGCCGATGAGAGGGACGATGGAGGAGTAGCTAGCGGAGAGGAAAGGGAAGGAAGCAGAGCGGGAAGAGCGGGAACTCATATTGCTGAGGAGGGAGCAGTACAACAAGGAGAAGGGCAAGAACAAAAACAAGACCGCGACCTACCCACCACCACCCAGGCACAGGATATCCCCTCTGTCCCCCGCCCTATAGACAACTCTCCCCTCCCCCAACAACAAGAGCAACCAACAAGAACCGCAAACAGCACAGAAAAACACTCCGCCAGCCCATTCACCAGCAGCCCTTTGACCCGCAGCAGCCCATTCCGTGGCAGTCCATTCCGCGCCAGCGCCAGCCCCAACAGCCACGGCCCAAACGGCGGACAAATGGGCGGACGCCGACGTCGCGAAAGCACAATGATAGCTGATGGTATCGATATCACCACGAGCACGATGGAAAATAACAGCCACAACGCAACAGACCCGGCGGCAATGGAAGCGATGGGTGCGAGGGGGAGGAGGGAGAGTATCATGGGCGCTCGTAATGCATTGGTGTGAGCATGGGGACTCATGATGGGATGGTGTGAGTATGGAATGGTGTGAGTATGGAATGGTGTGAGTATGGAATGGTGTGACTACTAGGGCTCATAATGGAAGATTGGCGCGAGCATTGGGACTCACAATGGAAGAATGGTATGAGATCCGGAATGGCTTGATGTGGATGGGAAGGTAGAAGTGGGAGGTTGGATGAAGGAGGAGGAGTAATTCTTGGATGGAACAGGGGGTGTACGGCACTCTAGACGGACAGGGAGCATATCAATTCAGACTTCACAGACCAAAATCAAAATGCAAATACAGTTTACTGAAAGAAGTATGTACAATTCTACTCGTATATACTATTCCCTAAAAATTAAAAGCTTCGCCAAAGTCCACAGCTTAGAGGCACCCACAAACGCAGGTTCACCCTACACCCACGGATTCGGCACACTCTCCGTCAACACTGTCCCATTCCCCAGCACCGTTCCCGCCCTCAACATATCGACCTTCCCCGGATGCAGGGCTGCCGGCGGGTGATCCAGCACCGTGCCATTCGCAAAGATGATGCCGTTCCACTGTTTCTTCTTCTTCGCTTGTTCACCATAGACACCTGTCCTGTTGATCCTCCGGTTTTCGGCTGTGAGCAGTGAAGCAGTCCGCAACAAAGGCGACCGGTGCGTTGCCACGCCGCAGTTTTCACTCGCCATGTACAGGTTCAGCCCAATCGCCAAGGTGTACGCCTCCGCGCTGAGGGAATCCCACGCCCACTGGTCCTGCTTTTGCACACCGATATAATCCAGCAGGACCACATTCGGCCAGTGCTCCGGGTCAATCCCATTGACACCGGCCGAATACAGCGACGGATTCGTGGGCTCCAGCGCAAAGTTCTGCAGCGTATACGCGGTCGAGGCGAGGGCGTCCGGGGTAACGAGCCACTGGGCGATGAGGAAATTGGACGAGTCCGATGAGCTCCCGTCCGCGCCGCGCGTGCCGGTGCCTGAGCGCCAAGTGGCGATCTGGTCTGGCGCCATGTCGCTGGCCTGCATCATGTTGGACCAGTGGTCGACTAGCGTCGGAAAGGCGAGGCCGAGGTCGTAGATGCCGTCGCCGGGAGCGTCGTGGGGCACGCCGGCCGAGGCGTCCAAGTGTTGGGTGTTGAGCAAGGGGAGCACGCAGCCGTGGCCGTCGTTGCGGTCGAGGAAGTAGGAGGCGGGCTGGTTTTGGAACCCCCCGGAAGTATCGAGGTTGGCGCAGCGGTTGTTGAGGCCGCGGAGCTTGGCAAAGAAAGTGTTGGTAAGGCCAGCGTCCCAGTAGATGGGTCCGTTGTCGGGGAACTGGTAGCGGCCAACGAGGTAGCGCAGAGGCAGGAAGATGACCTCGCCCGGGTTCTCGGCCGTGAACTGGTTGATTTGGGCAATGATGTCATCCAGGCTCTCGCCCGTGTTGCCGATGGACAGCGACGCCGTCTCGTCGTTGACGTGCAAGGCCCAGAAGCCCCTGACGGTCGCAGCATCGCCGTTTTCGTGCACGGAGGCGATGCGCAGGTCGAACCACCGGGACCCCGCGCGGAGCTGGTCGTAGATGTTGACCCCTTGGGTCTGCGTGTTGGCCGCGCTGCCGATGCTGGTGATCTCGTCCGAGATGGTACTCATACCGGCGTCGTGCGAGCCCGGCACGATAAGGTGTCGCAGGGGCCGGTCCCGGATCACGTCGTACAGCTCATGCATCCAACCGCCCGTGCCGTGCCGCAGCGACGCCTGGAACCCGTACTTGTCGCTCCCAGTGATAACCAACGACACAGCCGTCTCGCCGCCGGGGAAGACATACTCGCGCTGCCCGAGCTCCATGCCGCTGAGGTCCAACATCACTCGCCTCCGGTCGCCCGACGTGTACGACTTGATCCGCAGCGCAAACGTCTTGCTCGTGCCGTCGACTATATAATACGCCTCGCCCGCATCGTCCCCCGTGTCGATGGTGCCGCGGTACTGGATGGCGTTTTGCCTCGCGCGGCCCTGCGGCACGTCTCCAAAGTCAAATGTGTTCATCTGGTACGCGTGTGTTGAGTCCAGGTGGAACCGGTGCGGTGTCAGATTGACTACCGTGACGTAGAACTTGGTGCTCATCCCGCCCACCACCGGGTTCAGCTGCTCGTACGGCTGGTAACTAGCCGCCGGAACCGTCTCGGTGCTGTACGTGCGGTCCGACGCCTGGCACGCATCGTCGGCCTGGCCGCGGGCGAGCTGCCACGCAGAGCCGGCCAGCAAGGCTAGTAAGGCGAGAACTCGCATTGTCGTCGTCGGGACCCCGCTCCGTGGCGCAAAGGCAGGTAAGGTATACTGATAAAGAGACTAGGGACTTAGGTATGCCCCAAGCGATATCCCCGAGCCTGCGAAGTGAGCTCCGTGCGAGTGATACGGTTGCGTACCATTAACAACAGCATGATGGAAGTCGCGGCCGGGACGGATGCGCCCCCTAATATAAGGTCATATACCGACCCGAACCTCCTCACGCAGGTACGCACCGCGCGATATTGCTGCTTGGCCCCATTCGCCATGGCCCGTCTCCCATTTCCCATGTGGCGGTTGTGCCTGACCACTCGGTCAGTAGCCTCAATATCCCCCAAATGCCACCCTCTCACCAACCCCCCACCATACCTATCCCACCATACCTCCTAAGGTAACGCAACCACATCGGCGCAAGCCACAGCTAGCAGTCAGACCACCTCCCCCCTTGGGCCACGGGGCGTTGGCCTCGGGGATTCGGCCGCGGGAGTCTGGGCTGGGCACGGCACATCTCTACATTTCTGCCGGTTTAGATCATTCAGCCTCCAACCCAACCAATCGCCAGTCTTCCCGCCCCTAAGCCTTTCTGCGCCGTGAGCCACTCCCGTTTCTCACACCTGATTCGATACCGCCGACGCAGTAACGTTTAAGCTATCGGAGGGCTTTAATTGAGTGTCTCTTGGGATCTTTTGGGATCGTCGGGCCTGGCCATCGGCGGCCGAGGCCTACCCGGTCACCAGGCATCTTCGAATAGGCCCTTTTTGTGTGTGCATACATACACTAGATAAAGTGAAGTAGAAAAAGCGAGACATGTCGCATTGCGATAGCTAATGGGAGTTACCGTCAAGTCACCTTCCCATTTGCGATGTGGAAGGAGGGGGTAGGAACTGAGGGGCGCTCTTTTCCTTTCACATGTCCTTGTCTTAGTATTTGACAGGTTAGTTTGATCGCGTGTCTGGAGGATCGGGTCGCGTTCACGTAGCTGCGACAGTCACCGAGAGCTGGGAGGGGCAATTGGCCCGGAGGATTGGTTGCATTTTTGAGCCGGCCCGTCCAACGGCCCTTCTCGTCGGGTTGGTATAATTCATGCATGAACGATGGGAAATGGACGGCCGGTGGGAAGACAGGTCCCTTCCTTGAGAACGTTGCGTTTTGAGTTGATGGCCCAGATTGTCCTGCCTAGGAAGTGTACTTTGGGGGGTCTCGGCCCGCCTTCCTTCCAAAGTCGCGCCTTGCCAAGTTGAGAAGGGATCTCCAAGCTTTTGATGGCAGGTGAGGGGGTCGTTTGACTTGCGGTGCAACAACAAAGTCAGGTTGCTTCAAGTGCGGTGCGGGGTTATGATCTTTGTCATGTGTGTGCCTCAGGTGGTCGGTTAGATGGCGAGTGTTTGAGGGAAAGATTTTGGAGAGAGAAATGGGGTTTCGGGATCTGGATTGGTAAAAATTGTACCTGCTGCGGCAGTCGTGCCTGCCTTGCATTGCGTCTGCATTCTGCATGCAAAGTCAGAGGTCCAAGACCTGACTGACATCAACAATTCATCATTTATCTACAGGTAGGTCAGTGCAATAATAGACACAAAAAGGAAGTCTACCACTGGAAATGTCACCATCGAAGGATCCTCTTTTAATAATAGGCAATAGCAAAAGTGAAAAAGAAACTCTCCCGCCGGGAATTGAACCCGGGTCTCGAGCGAAGTCAGTTCTTAGGTGACAAGCTCACATACTGACCACTATACTACGGAAGATTGGCTGGTGTGTGCACCAGCTGTAGTGAGGAGCGATGCTGGTTGGTCCACTACTGGGGTATATCAAGGAGACCCGGATACCGACACCTGACACGATTATTTTTACCCCTTTTTCGTCCCCCTCCTCCGAATGTAAACATTTTCACGTTTTGAACACATAGCAGAGTAAACATTCACAAATGTGATGAAGAGTAACCAACGCGTTTAGTAATAAGCTATCCTCTGTCAAAAAGTAATTCTTAAAAAAGAATTTATACGCCGTCTTGCCCAACTCCAAGCATGTCCAACCAGACTCCTCATCACCAGCCCTCACATCTTCCCAGGAGCAACACGCCATCCCCCCAAACCCCACATCAAGCCCACGCCCCAACCAAACTCATACAAACAGCCCCCAACAACACCAACCCACACGCCACCACCCGCTTCCTCCCCCGGAGCACTGCCCAGCTCTGGTCACTCAAAAAGTCCTCCGCCAACAACTCAATCAGCGCGGCAAATACCAACAACCCCGACGACACAGCATTCATGGTGCCGACCAGGATCAGCCCGAACTCGGAGTCCGGGCTGTAGAGACTGTGTGTTGCGAGGCCGATGGCTTGGCCCATGGGGGTTCTGAGGGGGGGTGTTAGCGGGGGGTTGGGACGGGACGTAGAGGTAGGTCGGTAGGGGATAAAAGTGGTGGTGAGGAGAGGGGGGGACTTACGTGCAGCCGTAGGCGAGGACCATGAGCCAGGGCTGGAGGGTCTTTTTGGGCCATTTGATAGAGGCAATTCGGGCGCCGAGGGCGAGGCCTTCGAAGGTCTCTGTTCAGGGGTTGATTAGTTACCAGTGACTTATGTGGGCGGTGCGGAGAACGAGCCGCGGGAGGGGGGTTCTGTAAAGACGGCAGGTACTCACGATGAAAAGCAATGGCAATCAACAACACGACAAAATTTCCTCCCACTGCCACACTCAGGGCCATGCCGATGAACACGCTGTGAAAGAGAATCCCAACCTCCAGCAGCATGCACTGCAGGATGCTCTTCTTGTGAAGCTGCTCTTCTGTGAGACCGCCTCCCAGCTGGGCTTCCACCTGTCCTAGCGTCTCTTTGGAGGCGGTGACCTGCATATCGACGGCTTCCGAGTCAGCTTCCTGCCCATGTCTCCGAGCAGGCTCGATACTCGCCCGGCTTGTCTGACGGGCCGTCTCAGATGGACGACGGGTGATGGCAGCCACGACAGCCGCGTTGCTGCAGTGCCCGCCGCTCATCGAAGCATGTCTTTTGTGTCTAATCTGAGACTCGGCATCCCCCGCGCTCCCATCGTTATTACTTCTATCCCCACCGGCGGTCCCCTTCGTTGGCGGTGCCATAAACGTCCGCGCCGGGCTAAAAATCATCTCAATCACGCTGACAAAAAATATCCCCACGAGTGCAATCGCGCCCGGCATGGCGGGGTAGTCCGTCGTCCAGAAACTCGATAGACACGGGTTCCCCAACGAGATAAACGCCGTCGGGAGTAGATGCACAAACGCGGTGGCCAGCAGCACGCCAGTGCCAAAGTGGCGGACGGCGAAGAAGAAAGGCTCGGGGATGCGTAGCACGGGGAACTTGGCGGCGAGCATGGGGACGGCGGAGGCGGCGCTCGAGACGGTCAGAATGATGAGCAGCGCTCCGACATGGAGGGGGGTGTTGTACTCGGCGCCGGCGGTGCTGCCGGCACAGGTGGGCTGGCGGGGGGTCAAGTTGCGGGGGCTAACGAGGGTCGGAGCGGGATCGGCGTCAACTCGTCGGACTTCCACCGGTTCGGTCCCGTTCGCAGACCCATTGACTGGTCTCATAGTCCCTAGTAGTGGGAAAAGTAGACTCCCAGCTCCATGGACGACAATCGACCCGACGACGACCGACGCGAGCCAGCCGAGCCACCCCGATGGGGGGCGGACCCGGCCGCGAGAAAGACAGACTTGGCCTTCACCACCAAGCGCTGTCCTGGGGGCAATGGGCAGGCCTTGAGTGTACAGTTAGTGTCTGGTCCAAGAGAGAGAGGTCATTATCATGAGAAGCAAAACATACGGTTCGACCGCCTGCCCACTGCGAAAAGGCCCCCTATGAATCCTTCACGTTCGCGATGGCACACCTGGCCATCGCACGCGTGTTTTTCGTCAATTACCAGTCCTAAGCCGTTAGCCGTCCCAGCATCCCCGTGGCGATGTTCGCGGGCGTTGGCGAGACCGTTGAGGTCCTGGCGGGTGGTCAGATCCGGGGCTAGAAAGGGCGGGTTCTGGTTCCAGGTGGGATGCTCGAGATCATCTTCGGTTCTGGACGGGCGGTTCATGATCGGTTGTGTTGTAAGTTTGAGGTTTAAGTTTGACCAATAGGATCATGTGTCTTGTCTTTACTTTATTTAAGGCTGGGCTGGGTTGGCGTTAGTGAGGACGGGCGGTGGAATTAAGGATGGAGATGAAGATTATGTAAATTCTAGGATCGAGGTCTTCGGGACGGACTGAGATGAGTGAAGTGTCTGTTTGAGGGTGCGTCACTGACGGAATGGCGGGTGCCAAAATCGTGAATTTTTAGTGGGTCACGGCAGTGGAAACGCCGCTAACACCCGGCGCCCGCCCCGGACTGGCCCAGGCCTGATCCGATGCCTGCAGGGGTCCGCACGGCTTCAGGGCATTTTAGAGGCACTCAGGGCAGTGGCGCTCGGGAGTTCCAGCGAAGCTTCGGCAAGAACCTTGACGGCTCGGGAAGACACGGGGAATCTACGGCAAGAATGACAACTTCCACCTTCTGGTTGGAGGAACTCGTAACTTGGGCACATGTAACGATTTTTACCTTCAGTTTTTGGAGACTGCCGCATTTTGGAAAATTGTTGATCAGCAATCTTTTCACTGGAATAAGAAGCTCCCGCCGCTATCTGAGAGGCGGTCACCGTTTGATCACGCCATTGACGCTAGGCTTAACGACGTTTGGACAGTACGGCGAGGGCATGTCTCATTCTATCGTGCCTCGTGGGGGGTGCAACGTTTTGAGAGCTGAATCAAGTTCAACCCGGCGACTGACTAGGTGATAGCTTGTCGACTGCAGATTTGTTGATGGAAACGGGATGGCAGACTACATGTCTCGTATAACTCCTCCCCATTAACGTTAATCATCATTGAAGTTTGGGAGCAAGTACCTAGTCTCAGCTCATGCCCCCGGAGCATGTTGGCACTCGTGGAATCATTACCTCAGGCACGTCGGGTAGTTTCTTGATAGAACGGGACTTCAAAAGACACGTCCAACTGGGCCATTGCCTCGAGCCGGTCGTCTCCTGTTTCGCTTGTACTCTATGGCTCCTGGAAATGATGAGGATGCCATGGAACCACAAGGTTGAATGTACGAGGGATGAAACTCACGAGTGATGGGCACCTTACTTAGCGACCGCAAACCTAAACCCGAGCAGCGAGAAACTCCATTCCTCAATCACTCAACAAGCTAAAACCGAGCTCAGTATCACCTCGGTATCAAGTACCTGGGGTTGGGTGGGTAGGCACGTGGGAAGTGCCTAAGGATTTGGCACTGAGGGAAATGCTTCAGCGTAACGGCGCTCTTGAGTTTATGTTGAGTTTAGTACCTAATGACCGGCTAAGATGTGCATCCACAACACTGACAAGGTCGTTGAATCAAGAGGTGCAGTGGTTTGTTTGCCGAAGGGAGAGATGCCGCAGGAACGGTGCGAATTCAATAGGGCCACGGACTTGAAATCATGATCAGGCTTCCCTCATCACCACAAAGAGCTTAGCCGTGTTAATTGAGCCTCAAAGTTCAGGATCCGAGGGATGCCCAACTTAAAAGGAGAGCAGGAACCCCTCGCCCAACTCTCTTTGCTCTTGTACCTACAATCACCTTTCCGTTAAGCGCCCTGCACCCCCACAATGACCTCCCATATTCAGGCGGCCCAGCTTTTGCAAAATTAGCAACCGAAGATTCGTATTGAAGGGGTTGTCAGCATTCACTCTCTTTCTGCCGGCCTTCACTACCTGTGGGTTGTCAAACTCCGAAGTACGACCACCCATCAGTTCCACGAAGATGAGCCACTCAATCGCAGACAGCACGCTTCTGCAATCCATTGTCGATGCCCACCAGCCCGACTTTTCCCTGTACACAGGTTTCTACCGCGATGTCCACCAACACCCTGAGATATCCGCCATGGAGGAGGACACGGCCAAGAAAGTAGTAGCGCACCTCGAGCGACTTGGATACACCGTCCATACTGGAATAGGCGGCCATGGCGTTGTTGTAGTGCTGCAGAATGGGAATGGGGGCAAGAAGATCCTGATGCGAGCAGAACTCGATGCCTTGCCCATCCAAGAGCAGACAAACCTACCCTACCGGAGCCAACGCCGCATGATCGACCGATACGGCAACGAACGACCCGTGATGCACGCTTGCGGGCACGACATGAACATGGCGGCGCTTCTTGCGGCCGCCGATCTGCTCAAGTCCGCTTCCGCGAAATGGACCGGCACAATCCTCATTCTCTTCCAGCCGGACGAGGGGGAAACAAGCGGGGCGCGGGATATGGTGGACGACGGCCTTTACGACCGTGTTCCCGTCCCCGACCTCATGTTGGGTCAGCACGTGGTCCCCGCCCGCGCGGGCACCGTGGCCATCAAACCCTCCGGATCGGTCCTTGTGGCTGCCGACTCGATGCGCGTGCGTGTCACGGGGGGGCCTTGCGAGAACACCGTCAACCCTCAGATCTGCGTCGACCCAATCCCGCTGTCCATGCAAATCGTCTCGGAGCTCCAGGACGCTGTCACCAAGGAGATCGGGCCCGACCAGGATGCCACCCTTGCTTGTTGGGGCTTCTGGGCGGGTGAGCCGGGAAACGACCACGTCGCGTATGCCGACATGCTGCTCGACATTAAGACGGTGAAACCGGAGATACGACGGCGGGTCATTGACTTGATCAAAGAGAAGTTTCAAAACGATTGTCGGGCCGCCGGCATGCCGCGTGATCCCGAGTTCAACATCACCGTGCGTGCCCCGCTGACGAGTAACCACGACGACGTCGGCGGCCCCATCGCACACGTCTTCCGGGCCTACTTTGGAGAGAAAATGACGGAAATGGCATTCACCCGCGCCTGCGAGGACTTTTCAGTCCTGGGAGAGGTTCACGACGTGCCGTATGCCTACTGAAATTTCGGAGGAACTCACGAGGATGTTGCCGAGCCCATACCGACCAACCACTCGCCCTTTTTCGCACCAGAGGTCGATTTGACCCTTAAGACGGGCACGATGCCATGGCACTTGCAGCTTTGACGTTTCTAGCGGCAGAAACCTGAGGTAGACCAGAGTCTAAGACCCCTCATGAACAGGGATCCGTGGACAAGAGAAAAGGAGGCCTGAGAAAAGTTTTCAGGGGAAGATAAACTTTGATTCATGCCTGACCTTTCTGATGTCTTCCGTTTCAAATTGCTAACGAACGTGAAACGTAATCTATCCCGGTACTCTCCCGGGCCCGAAATTCCAACCCACTCCGTAACGAAATCACTCCGTATCAGCACCCAAACACCCTCAAAACCAGGCCCTAAAAGAAGAAAAGCCACCTCCAAAACTCCATCAACCGGCCTGCTCATCTCAAGGCCACCCCAAATCCGAACCTCGATCCGGAAAGCCCCAAACACAACCCTCACATCTACACGCCAACCCAAACCCCCATAATCCCAACAACCACTACGCCCACTCCCATCCCCATACTCGGCCCCACAACCACCCCAGCATTATGGTGGTTGTTATTGTTGTTGTGATAGTAGTTATTGCAGTTGTACTTGCACTTGCGCCATTTGCGTCTGTGCACCTCACCGTGGTCGTGCTCGTTGCTAGTGCGGGTAGAGTGAGGATCGCGGGTTGCAAGGTTGAGAGCGGCGTTGAGAGGGTTGGGGAGGACGAAGGCGGTGGTTAGGGAGAGGAGGGAGAGGAGAGTGAGGAGGAGGAGTTTCATGTTGTTGGTTTACTGTGTTGTTGTATGATGAGTTGATGGTTGTGATGTTGTTATGCATTGGCTGTACCTGGTTCGGGTCCTGTGATGGCGTTGACTACAGTAGTAGTTTAACTTTTGTAGGACATCGATGGTGAATGAGAAGATGATCCGAACTGATTGGCCCCCCGGGCAAGAGAGACCACACAATCTTATAACCCGCCGATTCCCTTGTTCTATCCAAATTCTACACCAACCATGAAGCACTGCTCGGTCCCCTCGAACACACCACAACATCAGACCGACCCTAGACCATATCCATCCATCCATGGTCAAAACAACCCGACCAGCTTCAACCAAACAATCGAAACAATCCCATCTTTCCCCTCCCCTTAATCCCGCATTCTGATTGGATACTCTCCATCAGCCCGACGGCGCAGCACCCAGACGGGCCGTTTTAAGATCGGCAGAAACCCGGTCTTCCGACCTGCTTGGCCGGCCCGGGCCGAGACCACCGGGGGTCGTCTCAACGGGCCGGGTGGGGGCGGGGCCGGAAGGGATTGATTGAGACAGATTCACAAGGGAAACCATAGATAATTATCATGTGGTTCATTTCTGGGTGGGTTGGGTCATGACCTGTGGCTGAGTGACTTCGGACTTCTGTTTTCGGAAGTAAATGATTTGGATGCTGAGGCCTAATTAGATATACCCTCAAATGGGCGGCTGCGAAATGGGGTCGTATTTGAGGTCAGGCTTCCTCGAAGCTTTGGGCAAAAGTGCAGTTAGATTAATTATTTTCACCGTTTCTGGATAGTTATTGGAGGAGGAAGAAAATATGGCGGCGGAATACAGTTGTAATGATTGAATTGGCAGTGATGACGCTTCGTTTCTATATTGCAATTAAATACGTCTCTCAATATCTCAAGTAAGTTTATCCCAAGTCGAAGCTTTCTGTTCCTCCCCTGTTACTTTCCCCTCTAACCTGAGAGACACATCCATTCCGTTTTGCCAGTGACCCTATTTGTTAGGACGCCCTTCAGGATGAGGGCCCGAGGGGCCGTGTGCTCGTCACCGTCTACTGACTCCTGCCACTAGAATCTAACACTGTCACCTCCCCGCCGGATGCCAAACTGGCTGCGTTCGTCTTCGTCGCCGTTTCCCTAGATCCATTCCGGGACGCCTCTAGGGCTGCCAAACTAACTGCGTTCGTCAACGTCGCCGTTTCCCTATTAGATCCATCCCAGGTCATTAGAGGCGTCATGCGCATCACTCGTGACAGCGGTTGTTCTCTCACACCCTCCGTCGTTTCCGGTGCAGATTTCGCAAGTTTGTCGCAAGCTAGTAACGCGCTTCGGAACTCGGATATAGTGATACGGAGCTCGGGATTGTGTGTGAACACGCGGGCAAAGAGATCCACCGCGCCGTCTGTCAGAGTGAACATGGGTCCCAGGTGCTGTGGGTCTTCTACGTAGTATTTATACCAGATGTCATCGAGCGAGGCACGTTCCCATGTAAACGATCCAGTCGTAAGTTTCCATAGGATAACTCCGAGAGCCCAGACGTCGGCTGGGGCACATTCGTAGGACGACCGCCCAGGGGCATACGATTTCCAACATTCTATTGGTTGGTCATACATCTTAGTAAATCGCTCTGCAAATTGAAGGGTGGAAGGGCAACGTACCAGGTGCCATGTATGACGGTGTCCCATGCTCAAAATCCTCACTTCTCCTGCGAGTGGTAGCCATGCCAAACCCGGCCAGCTTCAACGTCGCTCCTCCATTCGTTACAAAAACATTTTTCAGTGTCAGGTCTCGGTGGTAGATACCGAGCCTGTGGCAGTGCTCGACAGCATCAAGCAACTGGAGGAAGAGGCGCTTGTTTAACTCGTCTTGGCCGGCAATGATATCTTCATCGTGCTCGGTAATGTAGTCGTCCAAATTCGATTCCGGGAAAGAGTCCAGGATCATATACCAGTGCTCGGACGTGTCCAAAACTTTCCGAATTGATAGAACATTAGGGTGTGCTGATGCCAAATGGTGCATCTTGATCTCATCTGGCTGTTCGGTCTTAATATTGTGCATGCCTAGAGGTGATCCAATGCTAAGCTTTTCAAAGCATTTTACCACGCATTTTTCTGACTGCACAGTATCGATGGCCTCATATATGGCCACCCCCTCCTTCTCCTTAAAGCCTAGGAGGCTGGTAAGTCGCACTGACGGCGTAATATACTGGCCCACCATTCCCGCTGGGCGGAGAATTCTACGAGCCTCGATTTCGGTCGTCCGCTCCTGATCATCTGCGATGGTAGGCTGTGGGTTGATGCTGTCGGGCTGCGGTGACTTCAGAAGCGCCACAATATTACTGTGCCCCCCGGCTTCGGCCGCTAAGATAGCACTGCCCCAAGTCTCTCCGCCCGCCAGGACGTCCGCACCTTCTCCGAGCAATCGCCGTACCTCGTTGATCTCCCCCGCAAAGGCAGCTACATGGAGTGGAGGATCTGGGGACCAATTCAGTCCCGCGTTATTGGCATCCGAGGTGGACTCCAGAACTTGACTCGGCAGTGCTGCGTTCGAACTGCCGCGGCTGCCACCTCCCTGTTCGTGCTCCTGTTCCGCTCCTGGGTCAATTGTTGATCTTGAGGCAGCGAAAAGCGCGAGTTGTTCCATGTGGGAGGCCACATGCTTCCGGAATTGGGTACGCGTCACGACGAGAACGTCTGCCGGGGGAACAGTACGACTCCCCTCGCTCCCTGGGGTCGACTCGTTGTTGTCTGAGTTGTCGTCCTGCATGGCAACCCGAATCTTCTGCTCCCACTCGTCACAGAAAGGACAATCGGCCGCGGGAATAAGATCTAGTGCGCGGCGACTAGCCTGGTCTAAGAGCCGGGTTTCGGACTCGGAAAATCCGGGGTGGGCACCCTGGACGTGTTCTTTGAAGGAATCGGCCGATCGGAAGGTACCGGAACTACAAAGCGTACAGGACCAGGTACATCGATGGTTTTGGAGTTCGTGCTCGAACCAAGTGTTGCTGTCTGCAAAGAGCTGGAGGTCACACTCGGCGGGGCCCATTGTGCAGACATACGATTTGAGGTCGCTGAACGCGTGGCGTCTTCATGAAAGGAAGTACGGGGGGTTAGTGTTATATTGGTAAGGTAATAGATAGTTATGGCGATGATTATGAACCGTAGGTAGTGGTTGGGGCATACATACCTCCATCCCTTGTCCCGCTTGAACCTTTGAATGATATGGCAAAAAGGGCACTCAAAATCGGTCGCGGGGTTGTCCTTCGTAAGAGTTTGAAGGCTTGGTAACTCCAACACCACATCATCCCCCGGCGCCAAGTCAGAATGCGCGGCCGAGGTGTACGACACCCCGTCGTCTTCCGGCCCCTCCTGGACGATATCTAACTGCCCGGCGAATAGGGTGGACGCTGTAGTCCCTGGTTCTGTAATTCCCGCCTGGGACATGCCACTGTCCACACCTAGCGGCAGATGCGCCCCAGATCTTTCCGTGCCGCTGGAGATATTAGGCGACAGGTTTGATGTTTGGTTGGGGTTAGAATTGGAATTGGCACTGTTGTCGTCCTGGTGCGCCAAGGAGTCCTGGTGTTCTCTGCAATACCGTAGAAATTGCCGTCTCAGTGTGATGGCTCGGCCCAGCCTCCTAGCCAGCCATTCAGAACCTGGCCGTGCCAGCTTCGGGTATTTTTCCCGAGTGTGATTGATGTCGAACTGATCCATAAATGTATCCCGTGATCTCTGGAGCGCAGTCTGGAAGCGATCCCTCGAACTGGCATTCCTAATGAGCGTCGAGGTTTTGAGTAAGCCGCGGCAACATTCGACAGCCGCACCGAGGATTTCGCGTGCGTCATCTTCAGGGACTGGTATCGGCGGAGGCACACTAAAACTAGGGTCATCTGCATTGATGCCGGTGGAAAGGGCGATCGGATCCCTGGGTTCTTCGGACACGGTCTCAAGCACTCGAATCAGTTAGGTACCGCGATCACTTTCAAAAATCAGGTCGGTACATCCCTGGTGAGTAGTCCGTAGGGAATGAATCATATCTACTTACCGTCAGTGAGAGCATCCGCCAGGTCGTTTAATAGTTCGCAAACCCAATCTCGAATCTCGGGGGCATCCCTAAGGCGTGACTCAAGGGATAATTGAGACTGTGGGGGTTGGAAAGCGCCAATATTTCTGGCCCAAAGAGCAAATCTTTCTGAAACATCCGTGGCAGCTTCTGCAATGACGGCGGTTATTTGTGGGTGCCTTTTGATGGATTCAACTTGGCTATTTATCGCCGTGGATTTGGATAATATGGACGTCATTCCCGCAACAAAGTCCCTGCTCGAGGCCCGTGGAGTTGCTTGATAGTGTTCCAGTGACTGCTGTCACCAGAAGTGCAAATTGGAGACGACGTATGGCAGAGGAAATTCTTGGGTGGCTGCCGGTTGTGATTAGCTGGAGTTGCAGCTTCGCTTCGGCCCCGCAGGACAACGAGGTGCGTCCAGTCTGCCTTGCCGCCTGCTTCTCCCCGAACAAGCGAGGCAACCCCGCTCCGGCGAGGCTTCACAAGCAGCAAGCTGACACCCAGAGAAGCCGCTCTGGACTCCTGGGGCTCCATGTTCAATCTCACGAACTTTTTCGCGCTCCTGCCAGTCACGAACTTGTACCGATTGACCCATCGTTCGGGGCATGACAGTGGATAATCATGTCAGGGTTCGAGATCGCCGGCGTCATCCTGGGCGCCTATCCAATCCTCATGTCCGCGCTCAAAGGATATGGGGAGCTGGCCAGAAAAGTCGGGGTTTGGAACAACATCCGCCAAGAATACCAGAAATGCAAAAACGAAATCAACGCCCAGAACGTAGCCTTTATTGGAAATCTACGGCGGTTACTCCTCACTATTCGAGTGGACGACGTGACGATCTCTTGCCTTTTAGCCGACCCGGGAGGGCAGGAATGGGGAAACGCGGATCTGGCACAATCGCTTGAGAAGTATCTACAAGACTCACACGACGTATTCCTGCACACTATCGAAGATATGAATCGCGTCATGGTGGAGTTGAAACGGGAGATAGTCATCGATGCGGAAAATCTGCGACAGAGAGTGGAAGCGACCAGGGTGAGTGATCTACCTTAGTCTTCATTGCCCATTCAGGTCATACCGGCAAGGCCACGGGTGGTGTAGCTGATTAAGATAGTCAGCGGAGCTGTCGACTCGACTCAAAGAAGCTTTCAGGAAATTCGGCACGACGAGGGACTACCAGTTGTACCGGATGCAGTTTACCCTAGGAGAAACCACACGAAAGCGGCTTTTTGATGAAATTAAAAGTTATAACGACCGACTTCGAAATCTCCTTGAGACCACTAGTGCTATGTCCCAAGCGCAGAAGTCTAGAGATACAGCTAGAAAGGTTCGCGAAGACGCCTTAGTCTGTGGGCTTTGGAAACGTGCCGACCAACTGTACAGCGTTCTCTCCGAGGCTTGGAACTGTAACTGCCGGAAGCATCACCATGCACATATGATGCTGCAGGACCGGCACCGACCGTCTCCTGAGCCGCATTTCCGGCTCATGCTGTGGTCCAGTTCGCCTCACCTGCCATCCGACCAGACCCCTCAGCCTTTGTTCTGCCGTCCTGTTCGAGTCGAGATCTCCAACGAGCTTAACATAACCGGAACCGTGCCCATCACAGTCGACGCAACAACCGCCTTACGCCCAGGCACATCCCCAGCACACAGAACTGCCACACCGCTCCGGCCCAGTACGGCCTCCAGCAAGCAGCAGAAACAATTCCTACGGGCAAGGTTCATAGGAGGCCAAGGGTATGAAATGACTCCCCCCATCAGCCTTGAGTCTGCTAACGCCGAATAGAGTACCACTAATTACAACCACCTTGACTGAGAACAACCCGAACCCAAGAACGGAAGCCCATGAATTGGCACAGCGAGAGCATCAGCAACAGGTTCCTCAAATTTCAAGTCTCTGCATCACACTCCGTCAAAAGCCGTCCCCCCCTACACGCTGCCACGGGTATTTACTTGACGCGGTGGGCACCAAGCGGTATTACCTACATGCGATCGACCATGCAGCGGATACGGAGAATAGCACCCCTAGTAATTCAAATCCGAGCAAACCAACAGCCATCACGCTCGAAACCATCCTCCGTGATTCGAAAACCCCATTAACCCGACTGCAGCGGTTTTCTCTAGCCGTCACCGTCGCCTCGTCATTCATCCAATTTGCCGGTACGCCATGGCTCAAATCCCGTTGGGCCAAATCCGATGTGGTGTTTTTCCCCGATCCGGATAACCCACGCGCCCCAGGTGTACTTCCCGAGCAGCCGTTTGTTAGCCGAGATTTCCTCATTGACAACTCTGCTCCTCAAATGCCAGCTCCAGTCTCACCACAAATCAGAGTCGCCGACCGGATTATCGACGGATTGGAGTCCCTGGGTATAGTCCTCCTAGAATTGTGCTTTGGTAAGCCGATCGAGCAGCACTCGTCCTGGCCGTCGATAGCGCCAACCGGGTCGAGTCTTCTGGCGGCACTGGAGTGGTTAAAAGAAGTCGCCGAAGAGGCCGGGCCCGAGTATGCCGATGCCGTTGCGTGGTGTCTGATCGGCGGTCGGACAATCTCAACGGATCGCGGGGACGGCTGGAGGGCGATCATGTCGGACCGTGTTGTCAAGCCGTTGGGACAGTGTCGAAGTTATATTGCGCCTGTGAGATAGGAAATAGAGGGACCGGACGGAGATGGCAAGCGTAGATATTTCCCAGGTTAAAGGTACATTTGGCAACATCCCGTAATTACCACAGCGTTGCAAGCCTGCAAAAAAATCAGGATAACGGCCGCAGTTTAAGAATTCCAAGAGTGAGGGAATAAAAAGGGTGTTATTGTGTCGGTAAGTACTATGTTTCCTCAGCAGGGTTTAGCATGCTATACATCTCGAGGTCTTGGAGTTTCTGTTTATCTTTCTGAGCCGGCGGGTGTCCTTGTAACAGAACACTCCCCTCGACATCGTGTTTGAGTCGTTTTGTTTTCTTATCGACTCAAAAATATGATGAGTTAATTAGACTTCATCCAGCCCGGGTCTCAGCTCTCGCACTTCTCGTGACGTCACATTGGATTAGCTTCATCCCAAAATCCCAATTCCCACCTAACATAGCCCTCGTTGCCTACACTGGTGTCCTCCGGTTAGTAACGAAAAACTTAGAACTCCAATTAGAATTCCTTGCTAAGCATTTACAGCCCGCCTTATCCCACTCAAGCTTCCCCTCCATCTCACCTCATCGCCTAAAACATCCCAAATCTCAGCAAATCTCCTTTTCCCTTCCTTTGTACCCTCACCGGCCTCACTGACCTGACTCAGCACGGCAGTCAGACGGAAAACCCGCAGCATCCCCAGCGCCACTGCAGACCGGCGCATCCCCACAAATTATCTCCGACGAGTCGACGACAATGTTGACATGGGGGTAAGACAGACGAGCAAAGAAATCCGCAATTCTGCATTCCCAAAATCCACCCGTCTCTGAGAAACCCGATTCGCTTGGACGCAAGCCGAGATTTGTTTCACCGCATTGCAAATCTATTGGACCACAGCAGGGCTTGCCCCGACCGACGTGGTGCTTTGCGGACCAGGGTGTCATGTTTTGATGCCTGGCTTGCGTTGTGGGAATGTATGCTTGTCGGAGATCTGTGAAGGTGGGAACGTCCACGAATATTAATTAATTAAATTTCGTATGTTCCCTCATTGCTTGTGGGCTTCTTCAACCGTTTTTAACCTTATTTTTTGATACAAAAAAAAGTCCGACGTATGGCATAACCCCATCACCAACAATGCCATCCCTCACTTCCCCGGCCACATGGGGCCTCCTAGCAGCCCTCATCGGCCTAACCAGCATCCTCCTCACCGTTATCCCCCTTCCACCCACTCTCCTCGCCTTCCTGCCCTTCACCATCCCCCCTTCTATTACTCTCACCATCCCCTTCCTATCCCCAGTACTATCCCAACAGCCCATCCACCCCCTAACCGCCCTCCTCTCAACCAACGCCCAACTCCATCTCCCCACGCACCCTTCCTACCCGCACTCCACGCACCGTTGGTCTGCCTCACCTCGCCAATCTCCCGCTCTGCCGTCTTTGGTGGTGCTGCCAGCTACGGAACAGGATATTGTTGCGACGATTCAGTACGCGAATGAGAATGAGATTCCGTTTCTAGCTACGTCCGGTGGACATGGGACGACGACGTATTTATCCCAGTTTGGCAGCGCCGGGGATGGGAAGAAGGGCGAAGCGCCCGGTGGGATCTTGATCAACCTGCGCCAACTCAACTCTGTCGCGCTATCCGCCGACGGAGCCACGGCTACCGTAGGCGGTGGAATCCTCGCGCACGAGCTGATCACCGCGCTGTGGGCCGACAACAAGCAGACAACAACGGGGATCTGCAGTTGTGTTTCGTTTGCGGGACCGGCGCTGGGTGGTGGGCATGGGCTGTTGCAGGGGCAGTATGGGTTGGCGGCGGATCAGATTGTGGGGATGAGGGTTGTGTTGGGGAACGGGGAGGTTGTTGATTTGGAGGATCCTGCGCTTGCCAAAGGTGACGGGAAGTCGGAGCATGAGGATTTGTGGTGGGCGATGAGGGGGGCTGGACATAATTTTGGGGTGGTGAGTGAGTTTCGGTTGAAGGTGCATGAGGTCGCGGAGGATAGGAAGATGTGGGCGTATGAGGTGTTTGTGTTTCCGGGAGAGCGGCTGGAGGAGGTGTTTGGTGTTTTGAAGGCGTTGATGGAGGAGCAGCCGAAGTGGGTGACACACTGGACGATGTGGGGGGATGACCCTGAGAATCCTACGGGGAAGGTGAGTGTCCCAGGGATGGTATCCAGAGTTTGGGTTGGCAAAGGGATCACTAACGCGGAGGAACAGCCCAGTATCTCAACGATCGTCTTCTACAACGGCCCCCTGGCCGATTCCCAGGCCTACACGGCGCCTATCCAGGCCTTGAACCCCGTCGGCTACGTCTCGGGATCCGCGGCGTACCCCGACGTTAATGCGGTTGTCGGAACCGCCAAGGACAGCCCAATCTGCCAGGCCAAGGGCACCGTGGGCCTGCGTGCTGTCGACGTGGACGATTACGATCTTGCGGGCCTGCGTAAGGCGTTTGATATCTTGGAGGAGTCCATTGCTTCGGACCCGGCGCTCGGCGCCTCGTTTGCTATGTTGGAAGGGTACTCCGTCCAGGCGGTCCAGGCCGTGCCGGCGGAGAGCAGTGCATTCCCGCATCGCGATGTGAGGCTCATGCTGTAAGTTGCTCATTGTGTTGATCTTACTTGAACTCCAAGATCCTGACCGAATATCCTAGGGCGCCCTTGACGTTCTACGATGCCGTCGGCAACAACACCCTTGACGAAGCCGCCGCGATCTGGACCAAGAAGATGGCCAAGGCTCTTGACCCCGGGCCGAAGCCGAGGTCGTACGTGAATTATGGATACGGCGACGAATCGTTGGAGGCCGCATACGGGTAAGTGCTTCAAGATGAGTGTGTTCGTGTGAACGTGTGAGCTCACAGAAACAGGTATGAGCCGTGGCGGTTGGAGAAGTTGCGGGCGGTCAAGAAGAAGTACGACCCGGAGAACCGGTTCCGGTACTATGCCCCGCTGGTGAGGTCTGGAGATGAATAATGAAAAGGGAGGGAAAGTATAGGCAGAAATCAAGAAGTAACCAAAATCGCATTTCCAAAATATGTCATACTGAACACTCACGGCCAAAGTGACTCAAACATAAACAGCCAGTCCTCCCAGTAGTTCTCATACCTGCCGACCAGCCAACTCCGGCCGTCACCATCACCCCCGATCCTCCATGGCCGTGTGTAGAGACCCCCCTCTTTCAAATGCCGCTTCCCAGCCAGGTTCATGCTGAACGAGCTGGGACTAACACCGAGGAAATAGTCACACTCCAACAGCACAATGAAATCAATCAGCGCTTGCTGGTCCCACGTCAATTTTTGCAGCGCCTCTAAGTCGTCCGGGTGCTCTAGCAGCAAGTCATGCTTCGTAATCACCGCCATATCATTCTCTTCGTCTGCCGCACGCGTCAGCTTCAGCGCCTCTGTCTTGTTGCCTGTAGCTAGGTACGCGGCCTTGAACTTCATCGCCCGCGCGTGCTGGAGGTAAGCATCGCGCTGCTCAGGGAACTTGGGCCACCGGCTGAGCGCGTCACTCTCGGTGCGCAAGTGCATACCCGCATATGCGCCGTCGCCACCGCTCAGCGACGAGAAGGTACGCATGTACCCGGCCGCTCGCTTGCCCAGGGCTAAAATATCGGACCGAAACCTGAGTAAACCGCCATAGCTAGCGACGAACTCCGGTCCGTCACGAAAGACCGGCCAGTCCCACTGTACGCCCCAAGTAAAGCGAATGATGCGGGGGTGCAAGACGCTTGGTGGCGGTCGGTCAAACTCTGCCGCCGTGTCGTTGATGTACGACCAGAACTGTTTGTCGAAACGACCGGTATGCTTGTTGAGCTCCCTCTTGTCGCACCCCCCGCGACGGCCGAAATTCCGCGGCGTGATCTGCTCGGCCTTGAACGGGTCGGGTGCATTAGGGATATCGTCCGTCGAGTCGTACAGCGTAAACTGCGGGCAGGCCCCGAGCAGGCTGCGACGGAAATGCTGCTCATCAAAGAAGTAGTCGAACCCGCGGTACGCCAACATGATGTTCGACAGGTTTTCCTCTGACCGCGTCCGGATCTGTGGGAGCACCAGCCCAGTCGCACCCGCGTCGATGGCATACCGGATGCACGTCAATATATAATTGCGGATATTGCCGATACCACCGGAGTTGTTGTCGCACACAAACACCACACCCGGCGTCCAAGTCGTGCTCTCGTGGCACACACGCTGCAACGGCCAACTGATGAACGGCGCGTCGGCTTTGGAAAGATCCACGGTGGGTCGTACGGGCGGGCTCATCCCGGTGTCGATAGCCCGTGGTGGTGGTGCAGGCGGGGGCGTGTGTGTTGCTACCGCTGGTACAAGTGCCATGTTCTCGCCGTATAGGCACATTTTGGGCAGCCGGCATAGCCAGATGGTGACCAAGCTGATGCAGCACACTGTGATTAGCAGTCCTCGTGGCCGCGCCGCGGCGTGAGAGGTGAAGGAACCCGTCATCGTCCCATAAATACGGGTGATAACCACATGCAGGCCGTGGTGAGATTGGGGATCAGAGCCGGGTCTTGGGTGTGTGTGGTTGATGAGATGTCAAGTTGCTCAAATTCATGAGAATGCCCAATTGAGATTCCGCCGCGTGTCCACTTTGGCCTGCGGATCGCGGGGCCGAATCCTGGCTGGAATTGGCCGGATCTGACGGCGGAAACGGACTTCCGGGTCCGGGTGGGGGCCGCATCCCTTGTAGACGGAGGCCATCGTTGCGTTGGTTCGTTAGTCTTCGCCAGAGGTTGAGGAGGAAAGCGATTGCAGAAAAATCCCAAGCAACCATCAATTCAACTTTTAATTGGGAAAAGATGGAGAGGGGGAAGTGCTGCGAGTTTGGGAACCTCAATTTGGAAACCACCAGGGGAAGGGTTAGGGTTGATGCAAGGCGATAACGATGTGCCCCGCAAGGAGGGGTGATAAGGATGCCCCACTGAAAAAGTTCCCAATTCCACAAATTTTGGCTGGAATTTGCGACAAAGCCCGGCGCCGACGAGACATCAGGATCGCATTTTCTGGCGGACACAACACACAATGGCGAAGCGCACGGCAGACCAAGCGGAGGCCGGCCCGCTCAAGGCCGGCGGGCGCCCAGAGGCAATGGACGTCGACGACAAGCCGGCCGACATGGGCGAGTTCGAGGACGAGTTCGAGGACGAATTCGAGAGCGAAGATGAAATCATCGAAGCCGGCGTTGATGGGCGGCCCGACGCCGAGCGCGAAGCTGAGGAGGCCATGGATGTTGATCCCGCTGCGCCCGGCACCTTCATGGTCGGCCGAACAAAACTCGAACCCGGCCAAACACTCTCCCCTGACCCTTCCACATACCGCATGCTGCACAACCTTAGCACGCCGTGGCCATGCCTCTCCTTCGACATTGTTCGCGACAGCTTAGGCGACAACCGCAGCGTCTACCCGGCGACGATGTACACAGTGTCCGGGACGCAGGCCGACAGCGCTAAAGCCAGCGACAACTCGCTCATGGTCATGAAGTTCAGCGGGTTGAGCAAGATGCAAGGCGGCGAAGGCGACGAGTCGAGCGACGACGAAGACGATGACGAGGATGCCGACCCCATCCTCGAGCACCGCAGCATCCCGCTCAACACCACAACCAACCGCATACGCGCCCACCACACCCCGTCCCAAGACCCATCCAAATCCCCGGTTACCCTCACCGCGACCATGACCGAGTCCTCCAACGTCTTCATCCACGACATCACCCCCCACCTCGCCTCCTTCGACACCCCCGGCACGGTCATCACACCCCAGCAAAACAAACCCCTCAGCACCATCCGCGCCCACAAAACCGAAGGCTATGCCGTCGACTGGTCGCCCCTCCACCCCGCCGGCAAACTCCTAACCGGCGACAACGACGGCCTGATCTACGTCACAACCCGCACCGACGGCGGCGGTTTCGTAACCGACACCCGGCCCTTCCAAGGCCACACCTCCAGCGTGGAAGAAATCCAATGGAGTCCCTCTGAGGCGTCGGTGTTCGCCTCAGCCTCGAGCGACGGCACCATCCGCGTCTGGGACGTCCGCAGCAAAGGGCGGAAACCCGCGCTGTCCATGCAGGTCAGCAACGTCGATGTCAACGTCATGTCCTGGTCGCAGCAGACCACCCACCTCCTGGCCTCCGGCGACGACGCCGGCGTGTGGGGGGTCTGGGACCTGCGGCAGTGGAAGCCTAGCGCGGCTGGGTCGAACGCGAACGCGGGTGCCGGGGCGGCGTTGCAGCGGCCGAGTCCGATTGCCAGTTTTGGGTTTCATAAGGAGCAGATTACTAGTGTGGAGTGGCACCCGACTGATGACAGTATTGTGGCGGTGTCGGCGGGGGATAATACGGTGACGCTGTGGGATTTGGCGGTGGAGTTGGATGATGAGGAGAGTAAAGACACGGCTGGCGTGCAGGATGTGCCGCCGCAGTTGTTGTTTGTGCATTACCAGAACCAGGCGAAGGAGGTGCATTGGCATCCGCAGATACCGGGGACGTTGGTGGCGACGGGCGAGGAGTTTAGTGTGTTTAGGACGATTAGCGTGTAGGGAGGTGTTGTTTTAGGAGTGGTGCTTCCAGAGCAAGACTCGGTTGAATAGACAGCGTTGGGAGTAAAGGTTATGCATGACAAGGAACTGCTGCCTTTAATGACAGTCCAACCCGACTTGTCAGGTTGAAGGGAGACAAAACTGAGCAAGTGAGCCAACGCCGGTATACAAACCGCCGTGGTTCTGGCCGAAACCCAGGATCCTCACACATGTTGAACAACTAACAACAAAAAAAGTGGTTAAAAACATCCAAAAGCTCACTGCCCACTTCCTCCGGTGAGGAAGTGAACAGCTACGAAAATCCCGAAGAATTTTGCTGTGATGCTCCCATCATGAGTCGAACCCACGAAGCGGCGGTGCTGCCCGCACCCCCCCAAAGGCACCATCCGCGGTCCGGGAGGCATTTGCCGGATGGGGGGCCTGTTGGGAACGGAAGGCGGAAGGGTGGGTTATAAACGGCTGTGTGGGAGTTGGAGGGGGAGGGAAGGTACGGGGGTATGAGCCGGACTATTTTCACACATCATGATCACGATGGAACGGGCCCCAGATGTCGGCAGAAACTCTTGAAAATCGGCATGGTTATTGTCAGACACGGAACGCCAGATTTCCGCCATATATGTTAATATAAGGACGGGAATTGACTTGGACATTTGATCTAAAATGGGAGTATTTGTTTAAGACTTTTACCACGGCCCTTTGCCAAGGACCAATTACAAACTTCCCCGAAAACTGATCGGATGAGTGTATATGCGTCCCCATTATACTGGTTCATCCTTCAAACCATACATGACATTTCAAAAACAACATACAACACAACATGATGCACCCCAAAAATTTAAGGCCATATTTATGGAAGAGCATAGTTTATCACGAGTCATTGAACGGAAAGTACCCTGATGTAAACGGAGAGTTCTGAGGACATGTCGATGGGGAGTGCACGGAGCATGGAAAAGGTCATGGCACACTTAATCCTAAGAGAACGCCCGCCAAAGATCAGTTCCTTTCTGCAACCACCGTTAGGTCTATGCACAGGAAGACCAGCTAGTAATTGATTCTGTTTACCCCTGCAATTCGATCCCCTTTCCTCTCCTCAGTGAACCTCAGTGTCTCTCCAACCGATAACCTCCAAATTCAGTTCCCGAGTTAACCATCTTTGACAAGGTTTTGACCACTCCTAACAAGTTCGATCCTTTTAAGTCGGTGGGCGAAGTCCTCGAGATGCGAATTATGATTGCCGGGTTGTGTTGAGTTAGCCTCTACGATGAGACCTACCAGATGACGGTTTCATATCGAACTGTTTTTTTTTGTCGTCGCTGGCGTGTGTGGATATAGTCCGGTCTGTTGTTAGTTGGTCTCTCTCGGTCTTCTTAAGCCTGGCGGATTCGATACCGGGGCGAACCGGGGCAATGCGAATTCTTGGTCAGTCAAAGGCGTGTCGATGTTGAATCGTCGATGAGCCAAAGGTCCGAAGACAACTCGGCGGTCGTCCGGGATACCAACACCAAATACAAATATGACGACGCGAAAAGCTCGACGAGATAATTACATGAAAGCAATATAAAAATAATAACAATGGACCGAATGAGGTCGAACTTAATGTTAGTCGCGAGGAAGAAAGCATGAAAAGCAACACCGAGAATTGACAACACAACTTGTCGTGAGCGGAAAAAGGACTGTAGCGTCCGGCAGAAAAACAACCGAAATCGCAGGAACGCAGCAGAACGCAGCAAAACGCACCGGAGCAAAGCTCGGACAGACAAGACATTTCGAAATCCAAACAGCAGGGTAGGGGTCAATATATAACCATAGTTTCGCCTCTTCGGCCGAGTGGCGATGTAAGCCCCTCCTAACATCTCGTCGTTACCATATCCTCATTGCCAGAGACTTCCGCCGCCCTGATTTCAAAGCGCACCATGCACACGACTAAGGGAGCCAATCATCAAATGGGCCTCAAGATCATTGACGTTACTTCTCGTGCGCCTTCATCATTCATCATGTGGAGTATTTCCCAATCCCTTCACAGTGCATCTGCTAGATCGACGCACGTCAAGCGCTGAATCATCCTATGAGCAGCGCCAGTCCCCAGTTTTGCTCTCTTTAATTACTACACGATCTCCAGTGGCGAACAAACCTTTACAGCGAGCCCGAGTACCCCTACCTCCAACGTTTCCCATCAGCCTCCTCCGGCGGCAGGTAGTAGGTAATTACTTGAGCCAGAGCAGCACACCTCTTGATCGGATACCGCTTGAAATTTTAGACTTGGACGTTTCAATCAAAATACATTCGTGACAAACATCATAACACGCAAACTATATACAGTCATCCCCTATTTATCCAAACCCCCACCCAAAACCACCCGCGTCGAAACCACTTAGCAAGTGTTCAACATGCTAGACAACGCGCTCTTCTCAGCCGAGGTGATGGTCAAGTCATAGGTGCTCTTAACCGACACCCATGCGCGGGCATAGGTGCAGTAGAAAGAGGCGAGAGGAGGCTTCCACTGGTCGGGGGACTTGTCGCTCTTGGCCTGGTTCACGTTGTCGGTCACGGCCCACAGCTGGGGGTGATCGATGTCGTTGGCGAACTGTTGGCGGCGGGCGGTGGTCCAGGCGTTGGCGCCGGACTGGGGGAGGGTTGTTAGCCTTCGTTACATTGTACGAAAGTGGCCTTGGTTGGAGAATAGGGGTGGTTTAAGGGAAGTCGGTACTCACGATCCAGGCGTTCTTCAACGGGACCATGTGGTCGATGTCGACGTCAGACGCGGCGGTCCAGGTGGCGCCATCGTAGGGGGAGAACCAGCTGCCAGAGGTAGCCGTGCAGGCGTCGTTTACCTGCACATTGGTGCCATCGCGCTTCAGGACGTACTCGCTGAGGATAGTGTCAGTTGGAGGAGATCAAGACGGGGATGGATCATAAGGATTTTAGGCTACGTACCGGGTGTTGCAGGTACCCTCCTTGGTTTCCCAGGTCGGGAACAGGTCGCGGCTGTAGCTGCCGTCGTCAACGGCCGCCTTGACGGTGAGGCTGGCCAGCTGGCTCTTCGCGGTCGAGGCCGAGGGGATGCCGGGCTGTGTGTTTCAGTTAATTAGTTGTGAGTCTTTTGCTTTGCTTCCGTTCTTTGCTTTGGTTTGAAGCAACGTACAGGCGTCGGCGCCGGCATGGGAATGGCGGAGACCGCCACGGCGAGCAAGGACCCCAGGATAAACGACTTCATCTTGACTGCGTGGGAATTCTCGTGGTCGAAACTGGAGAGATCACGGGGAGTTCCTTGTCTTCGCTTCTCAGGCCGACGAACCCGTTCTTAAATACCCTCCACTCTAACATACCCGCCTTCTCGAACTTATCATAAACAGCTGTCGACTGTGTAGAGGACCCTTCCCGTGCCTGCCGAACCCCTCCGACGGCGCAGCGAACCCCATCTCAAAACAAAGTCCCCACGATCCCAATGCCCAATCGGGAAGGCGGCCGAGGCTGGCGTCTCGCTCGAGTGCCGATCTCTTGATACACGCTGCCTCGCTGTCCAATCTGCGGGCGTTGCTCAGCAATGTGCAAGTGCAACCCTCTGTTTGTTGCGCCGAGCTGAACGCCTCAAAAGTTGACGCGCCCAAGCACCACTGCAGGGTTCGGGAAAGCTAGAACGGATGACACGGAGGACGGGCCGCGATGGGGCTTCGAGGTTAGAATCCAGTCAAGGCTCAAGAAATCACCACGCAGCTCGAATCCGTGACATACAGTGCTCCCAACTCCCGAGCGCAGGGGTCTAGAGGTCCAGTACCTGACTCCAGGGGCTCGGCTTTTCTGAAACCCCCCATAACCCCCCTCAAATCAACCCCCACAACCAACAACGCCACGACAGTCCACCAACTCACAGCAGATGGATCTCCGCTCACTGCAACACCTCTAGAAAAACCTTCCTATTCGGGCCAACCCGCTAAACTCACTGGAGCGGCAACTGCCGGCGCTTTTGCCAAGAGCAAATCCCTTGGCGATAAACCAATCAAACGGTCTCCTTCCTGTGCGGTCTTCGCTTGTTTTTGCCGTGGCCGGCGAGTGCAGCTGTCAAAAAAGGCGGAATACACTGCTTCACAGGATCGGAGGAATAGGAAAATGGAGAGGAAACCGGGAAAGGGACCTTGAGGATATGCAGCCATTGCTAGCATGCATGATGCGCATGTGGGATCGTGGGCGGGACACCTCTGCATGCATGCATCGGCGCATCGTGCCAAGAAAGGAACTTGACAGAATGGGATACCGAGGGGAGGGGATAAAGAGGGCGGAGGTCGCCGTTCTTTGCATGCTCTTTCTGCTCGTAGCACAAGACGTGTCGTGTCGGTCGTTTTCTTCTCTGGGAAGGACCGTGGATGAGAGTACTCGGACGGCGCTGTGATTCAATGTCAAGGGAGATAAGTTTAGAACATCGGTGGTATGTGAAGAGTGCGCGTGGAGAAATCCACTGGGTGTTGAGCTTTTGCGAAGGCGTCGCTTCGAGCAGGCGGCTTACGTACAGCAGCTTGCTCGGTGTCTTATTTGGGAGTCGAGCCGGCATCGTTGGACGTTTCTCACTTGTCTAGAGGTTTTGCTCACCAAAGACAAGTCTATAGCGGCACGTTGCAGATCGGAGGTCTATTATACGCTGCTAATTATAACAGCTTTCCAAAGTGCTCTAGCATCGTGTAAAGTCATATTTCTTCCGCATTTATTTACTGTTGCTGACTTGTTGTCCCCCCTAAAGAAGCTAACGACGACGCAGCTCACGTCAAATAGAAAGACTTATTAATCAAGTTAAATGACAAAGCAAGCCAGTATACCGCGTCTATCCCGATTGTACTCCTCGCATACCCCTACAACATATCAATCACCCTTGTACATCTACTTCTCACCCTGCACCGCATCCTCACTCGGCCCTCCTCCGCCCACTTCCTCCGTACCCCCCGTCTCCTCCGTAGATACCTCCTTCTTCTTCCCACCCCACGGATTAATACTCTTCGGCATGGAAACACTAGGCATGCTCGGCATGCTCGGCATACTCGGTACCGGCACGTTCGGAATACTCGGTATCTTCCCACTGGGGAGATATGACCTGAGGCTTGTGCTTGTCTGCTGGGCTGCACCAAAGAGATATCGGAGGTAAGCCGTGCGTTGGGAGTTGTCATTGGATGTACTGGTGTTGGTGCTATCATCGGCTAAGTCCTTGTCGATGTTGTCCGGGAGCGGGACGAGAGATGCGGCGGCGGCTATGTCGATGGGGGATTCGTCGGGGATGTTATTGTCGTCGTTCTGGTGGCTGTTGTTGTTGTTGTTGTCTTCCCCGGCTTGGGTTTGAGCAGAACCCTGGGGTGTGTTCACGTCGGGCATGTCAACATCCGCCGAGCCCTCCTCATTACTCTTTGTCTTTGCCAAACTCTCCTCGGCCTTCTCAATCCCCTGCTCGCTATCAACCGCCTTCGCCAGCTCCTCCGTCTCAGCTGGTTCAGCAGGCGCGGGCGTCTGGAACCGGGGGTCGTCGTAGATAGGCGAGGTGTTGTTGAACCATTCGACCACACGCTGCGCGGCGTCGTTGGTCATGCGCTCGTAGTTTTTGTTTTGGGGGCGCTTGAAGAGGCCGGTGTGGGCTTGGATCTCGTCTTTGGCGTCCGACATGACGTGGCGGGTGAACAGTTTTGCCTCGGCGGCCAGTTCCGCTTCGTCTTTGTCTTTGTCTTGGTCTTGCTCTTCCTCTTCATCGTTCTCCTTCTCTTGCGCATCACCACCCTTTTCCCTACATGCCTTCTTCTTCTCCTCCTTATTTCCCGAAGGTACTGCGCAAAACGTCCGCTCAGGCACAAAATACCCCCCACTCCAATACCCATTCTCCCCCAGCGACGCATACACATCACAAACCCCGACCCCCCCTTGCAACGCCGCCAACCTCTCCAGCCGTCGATTCAGCTCATTCTGCTTCAACAACGCCCCCACAAACGTAAAATGATCCGCCAACCACGCAAAACTCTCTCCCACATTCCCCCGATTCACATAAGCTAGCCCCTGACCCAACGCATCCACACTCTGCTGATACCCAGCCACCACATCCTCGCGCGTCAAATTCCTCACACTCCTCACCCCTTCCACGATCTTCTTCCTATGCATAAACGCCGCCACGCCGCCCGCGGCAATCACACCCACGGTACCCGTGCGCATCGCCACCAACTGCCAGGCCTTCCATGCCGGGGAGCTGCGCTGTGATGCCTTCGCAATGCGCCCCGTAGCTGAGCCGATGGCACGGCGGGAAGCGAGACGGGATAGTGCGGCGGGCGTGGCGGCGGAGAGGGCGGTCATGAGGTTGAAGACGTTGCTGACTTTTTGGTAGTGGGAGAAGGCGCCGTAGACGAACATGGAGCGGGCGAGACCGTTGAGGGGGGTGTCGAAGGCGAGGATGCCTTGGATTAAGGGGAATATGGGGGGGTTTGTTACTGTTGACGGATCGCTTGTTGGCGGGTTTCCTGTTGATGTATGGGGAGCGGTAGAGGGAGAAGGAGAAGGGGGGTGGTTTTGATGGTGTTCGTCGAGGACGCGGAAGAGGGTGTCTGTTGCGACGAAGCCGCTGGTTTTTGTTAGACGAAAGTTCTGTGGGGGTGTGGTGACCAAGGGAGTCGGGGGAAACTCACCCCATGGAATGGGCGACCAACACGACGCCCACCTTGTGATCGTTAGGTGGCCATGGGTTGTCCAGATGGGCCTTGCGCAGGTCCATCACTCGCTCTTTCAGCCTGCTGTGTGTCAGCCATCCATCGTCGCTAGGATGGTAAGGGTGGAGAATAATTAACAAACCATTCCAGAAAAGCAGTGGTGCTCTGCGCGAGTTCGCCACGCGTCTCATATTGCGGATAAACTACCGACGTAACTTCATGGTTGGGCAGGTTGTTGGCGACGGTGTCTTTGAGGTGGGCCGGGAAGTCGCCAAAGGTAAAGTCGGTGCCCTGGCTTGTCAGTTACTAACAGTGAATTTTATGGCAAGTAGATTGATGCATACCTTGAACCCGTGGATAAACACCAAAAGAAGAACTCGTTTTTCCGAAGCCATGGTACCCGACGCGTAAAGTGAGACTGGGTCGTAGATTAAGTGACGATATTCCTGTGGTGTTGAGATTGACGTACAGCGATGCGCGTTGAACAAACAAAAATGGAATCCCGGCAACGGTCGCAACTTTTGGAATTGGCCTCTCGTCCTGAGTCGCGTTCGTCCTAAACGTCATCGCGAACGTCATCAAACCGGCAGCCAATCAGCAGTCGCCGGTCGTCCCAACAAAGTTGTACAAGTTTATGCGTGGTGAAAATCGCCACTTGAAATTCACATGTTCGGAATCAAAGATATGCCTTGAGAGCTGGCAGGCAGGTGGGGCGATAGACTTGCCGCTTTGGGACATATTTACCAGACTTCTATCGGCCGGACTCGGGCTCTAGACACGGCTGAGATAGCGTACGGGATATCAAAAAAGCTTTTTTAGTCATGTTAGATGAATAAATACGTTTAGGCTTACCAAATACTCAGACAACGCTATTAGACTCTGAAGGTTTGTTTGCAAACTCATCAGCCCGAAACTTGCCTCGAAACTCTGCTAAATCCGTGTGAGCATAACCTCCAGCTCCCTCAGCCGTCAGCGTGACAATAAACCCCAACTCACCCCGATCCTCATCGAGACGTTAAGCCTCCACCGCCATTCAACTTTCACATACAGTACCCATCACAAGTCCCCCTCAAAACAGCATCAACATACTGCAACCCATGCTCCTCCTCTCCCGCTGGCAACTGCTTCCCATCCCCATCATACCGCCATGCATTCCCAAGAAAAAGCCCAACCAACCTCGCCGTCTCAACCCTCTCCCTATCCCTATCCAACACATCCCCCATCGCCTCATACAACTCCTGATAAAACAACCCCCTCAGCTCCCGATGATTAGCATGATACACATGATCCGTCCGTCCGGTTTCTTTAACCCATTTCGGAATCCCGAGTATATTCTCCACCCCGCCGAGGGACATCCCAAAGGGTCTGATTTCCGCGTCGGCCCAGTCGCAGATACCAGTTAATTTTCCTGTGGCTGGGTCGGCGTGGATGTTGTTCTCGAGAAGGTCGATGTGGTTGGAGACTAGGGGCCAGTCTTCGGACAGGATGTCTGGGAGACGGGGGATGAGGCGGTTTAGGATGGGGTGGAAGCGTGCCGGGAAGCCTGAGGAGAGGTGGGAGAGTTGGGTGGTGTATTTGGTGAGGAGGAGATGGCGGTCTGGGAGGGGGGTTGTTTTTGGGGTGTTGTGCCATGGTGAGGCGAAGAAGCTGTGTTGGTGAGAGTTAGTTTTTTGACGGGGGGTTCCCTCACTCTCTTGATGTGTAATCACTAACCGAGCGAAATCCGAGATTGTCTGTAGTAGGAGTAAACAGCCATTCGCGTATAAACTGTCCCGGGCAAGATAAAACGAAACTCCGCCCACATTTCGCATCTTGTACACCCACAACCCCTTGAACCTCCCCAAGTCACTGTGACTCGGCATAAAGCCTTGATAAGCCTGTTCGACGTGTCTCAGAAACTCTAGGTCTAAACCGGCATTGGGTGCTCGAAATTGAATAACAAAGTTCCCAGTAACAACCGTGTAGCTGCTTCCTCCTTGGACCAGCGTCGGTGTACTCTTTTGTCCCGTGGCATGTTCCGCAAATTCGTCGCATTCTTGCTGTGTCGGACGGTCGTCGGGAGAGAAGAATTGGGATATCTGGTATGCTCTGAGACGAGCCATAGAGTTGTCCATTTTTAAAGTGAGCCAGTTCGTGAATTGCGGGGATTGTGTGTTGAAACGGCGTTGTTTCTAACACCTTGTCACCCCACGATTTAATTGCTGTAAGACTGTGGGACATACTGTGTGAAATGTACTTAAATGTATGCAGGACTTAGATAATAGGGTTAGGGTTCCCATCCAACTCACTTACACCTACTTCCGATACCACATCCTCGTGACCTTCGACCTCCTAATCTTCCTCTGCAACTGAAAAATCGCATACTGCAACGCCTCCGCAGTCGGCGGACACCCGGGCACAAACACATCCACAGGCACCAACCGATCGACCCCCCTGACCACCGAATAACTATAATGATAATACCCGCCCCCATTCGCACAACTCCCCATACTAATCACCCACCTCGGCTCCGGCATCTGATCATAACACACCCGTAGCGCGGGGCCCATCTTGTTGGTTACTGTCCCCGCGACGATCATGACGTCGGCTTGACGCGGCGAGGCGCGGAAGATGATGCCGTGGCGGTCGTTGTCGTAGCGTGGCATGGAGAGGTGCATCATTTCGATGGCGCAGCAGGCGAGGCCGAAGGAGAGAGGCCAGAGGGAGCCTTGGCGGGCCCAGTTGGCTAGGGCGTCGGCGGTGGTTCTTGGAAATGTCAGCAGGGTGTTTATTGCTATGAACAAGAAATAAAGTCGGTTGGTCTTACAGGGCATATTCGACGAGAGATGTGGGTTTGCTGTCGCTGGCGAGGGCTACTTCGGTTCGTGAACGAGGAGGGCGGGAAGGAGGGAGTTGACGAGGGGGTAGTTTGTGAGCGACCAAGGCTGGCTGTTCGGTGCTGTAACTCCTGAGAAAGATAGCAGTCGTTACGCCCGCTATACGACGGTTCAATCCTCGTGGTACTCTGCGGAGGGTGATGATAGAGGGACGCATGGCTGTATCCGATGACTTGCTGTGGTTGAATACGGCGATTGCATCAACGGAGGACAAAAAAAGAGAAGTAAAGTATCACCCAACACTGTCCCTCAAACCTAGAGGGAGTGACGGCCCCGAAACCAACTCGGCCATGTGCCAATACCGAGACCGCACCGTACTCTCCTGCTAACATACGCCATACAATACCGTGCGAATACCACATCGTTCTTGACTTACACCCCGAGCCGGCCGACGCAACCCGGCACACGGACCACATCCAGCCAATAAAACCCACCTCTGCCCTCGGCTTTCACCCACTTTTCGGTTTCAACCCACCTCCCCCAAACTCTCACTCTCTCAGTCTCTCCCCCGGAAGACGGGTGCACAACGATGCCAATACCTGACGTCCCTGGTTTTATGTGTGCTACCTGCGGCAAGCAGTACCGGCACAGTACCCATTTGCGCCGGCATGAAGTGACACGTTAGTGACCTCCAGCAAATTACCCCTGAACCCTCTAAAAAAAAGGATGGTGCAGATGTCCGGCGTGAAGAATTTGCCTGCCAGTATTGTGGGAAGAAATTTGGGAGGCGGTAAGCTTTATTTTTTCTCTCCTCGACTTCTACCGCCTCACTCCATGTTCTTCTTTTACTTCCCACGGATCCCCCCTAACACCCGCAGGGACGTCTGGCGCAAACACTACGCGAGCTGCCCACAGAACAACAACCATGACGAACCTCCCCCGGCGCGCCGCGGGAAGCAGGCCAAGGCCTGCGATGCCTGTTTCCGCAGCAAACTGGCCTGTGGTGGCAATGCACCGTGTGGAAGGTGTAGTTCCCGAGGGGCAGCGTGTACTTATACCCGGCTGCAGCACGAGCTACACGACAAGACGCCATCACTGTCCCCTGATACGGCTAGCGTTATCGGGTCTCAGGCCCCGGCATTGTCATCACCGTCATCACCGTCATCGCCGCTCACAAAGGAAGCTGCAGCCAAAACCCCGATCTCCTTTCTTCTCAGTCTGACCAACCCCAAAGCGGAATCACTCCTCGACGTCTTCTTCACCGAGCCCCAGCCGGATGACGACAATGACGACCCAAGCACAGAACTTCAACCCGAACTCCTGAATCCTACCGATCAGTACTCCCAGCCATTTACTGCCGCTGATACTATGTTCCTCCCCTGGCTTTTAGACCACGACCTATTTCCCGAGCCATCAGTCATCCCAAGCGAAGATACCCTTGGACAACTACCAAATACACCGGAAGAGGAAATCGACCCCCCTCTCAAACCCCTCCTCACCTCCATCCAATCCACATACAACCACCCACGCCTCCCCTCACCCTCCCAAATCTTCACCACCCCCAACCGCATCCTCTTCATCCGCAGCTACTTCCAGCACACCCACCCACACATGCCGCTCATCCACCGCGGCAGCTTAGATGCCGAAGAAGGCGGGTCCACGCCGGTGTTGGTGTTGGCTGTGGCGTTGGCTGGTGCGTTGTATGCCCCGCCACGGGACTGTGTTATTGCGGGCAGGGCGTGGTATAAAGCGGTGGAGGAGTGGGTTTTTGAACGGTTGGGGGGGTTGGTTGAGGATTTCAGGTGGTCTTCTGTATCAATGGGGAGTTCGATACCTGGAATGGGTAAAGGGGGGAGGAATCTGGAAGGAAAAAGAACTGGGAAAGAAGATGACGACAGCAAAGCACAGCGCGCGCTGGAAAAGGAAACCTACGAAACCTTACAAGCGGCTATCTTGATCACCGGTGCGCAGTTCTTGATGAACAACCCGGCATTCCGCAGCAAGCACTGGACGATGCGTCGGCCGATGCTGGTGGAGGCGGTGCGTAAGCTTGGGCTGATGGGGGCACGGCACACGCAGGATGTAAATGAGCATCGGGAACTGGATTGGGAGCGGTGGGTGTGGGAGGAGACGCGGGTGCGGTGAGTCTTTCTCCTCGTATTTACATAACCAACTGCTACTGTTCTCCGAGTACTTCCGGCTTTTCCTTTTCAGAGAGAGTTAGCTGACAAGTCCAGCCTCGCAACATGGACCTTCCTCGGCGATTGGCAACAAGCCGGCGTGTTCCACGTCCCCGGCTGTTCGGCCATCTACGAAATGACCGGCGACATGCCCTCGTTACCCGCGCTCTGGGACGCTAAGTTGGCAGACGAGTTCCACCGTGCTGTCATCCACATACGCACACAGCAGCCCGGGTGCTGGAAACGTACCGCTTCGCTGCGAACATGCATGGATGCGCTGCTGGGGGAGAATTGGAAGGGCGTGGGGGGGTTCCCGTTGAAGGGGTTGTCGTTGTTGGATTTGCATATTTTGATCTCGAGTACGTACCTCAACCGACTCCTTTTTTCCACTCCCCCAGATGATTACTAAGATGCACCCCAGCCCTCCACACCCAAATAGCAACAGCCCACCACTCTCTCCTCCTCCCACTCCCATCCATCATCCCTCTCCTCCGCCGAGCCACCCTCCGCTGGCAAGTCCTCTGGGAAACCACCCTAGGCCCTCTCACCGCCGACGAGGTCCGCGCAAGCGGGTTTGTACGGCACGGCGGTGAGTATTGCTGGTTAGCGAGGGGGTTGTTGAGTCGAGCAGAGAGGTATGTGAGGGGAAGTGAGAAGGGGAAAGTGAGAGGAATGGTGGGGGAAGGGTATTTTGAGAGGTTGGGACATGAGACGCCGAGGGAGTTGCATGAGATGTTGAGGGGGTTGAGGGGGGAGGGTAATCTTACGAGGGAATAACAGGTGATGCGAAGGACATGTCAAGGTTAAATGGATGGAAAGGGTGGATTCCCATCTCGCAACTCAACCGTATTGAAAGCCATAGGGCTAGGAATTGGATGTGAAATAATATACAAAGTCAGTTACAGGCATCGCCCAGCATGAACGTTCAATACTGGCCCCTGTTTATCCGGTGAGGAAATAGGCACGATGAACTCAACATACACCCACTAATCATGGCCCGAGATACCGTGAATCTCCAAAATTACTGTCAAAATATCTACACTTTTAAAACGCCCTTTTGTTTATACACTCCCATAAAACGCCCCGTTACGCCGTCGCCAGTCATTAACACCAGTCATCAACATCAATCCTCCCTCATCCTCATTACCCTCACGCCTCCCGGCTATACTTGGATTTCCTCCTCCAAACCTCCCCATACCGAAACATCAACATCGGAATGGGCGCCAACACCAAACTCAACCCAGCCAACACCATAAACCCCCACCCAAACCCCAACCTCTCCACCAACGGCGCCGTAGCCAACGGCAAAAAGGTACTCATCAAACACCGCGTCACAATGATCCCCGTCATAGCCGAAGCTGAAAACAACCCAAACGCGTCCACCACATACGCCATAACGGGGATCATGGCCAGCATCAGGGAGGTGCCCATGGCGCAGACGGAGAAGAGTAACACCAAGAGGGGGAGGCGGAGTTGGGCGGCCCAGCCGTAGGACGCGACGGTGAGGGGCAGGCAGAGGGCGCCGATGATGGAGAGGGGGAGGCGGAACTCGGGTTTGCCGATGCCTTTGTGGAGGAAGCGCATGCGCATGTAGATGCGGTCGAGCGTGCGGTTGCAGATGACGACTGAGATTGTTGAGCCGACGGCTAGAAATTAAGGATCAGGTTAGTTACCTAATCAGGGATGGGAATCGAGTGGTAAAGAAAGAAGAAAGAAAGCGAAAAAAAAAAGACTTACAGAAAACGGTAAAGCATGACCCCGCTGCGACCGGAGAAAGCTGGTACAGATCGATGAGAATGTCCGAGATGGTCGTGCTGTAGATGTAGAAAAAGGTAAATACCACCGAGCTGAACAAGCTCATCGCCATCAACACGCCACTCCCCCACAACACAATCACCGGCCGCATCACGGCATCCCTCAACTTCCTCCACTCCGACACACCACCTCCTCCAAGCGCCGCTGCCGATGCACCCAACTGACTCTCCTCGGCCTCATCAAACGCCGTCTTGTATACCCTCCCCTTGCCATCCTCACGCGCTTCACCCGCCATCAACTTCCTGACCCTCTTCCTCAAAATAGCAACCTTATACGTCTCCCGAAACCCAACCAAAAACAACCCCTCACAAACCGACGCCAACCCCACGGCCATCCACACCACCGTCCTCCACCCACACCGTTCCGCCACCGCACTCCCAATCATCGGCCCAAAAGCACCCCCCACTAACGGCGCCAAAAACAACAAACTCAACGCTGCGCCCCGCTCCTCCCGCGCAAACATATCCCCCACCACCGCCGGGTTGAGCACATTCACAGCCACCGCTAACCCATTCAACATCCGCGCCGTGACGAACTGCGGGACGGTTGAGCTGGTGGCTGCGAGGATACCGGCGAGGATGAAGACGAGGTTGGCGGCGTTGAGGACCGGGTAGCGGCCGAGCATTTCGGAGAGGGGCGCGATGAGGAGGGGGCCGGCGGCTTCGCCTAGTTCCCAGATGGTTACGAGGAGGACGGAGGCGGATTTGGAGGGGGCGGTGTCCGGGGGGGAGAGGTCGGAGACGATGGTGCTGGCTAGGGGGACGACGCAGATGCAGGTCATCGTGCTGGGGGTTGTCAGTGAACCAGTTCAAGGTCTGAATGGTAGATAACGTACACGGTGAACGCCATGAGAGCTAGCATGCCCACGACGGCCCATTTGAACGGCGCCGGCCAGTCAATTGGGTTCTCTGGGTCGCCGGCGGGGTCGAAATCGACAATGGTTGTTTGGCCCGTGGTGAGAAGACCGCCGGTGGCTGTGGCAGCTGCTCCGCTGAGTTCTGGGTCGGGGATGACTTCGACTACCGGCTCGGTGTAGACTTGATGTCCTTCATTGGTGACGCTCCGCAGCAGGGGCTGCGTCTCGTCTGTTGGTACGGTCATGATGTGGTGTATATGGCTGAATATCCTCCTAAGATTGAACTCAACAGTCAAGTGCCGTTTCCACACTCTCCCGGAAGTATCCCCAGGTTGTGAGACCTCGAGGTCAATACACAGCTTACAAGGTGCCAGGGGGGAAGTTAAAAGTAAAAACGAAGCAAAAAAACAACACGAAAACCCCGACTTTCAGAAACCCAAACTGAAGAAAAACAACAGCTGGCAACCCAAGAGGGGATATACCCAATATTTCTTCACCGTCCCGCGGGGAGCGAGCTCCCAGCACTCCACTCCACCCACCAGCAGCGCCCTGCAGGATCTCCGGTGTGATGGATTGCTGCTCGCTTGCCTCCATGGGAGGATCAGTGCCGTGCATTCGCTTCCGGGGGGCGGATTATGGTTACAATCTGTTGACATGACCAGGGGGGTTGTCCTCTGCACATTGTTCATCACCGGGCCGGACGTTGGCACTGTGTTTGCAGTCAAACGGCTGCTGAGTCCGGGGATATTTTCAGCGCCATTTCAGGGGGTGTTTGGTGCGGCATCACGTGTCACATCCAAATTCCAGCGGTCGCTCCTTCTGAAAGCTCAAGCTCCCAGTCAGTCAGACACACTGTCATTCACACCGTATACACTCCCATAAAAAAAATCCGAGCCGGCGGAACCACACCCGAAAACTCCACTCACCCCACCTGCAGCCGCCTGGAAAAAAACTACATTTGGTGGATACATTCTGCCCCGCTTCAGCGCCCTTCTTGTCAAAAAACTTGTCAAAACCTTGTCAACGCTATCTAGGCTTGCTAGGCTCGGCGTGGGCGTTGGATCGTGAGATCTTCAGTTTGCCGCCTTTCGGATAACAGCGGCATTGGAAATCCGGTTCTACAAGTGCATTGGGGGGCATCGCGGGGGTGGTGGCGAAATGTCACTGTTTTCAAGGCGAACTCAAGGACAAGTTAATTTTTTGCTTGCTGCGTGCCCTGACAGTGTTGCAGGCGCCTGGCCGGCCGGAACCCAGCACTCTTCCCATCTTCACATGCCATTGGCCAACCCAGCACATTCACCGGCCGGCCGGCCGGCTGGCAGGCAAAAATCACAGGCCTAGCAGACGTGAACGGCAGGTTTGCTCCTCCCAGCAAAAGCTGCAAGCTGCAGCCAATCGGCTCGGGGCGCACGGGAAAGGGGAGTGGATTTCGTCCTTTGGATCACATTTATTGAGATGGAGGGAGGGGCAATGAACGACCCGTCGCGGTGTGTCACATCGCTGCGGCTTACGCATACAAACTCGCAGGTGCGGGTGTGATGAGTTGATGAGATCCGATTGCGATGACTGTCCTTGCAGGAGGAAGGAATTTGGGGGGCAGCCGGCGGCGGACGGTGGGCAGACGCTCGAAGCGCGCTAACTTTACGGAGTACACCCAGTTCTGTTCTGCGATGGAATCGGATTTTCTACAAACACTAGTGTCGGCAGGCAGGGGACGGACGGATCACGCATCCGTTAGGGTGGTTCGTCGTGTTGGTGAAGGATCTCGACCCCAGCAGCACAATTGGATAACGGAAGTCCTGCGTTCGAGAACATGTCCATATCGGGACCTCTTGCCAGGGGCGAGTGCCTGGATGCCGAACCGCTTCCGTGACGGTGTGAGGAGATCTTTTGTGGAATACGGATAATAAATAAATAGTTACGGGACACACGGCCAGCAAAGCAGGTCCGTTAACTTGTGTCTGTGGCGCACTCGCACCAACGGCAAACCTAGCATGGTCTCACATCACACATCACGAACGTGGCAAGGGCTGTTTGTGTCTCGGCAGAGGGGAACATGAATCGCCTGCGAATGGACGGGATCAGCCTTGACAGCGTATGTACAATCAGGAATTTCAAGAAACCCGAAGAATATCGAAAGGCAGCCTGAAGATGATGTGCTGGGTAGAAGAGCTCGTCACAGAAAGGGCGTAGAGCAGTGGACATGAGAACGACATCGAAGAGAAGGCGACGGGGACAGTCAGACTGCGGGTGGTTTCCGGGCCGTTGCCAAGTAAGCTTAAGTTAAACATCTCGCCAGAGCGGCACCGCTAGAACCGAGCGTCCCCGCAATCGTTCAACCCATGGTTTATTACCCAATAAATTGAAACAGCGTAGCATCAACTTCTAAATCGGTCTTCGGCCGTGTGTCTTTTGTTTCCTTGGGACGACTTCTATTATCCCTGTCGTCGTTTTTGGCTCCCATTTAGATTATCGATCGATGATAATCTGTACTTCAAATGCCCGGTGAACCTGGCCCCGCGCTCAGTTTCATCCCATAAATCGGCCACGTCCAACCACCAATTCATCGTTCCCGTTCCCGTTCCATATCAAAACTTGCCGTTCGCGAAATCCAACACGATCGTCTCCTCCACAATCTCCGCAATCTCCTCCTTGAACGCCTGATGCGCCGGGTCGTGTTCGACGTAGTAATTCCTGTCGTCGGGGCTCGCAAATTCAACCACAAACGCATGTGTTGCACCGTGCTAGAAATGGTAAATAAGCAACACTGAACCACCAGAGGGCGACGGCCTAAAGAAGGATGCCATGGGGATGGGGCGCACCTGAAGTTTCTCGTTCGAATTGTCCCTCCCGCCCGCGATACTCTTGATGTATGGATAGTTCGAATTCTGCGCGAGACAATCCTCCCGGAGTGACATCATTTTGGCGCACGCCTACGGACAAAGGGGTCAGTTAGTCAACCCACCACACCACCCAACAAACCACCAACATCCGGCCAGGAGTCCAGGACGGGTCAATCAACATACAGCCTCGACCGCAGCAGGGTCGGCATCACTCTTGAATTGAAACATCACCACGTGTGTCACTGCCCCTGGGGTGCCGCCAGGAGCCCAGGTGGCCACTGCTGAATCCATCGAAGACGACGCAAAGCCGATGGGGTCGAAGAAGAGAAAAAGCGTCAGCAACGTGACCGTCGCGATGGCGATGCGCCAGGCGTGGGGCCGAGCGCCCGAGATGTCGACCATTGCGAATTACTCTAATTAGTTGTTGGCGCCTTTATCGGTGCCAATTGCAGAGGATACTTGGCGAGATAGTCGTAGCAAGTGAAGCCAAGGGGAAATCGATCATGGACCCCTCAAACCCCAAGTTGTTGAAAAAGGGTCTAGAAAATGTGGCCGAGGGTGAGACCAGAGAGGGTGCTCCTGGTCAAAAGGAAAGCTGATCATGCTCTCTCTTGCTTAGTTTGTCTAGTACGCACGTGATTGAGCGGCCGCCCCCAAATTTGGCCCGCGGGCTCCTTCCCAGCTTGGGCTTATTCCGCATTATGCGCATTTCAACATGTGCTTTTTTGCCGTCCATGCTCGCTTCGCTCAACTCCTTTTAAGTACGGGTCTAGCCCCTCTGTCGCTCTCCGGTCTGCGCGTGTTATCCCCCGACTTGTGTTCAGTGCTACCCGAGTTACGGTCGTACAAAAGCCCCGGAACCACTTTCTTCCAACCATTCCGGCCCCTAATTATTAATTAAGTATCCCTGCCTGCGGTCTCCCACCGACAAACACACTGCGGGGGAGCGAGCGAGCCATTCATGGTTCACCAGCCGCCACGAAATCTCCGCTGGGCTTTACTATGTGCAGAGTAGCAGCTGATGCGCGTCATGGCCACAGTGCACTATGTAGGGAAATCGGGACGGTCGGGATCGGGCAGAGCTGGGTGGACCCAGTTTAGTCGGCGTTTAGAGCGATGATGATGCGTCGAACAATAGCTCGACAACAATGGCTTGTTTCCAGCAGCAGTCAACGCCAGTACAAATACACGAGGCGTATCCGTCTACTCTTGCATTCCAAGTCGTAAACTCATTGATTTCTCAACCGAACAGCACAACCTGAACCTGCCTTGGCCCCTCAATTCAACCTACCTAATCAAATCAAACCTCAACATTCTCAATATGGCCCCTCTTAATATCAACAGCACCTTCAAACTTCCCAGCGGCTATTTAATGCCACGGTTGGGATTCGGGGTATGCCAAACCTCCTTTCAGTGACTGTTCGGCCTGCGCTAACCAGAAGTTCCTATTCTAGGTGTATCAAACGTTTGTCACACTTGGCTCTTGTGCCATTACCCATGACTAGGAACTCAACTAATCCCCCATAGACCTCCCAAGGAAACCGCTCGTTGTGTCACAGAAGCCTTTGCAGCAGGCTATCGCCATGTAAGCTTCCCGATCAAACCCCGCTTCGCAGCAAATCCAGCTCACTCACACCCTTCAGGTCGACTCAGCAGCCGCCTACCGCAACGAAGCCCCCTGCGGCGAAGCCATCCGCGCAGCCTCCCCCTCCATCCCGCGCGACCAAATCTTCTTCACCTCCAAGATCCCGCCTCAAAAAATGGGCTACCAAGCCACCGCGTCCCAGGTCGACGAGTCCCTCGCCAAGTCCGGGCTGGACTACATCGACCTGATCCTGATCCACGCGCCGTTTGGCGGATCCGCGCAGCGGAAAGGGTCCTGGAAAGCGCTTGTTGAGGCTGTGGAGGCGGGCAAGGTGCGCAGTATTGGGGTGAGTAATTACGGGGTGCATCATCTTGATGAGCTAGAACGGCATATTGCTGAGTTGGAGGAGGAAAGAGGTGGGAAGGGGAAGGGGGGCGTGGTTAGTGTGGGGCAGTGGGAGATTCATCCGTTTTGTCGGAGGCAGGATATTATTGATTGGTGTACGCAACGTGGGGTGGTTGTGCAGGCGTATTGTCCGCTGGTGCAGGGCGAGCGGTGGGGTGAGCCTGGGCTGAAGAAGCTGGCGGCCAAGTATGGGAAGAGTGAGGCGCAGGTGTTGATTCGGTGGAGTTTGGATAAGGGGCTGGTGCCGCTGCCGAAGAGTGTGACGCCGGCGAGGATTGTGGAGAATGCGGATGTGTTTGATTTTGAGTTGAGTGAGGAGGAGGTGGCAGGGCTTGAAACGGGGGAGTACACGCCGTGTACCTGGGATCCGACGGTGTCGCCGCTGGATGAGTGAACTGAAATGTGCTTCAAGTCCTTAGAATACATACACTACGATGTTTGATTGAATCGTTGCGTGCTGAAAGTATCGTCAATTTAACCCACCGAGACAAGGCGGCCTCGGTTCTGTACTAGACTACCAAGACTACACTTACACCGACCATCATAGGGCTTCATTACCCTCGAAAAGCTTCAACCCGCCCAAGTGCTCCCACCCTACCTCCTCCTCCCCAAGTTTCAAGACGATGTCCAAAGCCTTTGTTGAACCCTCCACTTCGGGCTTCACGGCCCCGGCAAAGAACGCCACGGCCAGCACCACCCACTTCAACGCATCTTCCGCCGACTTACTTCCTGGCGGCTGGCGAAACTCGACAGTGTTTGGGATACCGGGGCTGATTACGTCGATGCCGAGTTCGATATCGCCGCGGAGAACATGTTTCGGTCCAGATGCCTCCCTCCACGCAGCCCCGGATTCGGATGGAGAGTCCGACAACGACGGCGACGAAGGAGGCGACGACGACGACTCCGCGGTGGACGCCAAAGCCTGCTTAGCAGCCACGGACAGCAGCCCCGAAAAGTCCCACTTATACGTCTTGCCACGGACAAAATGCGCCCCCAAATGGCCACAGCACAATGCCATACGCGAGTCCCTCGAAACCATGTTTACGGCCATAACCACTTTAGCCAGACGCACTAGATCTTCCGACCCCCCGGGATAGATCCCGCAAGTCGGTTGAGCCCCAGAAGTAGGACCAGCCCCTGCAGTATCTATCACAACCACGCCAACACCAACAACGCCACCGTCGCCACGGCCCATAGCCATATCAATCCTGTTCATCGCACAGCAGGTTTCCAGCTCGTGCAACACCGGATTGGCCCCCGGCGCCCGGTTAGACTGCGCCCAATATGTCGTCCTACCGCTGCCCAGCTCCCTAAGGATTAATGAGTCGAGTGCCAATTCATAGTACAGCGTGGCTTTGGCGAGCCGGGCTGCTTCTTCCGCGGACAGTGGTGGGTCACGCGAGAGATGGATGTGGGAGGAGGCGCGGTCGGTGGGGATAAGAGAGATGTCGTTCGGGCAGGAGTTAAGGAGATCGAAGATGGTTACGAGGGTGTTGTGGAAAGTGGATATTTCCGAAGTGGTGTAGATAGGAGAGACGAGTTCGACGCCGTAATGGTCTGGGTGGATTTCGATGTTAGGTTATTGACGGGGGGAAGTAACAAGAGGGGCCATGATTAAAGAGAGGGCCTCACATGGATTATGATCCTTGACCGTAATCTCATGAACGATGGACCACTCGGCGTAGGTGTGGTCGTCGCCGACGTGGTTGGGGACGCCAGCAGCTATCAGTTTCTCACTGAGATCGCGCGCGAGGGAGTCCCAGGAATTGTGTTTATTCGCGGTGCTAGCAAGGAGCAGTTCGAGCTCGATGCCAAAGCGTATGACAGGGCTAGAGCTAGAGCTAGAGCCCATAGTAGCGAGTGGAAATAGAGATAAATTGGTGAGATAATCCATTGTTCCTATAACAACCGCAAGCTGTGGATATGGGTGTCAACACTCGGAGCGTGTGGGAGGTACGTCGTCCTTTAAAGCATGAATCACTCCATTTAGTTGATTCCCATATTCTGGAATGGTCATGATCAGACCAGGTGATGAACCCCAGGGTGGCCTCCCTCGACAAAGATGGACCATCTTCGTCTTTGCCGTTGCTGTCACGCAACCCCAACCGCTCTGTCGTGTGACTCTCCACCACGCTCGAAACGCCTTAGAGAGCCGCCCGCCACAACACGGCAGCCTTTGATCCTGGTATCATCTGATTCCGGCCCTTGGGTTGCGGCACGCGAGGGCGGGAGTGAGAAAGGGTGTACAATCACGCCTGCCAGTTTCCCCATCACCCCATGTTAGGAGTTCAGTCTCAAGTATCTCGACTTCCCCAGAATCACTGGTCAACGAGAGCTTGTCGATGGGGCCGCGATGGGGCCGCCTGCGGACACCAGCCCGTTTTGCTTCCGGCGGAACTGACCTGGTCCTTGTTGCCCAGCGCTGAAAGCGCCAATACCTAAATAGGGCGGCCGCTCGTAGACCTCATTGTTTCACTCCAACCGCGTTAGTTAGCCGAGTCTTGTCAGGCGCGTACCAAGGACTAGGCTGGTTGGGCCAAACTCAACGTTCCGTGCCGTATCTTGAACTTCACAAACGTCTATCACCTATTCAGCCTTACCTGAGCCATCCATGGAAGTAGCGCGGCTAACTCGAGAGGAAACAGGCGGGCCAGCAGCTGGGTAATGCAAGGCTATCAAACAAGACATGGCCGCCGTTCGGGCCGCATCCAAGTAACGCCGAGACACGCGAAATCGAACCCCAGAGCCCAGACCGGAAATCCATAACCAGTGGCAGCGCGGGGGTGGGAAACTAGAACATCACATGGGATCTCCGTGGCCATGCTGAACGGCTACGACGTGGTGACCGGTCCTGTTTCAAATCGTGTTTGTCCGAGATAAATCTCCTAAACGCGCCCAAGGCGGCAACGGAGACGGTGCGTAGTTGGCTGTGAAAGGGTGGCAGCCCGTTGGGGCCACACTGTGTTAGTGAGATGGCCGAGGACCATCGTAAGCGCCGAGGTGAGGTGTGATCGTGGTGCTGAGCCTCAAAGTGGCACCCCAAGAACCTGGAGGCCGATCAATGAATGGTGTGGCAGATGCGGTTAGGTAAGGCCGGAATAGAGATTGGACGGGTGGGGAGTGGGAGAAGAGAACCGAACCGGGCATTCCATGTTGGTAGATCTGAATCCAGAAAAGAAGATGGCCGAGCGGGAGAAAAGTTTGAGAAAGGTGCGATGTTGGAGGTGCGAATTAAACCGTTAAATACCCCCACTTGTCCTAATTAGGAGATACTGAAGAGAATTAAACGCCTTAAACAAAGACGCCTAATTACTCCGTGCAATCCGAGAAACACGAGGATATATCACACCCAGTGCGGATCCAAATACCACTATTTGTCCCGAAGCTGGGTTGCGAAAAGATCTAAAGGGACGTTTTGCGACGAGACACGCCGTGATTGTTCTGGAGTGTCTCCGACATACTCGGTTCATAAGAAGCCCGCATGGCAAAAACGAGCAACTGTACTCCTTTGGAGGGCCGTCCAAAGGTTCAATGGATTGTTGAGAGTTCCAATAACCAACCAAGATACCGTCCCAACATTCGTCAATGGCCGGGATGACCCGCAGGAACAAGACAAAGGCAGGAACAGCATGTGCCCGCAGGGCTGACAAATAGGGACCCTTCTCAGTACCGGACGATCGACAAGGACCCCGCAGTCAGACCATGGACCCCGCGGAACTTGGGAAGGCGCCCCGCCATCGGCGCCTTCCCTCACACCCGCAGCCTCCGGCCGCTGTCGACAATTTCAACCCTACTCCCGTCACCGTGCGCCACGATCAAAGTCAACACACAACAAACCAACACAAACAAAGCGCCCACCCAATCAAACGACCCCTTTTTGCACCAACAAACACCCCCAACCAACCGCCAAAATGGCCGCCGAAGCCCACAGCGACGCCGTGCACGTCATCAACAACCTAAAGGAGTTCAACGAGCTGGCCGCGGCCCACAAATACCTCATCCTCGACTTCACCGCAGTCTGGTGCCCGCCCTGCAAAATCATCAAGCCGATCTTCGAGAGGCTCGCCAGAGAGCACACACCCCCTGGCGGCAAGGGCCCGTTGGCCTTCGCCACTGTTGACGTCGATGAGGCAACCGATGTGGCCCGCAAGTTTGAGGTGTCGGCCATGCCGACGTTCATCTTTGCCGTCAATGGCGAGGCGACCGGTGTGGATGTGCTTACGCAGGCCCCGCCGCTGGACGCGCCGTCGGTGCTGAAGGTGGATGATGGGTCGGGCCGGTTGAAGGCGATTCAGGGCGCCAACCCGCCCGCATTGTATGAGGCTGTTAAACAGGTTGCGAAATTGGCCAAGGCGGAAGGGGGCGCGGGAGCTGCTGAAGACGCTGGGTCTGTTGAGGTTACGGCGGAGGCTTAGGGTTTAAGGGAGCGCTGAGGAGGGATTTGAGAGGGAGGTGAGTGATAGAATATTTCGGATCTTTGCAGAATCATGATGCTGCTGGTGTGGGCGATGATACCCCACAAAGCGAGGTCAAACGGATTGAAGAATGCCAACAAATTGAATACACGAAATGTTTCTCCTATGGTATCATCCTCCGCAAACTCCATGCCGACAAGCAGTCCCTAGTATACATATATACACCTGCAGGATCAAATCTCGCATCCAACCCTGCAGATCATGTATGCCGCTAAACTTACACCGCAAAGTCAGAGCGCTACGCAACATGCCAAACACATAAACCCAAATCCGCCCCAAAACAAATCCACGTCCCAGCCCTCAGCAACGGCAGCCCTATACCGCTCCCAACCGACTAGCATGCGCATGTCCCTCAAACACAGCAGCACCCCCGGGACCAGGTCCCTCGCCTCGGTCCTCTTCCACCAACCCGACAGCCTCATCCCCTCGGCCAGTCGCCTCACCATCCTTCTCAACCCCCAGATCATCCCGACCAGCTTCACCCCCCAGCTGTGCAGCAGTAGGCACTCTCGACCTTGACTTCGACTTAGACCGCGAACGTGACAGTGACGATCGCCCCAGTGACGGCCGTCCCGCTCCGATAGTAGCCGCGGTAATGGTGCGGGTGCTGAAGCCGCTGGTGGATTTTTGTCGTTTGCCATGGCCGTGGCCCGGGCCGGCTGGTCTTTGGGGGTGGTCTTCGTTGTGGTCTTGGTCTGCTTGTGCGGCTGCGGACGGTGATTTGTCCCCGCTGCTGGATTTGAACGGGGTGATGCCGCGCCAGCGGTTGAGGTTCCAGAAGGAGGTTGAGGGGGAGGTCGAGGTGGGTTGATCCATTGGAGATGGGGCGAGTGATGAGGATGGTATGGGGTCGACTGAGGGGGCGGCCTCTGGAGTATCTGCGGGATGGTCGGACGGGCCCTCAGCCGCGCGAACATCGAGGTCAGCAGCATCATGAGCAGCACCGTCATCTCCACCCTCCGGCGTATCCGCAGATTTGAACGTAAACCCCGGCGTCGGCGGGCTGGATACCTGTCTCTGCTTCTGCTCGCTCTCCCGTCCCTGCGCCGGCTGCGGAACCTGTGGCACATCTTCTTTCTTCACCGAACTCCTCCTCCTCCCAATATTCAGCAAGGACCCGGCCCTCGATTCTTTTTCTTTCACCAACCGCCCCGGGATTCTATCCCTCTGACTCCCCCGCAACGACGCAGGGGGGCTACTAAACACACTCGTCGTCGGGCTCGCCAGGGGGCTCGTCAAAGAACTACCCGCCCTCGCCCTCGCAGCAGCAGCCGTTCCTGCGCCCGGTCCAATGCCCAGCCCGGTAGAATGCCCAGTGGCAGAGGGTGATGCACCAGCATACGGTTGCCGTCGTGCCTCGCTGGCAAAGTTGTTATACGCCGAGTTCAGCGACGTCCGACTCGCTTTGGTCGGGCTAAGGGAGCGTTCGCTGCGAGTCGGGGTACGTGTCCCACTGGCGAGCAGTGCTGAGCGTCTATCACCAGCCCTGGCCTCACTCCCTGCTGTTCCTCCCGCTGACCCTCCATGCTCAATACCCTGCCGCCAACTCAAAATCCGATCGGGATGCGCACCCACAGCTGCTGAATGATGCGGTGACCCCTGAACACCACTTCCAGGCGGAAACGGCTGGCTGAGCGACCCACGCCGACTGTGTGGTGCCGTGGTACTGCTCGCGCTCGTCCTCGTCACCACACTCCCACTGCGGCGTAACCCCCCAGCAGTCACAATATACCCACCACCACCGCTGCTACCCGCTGCGACAGCAGCCGCAGCGAGCTTCCGGCTCAGGGTACTGCCAGTTTCCCAGGAATCGTACCGGCGCCTGGGGAACGCGCAGTCCTGCCGGAACACCTTGATGATGCCCGTGTCGCCTGTGGTGACGATGACGTTGCCATCGTAATGGGTGGACCGAGCAATATACCCCGCGCTGGGCTCGGGCTTTTTCGTCGTCGGCGGCGGCGACATAAGAGCAGATGAGGCCGTCGGGGCCGTGTCTGCGTGGCTGGGCTGGTGGGAATCGTTGGTGAGGGCGACTTGGCTAGCGGCTGCGCTGGCTGCTTCTTCTAGGCTCTGCAGGACTACCGGGGGTGGGTTGCAGAGATCGTAGATTGGGTCGCCGCTTTGGCCGAGAAGCATGCGCGTTTTGGTCGGCGCGAAGACCGCCGTGGTGACAATATCGCCGTGGGCTTCGAAGTGTTCACAGGGGAACTTGTCCTTGTCCTGGACCAGCGCCGCGTTGCCGGCCAGACTCCAAATGAACGTCTTGCGGTCTTCGCTTCCGCAGATAACGTGCTTCCCGTCGTCGGAAAAGGTCGCCGCGATCTGGCTACAGGCATTCTCGTGGCCTTTTAGTTTGAGGCCCAGCGTTTTGTCCCGCAGACTGTAAATCCGTATACGGCTGTCATTCGACGTAATCAGCACCCTGACCTCCTTAGCGCTCGCTGCGATCTCCGCCGTGGAAGCCACCGATGCGGCAGCCGACCCAGGTGCTTGTGCCCCAAGTCCCTCGAGCGGATTTGGTGGTGGAACGGCCATAGTCTGGATGCCCGTGATCTTGCTGCCCTTGGCGTTCTTCCCACGAGACGACCGCACATGGATCTGCGAGCTCATCTTCAACCCTTCTGTCTCATAGAACATACACATCCCATTCAACAGCCCGGCAATGGCGACATTCCCGTCGGGCGAAAACGCCACGGCCGTGACCAAATCCGGCAACTGCGCCGAGAAAGCCACTGCGCTATCCGGAATGCTCCAGAGTCGCAACATGGTGTCTAGCGAGCCAGCCAAAAAGAACCGGTCGTCGCGCGGGTGAAACGCCAGTCGCGTGACAAAGTCCTTATGCTTGAAGGTGCACAACGCCTCGTTCCGGCTCATATGCCACAGCCGCACCGTCTTGTCCATCGACGACGACAGCAGGAAATTGTTTTTGCTCCAGCTCAAGTCCAGCACCTCCCCTGTGTGCCCGCGGAACTCCATCACCGGCTGGTCTTTGAACACAGGCGCACTAAGCCTTTCCCCAGAACCGCCGCTGCCGTTGTGGTCTCCTTCCCCATCATCGCCGTCGTCGCGCCCGTCCGCATTCCGATCCTCAGGAGTTGCCAGGACGCCCCAGACCCGCACGACATGGTCCCGTCCGCCTGTAGCAAGATATCGTCCGTCCTTGCTGAACTCGGTCGCCCAGATCGCGCCTCCCGTCCGTGTCGCCTTCCTGTCGCTAGCCCCGGCCACGCTGACCGATACCACGGGCGCCTTGTCGGTCCCAACCGCCGCCGATCCATCCCCCTCGTTCTCCGGTGGTCGTGTCCCAACAAGCTCCTGGGCGAGAAACATGCGGTTGAACTCCCGCGTGCGCTTGTTGCTTGACCGCGTCCGGATGTAGCGCGGCGGTTCCTTATGATGGGGCACATAACCTGCACCGATGAAGGGGCTGCCCACCGTTTGGCTGAATACGCGCGCGTTGGTGCCGTCCGTACGTGCCTCGCTGCCCATCTCCGAGTCCGAGTCAAAGTCCACCCCGGCGAGGTCTTTCTTCCGGCTACCTCGCAGTCGGCTGAGGAACGAACCGCCCTTTTTGCTGCCTTTATCCTTCCCCACGTCCCCACTGGCCGGTGTGGCATTGCTGCGCGACAGCTCGGTGCTGGCGCGGGTCAACCCCTCGGCCATCTGCGTAAGTCGTTGTGGGATCGACGGCTCGGTGTTCTTTCGCATAAATATTTGCTAATCCAAAAACGCAACGGGCTTCGTGTTAGCTGAATTCCCCGTTGTGTTTCCTATACGCGGAAACGATCAAGCGAGACCGGAGCGAGCGATGACTACTCACCTGTGACAAGGGGTCGATGGCAGAGTTCACCCCTGGTGTGTGCGCGGGGGTAGAAGCCGTGTGTCGCGTTACATCTGCACTCCCGTTGGCACCGTTTGTGGTCCCAGTCCCAGTATTCGCAGCAGCGGTCGTGCTAGTTCCAGTCGCAGTGGCAAGAACAGCGTTGGCTGTCTCGCCTGCATCCTCACCCTCTGTGTCTCGCTCTTTTTCCTTCTCTTTCCCCTTCCCCCTATCCTTGAAGATGATCGTGGTACTGGTGCTGTTGCGCGACAATCTAGCCGGGCTTTTGGTCATCGAGTTCCGGGTTTGCGATTGCGATTGGGACTGTGCGGCGGGGACCACTGGACCCTGAATACTTCCTCCTACAAAGTCCGCGTAAGCTTTCATAGCCCAACCCCGCCAGCTCGAAGCAATTCCTAAATACGCGTATCCGAACCGATACCCCAACTAGGCAGGCCTTTGAGCGACCCGGGCGGTGTCGCCCATATGCCAGCCAATGAGGCACCACGAGACCTTCACAAACCCACTACACAAGAACAATGCACGAATACAGCAACGTACCTCGGGTCTCCAGTGAGCTGGGAGGTCTTGGCAATGACCTCGATGCAGGCGGCGTGCCGGCTTTCCCTCCTCCTTCTCCTGCTTCCGAATCTGAAGGCGATCGCGCAGTGTTGTTGTTCGTCTCGGGTGACCGCGGCCCATTACTCTCCTGCTGCTGCGACCCCAGGCCGAGCGAGGGTGCAGCAGACTTTATCGTCGACCAAATGCCCGTCATATTGGGCCAACTATCGTTTCCTCCGCTTACTTCGCCCGGGCATGTGAAAGTATGTTAGAATGTCGCGTGGGGACCGGGATGTACCCGCGAGCGGTGGTCGGGATGTCGGGATGTGTAATGCCGTTCGGACCTACGATCTGCAGAATCGCGGACCTGCGACGCGCGGTGGTGCGGGCGGCTTTCGAGTTGGGAGGACCTGTGTGGTAATTTTTTTTTGGCCGACGGGGACGGGGGGTAAAAGGGGTCCGAGTGCCGAGCTTGTGTGCTTTGATTAAAATCCGCTGAACCTGGCTTGTCGGCAACAGCTAGGAAACTCTGAAACAGAAAAGAGAATAACATAAAAGGGGGAAACAAACCAACCTTCCAACCCCGCCGGAACGCATCGTCCTCAACCTTGGTATGTTATTTGTCTTTGCTGAAAGACGGGCATTTCCTGTTTTCCCATTTGAAAATGTTCCGTTGCATCATCGAGCTTCGGCCATTCGCCCCACAAAGCTCTAACCCCTGTCCAGAGCTTGCTCTCACTGGAAGCTTCCCAACAGGCGATGGCGAATGAATGGTTCCTTTGTCCTTGGCTTGAGCGACACCCGATCCTGGTCACGCGGGCAAGATTAATTGCCCGGGGAAAGGCATCGAAATATGCTTCAAGGGAAAGCAGTCTTGGTTTCTTGCAGCACCTCTATAGATGACGTGTGTGAATGGTGAGCTCTTGCTCGATTCCGGAAATAACCTCAGGGACGGGTGGCATCCATGTCTTAAACGCACACGACCTTACTCCAGTTCTTGATGTTTCAAAAAGACATAACAGCAACACTCCCACCCAACAAGATGTCTATCAATTGACCTCGAACCAGGACACTACTCCCAGGGGTAACAGTATTAGGGCACGGGTAACCAGCCAGTCAATTCCCATACCTCGTTCCCGAGAACGCGATTCATATTAGGACAGGCGCTATGAGGACGGGAGCTAACTTGATCCTTACCCAGTATGAATAATAGGTAGACAGGACCTACCTAATTAATAGAGTGACTGCTGACCGAAATGGCGGCAGCTCAAGCAATTACTTGCTTCCCCCCCATGTATCTTTTCGGCGGCCCTGAGGCGCTCACATTTGGAAATAATATTTTCCCTTCAAGAACGAATTTACGGGACACAGGGTACCATTCTCGAACTTAAAAATTCACATCTAGGTAGTAGGGCTGAGGCAAGGCGGACTCGAGGCGGGGTCTCAATTGAACTGTGGGGCTGACGAACCCTTACCCACTATCACGCGGGGTAACTTCCAGTGTTTCGACATGTTCAACCCAGGCGACAATCCTGATTCAATGTTCTCTTGGGTCTTCCAGAGCGATTGACTTCGTCCTCAAGCAACCCAACCCCCAGGATCTCAATCATGCGCGAGGATGACACACGCCGTCCTGCCCCCTGTCGGTTTCCCGGTCCACAGCCAGTTGGCTCTCTGTGAACCCTGGACGTGGATCATTCTTGCATGAAGCTCTTCCCAGATACACAAAGTGGGGCACTGTAGCCTGGACAATGAATGTCAGCCAAACAATGATGGCTCCTGCTGGCCGACGTGCAGGTCCAGCTGCAGGACGAGCGGTGTGCATGCTGCGTGTCGGGACCCCAACAACGGCCAGCCGCTGCTGCCTGTCTTGAAAAACAATGGTTTTTTTTTCTTCCATCTTGTTCCGCCCCCACGAGAAGCAAGGCTGGGTCGGCGGCAACTAGGAGGCCTCGTCGTCTCTCTTTTCCCCTTCGCCCCGATCTTTTTTTCCCCTCCCCTGACTAGACTATTGAAGCAGATTTCCTTTAAAGGCGCCGTCCCCACCAAGCCACGCAAGTGGCACTGCGCGACCAAGGCCGGCCCAGAAAGACCTGGTCAGCAGCTTCTGTACCTCGCCACCCGCTGTATTTAGTCAGTCGGTCACCTCTTACCACCATACCGTCTTCTGTCACCGTCGTCCATTCGCCGCGCAGTCGGCTAGACGGACATCATGAACAACATACTCGCTCTCGCGAGCACGACGCTCCTCGGCGACAGGAGCGCCTCCACGGAGGACCTAGAACGCCGCATTCCAGGTTTCTCGATGCTGCAGGACTTCTTTAAGCGATGGCTGCGCGTCGATCTCACGACTCTACTCACCGCCGCTGCACTGATGGGCGCGGCCTCCTCGGGCGCTCAGAGCATACAAGAGACCGGTTCCAAGGTGTACTGGTGGTTCGTCCGCTTCCTGACGGCATCGATCTCGATTGCCGGTAATGACCGGCTCAACCGCGAAGTGCTCAACTGGCTGGGTGCCCATGTTCTCCTGAAGAAGGGCACACGTATATTAACCGCCAACTCCGAGTCGATCCGAAACGATGCCTGGTCGTACCGCCGCGTATCACAAGAGCGCAACGACTACCATCATGAAAAGCGCATGCCCGTGCAGTACCTGCCCACCTTTGGCACCACCTGGTTCCTACACCGCCGCAACATGTTTATGGTGCGCCGCATTCTCACCAGCAGTTCGCATTACAACAGCTCGTGGGCCCGCATGCCAGACGAATATTCGGGTGCCCCTGAGGGCGACGAGCCCCTTGTCATTATGTGTTTGGGCCGGTCTGTTGAGCCGATCAAGCAATTTCTACATACCTGCCGCGAGTTTGCCGACAAGCAGCGCGAGGCGTACATTACGGTACGAATCAGCAAGCGCTCGTACGATGAGACTTGGGACACAACAATTTTGCGCCCGCTGCGACCACTTGAGACGGTCCATTTTGACGAGAAGGTCAAGGAGGAGCTGGTGGCTGACATCGAGAACTACCTGGACGTTAACACCCGCAAGTTCTACAACCGCCGTGGCATTCCATACCGCCGTGGCTTCCTGATGCATGGGCCACCCGGCACTGGCAAGACGTCACTCTCGCTCGCACTCGCCGGGCGCTTTGGACTCGAGCTGTATTTGTTGCACATGCCCAGTGTGCGCGACGATTCTGTGCTTGAAAAGCTTTTTACCGCCCTCCCGCCACGCTGTCTCGTGCTTCTCGAAGATATCGACGCAGTTGGCATCAAGCGCCGCACCCGCCGTCACGGCGACAGCAGTGATGACGACAGTGACAACGGATCCGATAAGAGTGACGACTCCGACGACCTGGATCGTGGCCGCTCGAGCTGCACTCTCTCCGGGCTTCTCAACGTCATCGATGGTGTTGCTTCGCAGGAAGGCCGCATCGTGCTGATGACCTCCAACTTCGCGGAGAAACTGGACAAGGCGCTCGTCCGGCCGGGGCGTGTCGACAAGATGCTCTACCTCGGCCATATCTCGCCGCGCAGTAGCGAGCTGATGTTCCTGCGCATGTTCGGCCCTGACGCCGATGGTGCCGCGCCCGCCGATCGCAGCATCCAGGTGCCACAAGACGAACTGGAACGCCTCGCCCTCGAGTTCAGCAAGCACATCCCACCCGATGTCTTCACTCCCGCCCAGATCCAGGGTTATCTCCTCAACTACCGTGACTCGCCAGTTAACGCCTCGGCGAGTGTCGCCTCGTGGGTGCAAGAAGAGCTGAAGCTGATTGAAGCGGCCAAGGAGAAAGAGCGCAAGGCAGCGGAAGCGAAGAAGAAGAAGAGAAAGGAGAGGAAGAAGAAGAAGGCGGCCAAGCTGGCGGAGGCCATGCGTGATTATGATTCGAGTGAGGACTTGGAGGAGCTGCAACAAAAGATTAGGGTGGAGAAGAGGAGGAGGCGAAAGTCGGCCGCACAGGAATCAGCGGCCGACGCTGCTGCGTCAGAAGGAGGTGATGAATCCGGGGAGGAGAAGAAGAAGAAGCCGACGAAGGGGCGGAAGAAGGTCGAGAAGGAGGAATCGAAGGCAGAGAAGGAAGTCGAGAATGTTAACGGGGTACAAGACGGAACTGTCTCACCGTGCACACCCCTCGCCGAGAACGGGATGTCGAACGGTATTCTGGAGCAGGGCGGTAGTGTCGCGACGGGGCCCCTTGGGATTGGGATTCCCGAGTTGTGTGGTGAGGCTACACAGAAAGGCGGGCCCGCGGGCGACGTGGCCACGGAGACGCCGGCGGAGAAGCAAAAGGAGGATAACAAGGAGGTGGTTTCGGAAGTGAAGGGCGAGGTGATAGTGCAGGTCCGGGCTGTGAGCGAGGCTGAGATAACCCCTGAGACCAGCCCGACAGAGGCTAACGGCGTCGATGTTAATGGGTTAAATGGCCATTGAACAATACAGGGCTGGGAGGGGGAAGGTCATGATGAATCAATGAGAACAACGGGACATGACTGAGGTTTTGCGGATTGCATTTGTTACGTAGTATTCATGAGACATGTAGGCGGGCGTTTGGGAGATGGTTTGCCGTTAACCGTTGGGGCACTGCTTGTTTTTCTCTCCTGACTGATTGGAGAGGGTTTGAATTGAGTTTGAGTCATGGGTTTGGTGTATTTGTAGTACCTAGCTGTTAGGGAAGCGGAGAGGCACAGTAGCGATGAAGCGGAATGGATGTGCATTTGGTTTGGTTTGGCATGGCGTTTCTATCAATCGTAATCCTATGAGCGCAACATTGAACGCTCGGCATGTCTCCCCAGGAAGGACCGACTTTCACAGGGACTTGTCGGGTACGTAGAAACATGGCTCGCTCTATACCATACCATGTCTGACAACCATGGTCTCTGAATCTCCCGATCTACTGTCCATGCATCACCAAATCCCCCCTGGGGCCTTGTAAGTACAGTACCACCTACTTCTCCGCGACACCCACCCACTGGCTCGCCGTCATCGTCACCTTTCCCCCCTCCACCGTCGTGCCAGGCTGCTTCTTCAACAACTCAGCCAGCATATCCACCTCCTCCTCCCACTTCTCCCCATCCACCGCATGCCACCCCCCGATCCCGGCCAAATAAGCCCACGTCTTCTCCACCCACCCCCTAAACTCCTCCCCCTCCTCCAAAACACTACTCACCTCCTGACTCTCCAATCGAATCTTGCCCTCCTCAAACCCAGCCTCCACCAGAATCTTCCTCAGCTGCGTCCCATCCGTCCAGTTGATCGGTGGCGCGGGGAAGGGAACCGCCTCCCCGCGGAATGCGCGGTGGACTAGCATGATGGGCAGCATCCACGTGATGGTCTTCCAGCAGTTCACGATGGCGAAACCGCCTGGTTTGAGCGTGCGGTGGATCTCACGTGTGGCGTCGAGGCCGGCTGAAGACATGAAGATGATGCCGATATTCATGATGTCGTAGTCGAAGAAGGCGGAGGGGAAGTTGGTGGATTCAGATTTTTGGTTGGATGTTGATACCGGCCAATTGTTCTGCGCTGCGTCGGCGGTGAGGACGTCTAGGAAGGCTTGGTCAATGTCCGTGGCGTGGATCTTGATATCGGTGGTGCCGGCGTTTTGTTGGAGGATCAGCCGGGAGACGGTGCCTGCGCCGCAGGCGTTGTCGTGGATTGTAGAACCGGGCTTGATGGGTGGGATGAGAGTGAGGTTGTGGGTGGCGAATTTGGCGGTTGTTTTACCGCCTGTGGATTCGTAGGTTGTGACTTTGGTGTTGCCGGTGAGGAGGGCAGCAGCTTGTTTGGGGAGGGGTCCCGCGTTGAAGGCCATTGTGAGAAAATTACTGGGTGTGGTGGGTGGGTGTGTGTGGGTGTGTGTGTGTGTGTGTGTGTGTGTGTGTGTGTGTGCGCGTCTGGGGAGTGGGTGTCTCGAATGATGCTGGGTGGAAAGGGGTGTTCAATTCTGTGAAGTATTCAGGGTCCTATTTCCAGAACTCAGGAGGCGTTCCTTTCTTATACGCCGGACGCTGAATTCCACATGAAGCCGTTCAATTACCTCTCGCCCCTGGCCAACGTTAGCGCTGACGGCCTACATGCATGCTAAATCCTCAGTGCATGAGCCACGTTGCACCGCCATCGGTCTCGTTCATCATCGTTAGTCCGAGGACGCTCTGACCCGGTAGCGCCAAATACGTCGTCGTTATGATTCGTGTCGACAGGCCAGTACCGGGATGGACTTATCTCTGGATCACAGCCTGTTTTCGCTGACGGTCACAGTACACCACGGTGTGGTTCCTGCATATTCAGGACGATGCACAGATAGCATAATTATAGGTCCACCGAGTTTCCGTCAGAAAACAATCTGTGATCGTTTGGTCGTATGGATGCAAGGGGGTTCTCTTCCTATCGGTGACCGACCCTGGAACAACCTCACAACCACTAGTTCAAACTCCATTCAATTTAACGAGGACTATCGGGCTACAAATAGATCCTCCATCTCTATTGTAGAAGCGATACTATACCAATTGGTAGAGTTCCAAAGCTCACGACTACCCCATCTGTTGGCTACAAATCAGTTATTCCTCTAGAAACACATGACGTAATTAATCAAGCCAATTCTCAAAGTCCCTGATGCTTTTATATGCTTTCAAATCCTGCGAGAACAAGAGCGACTTGTGGTCAAAATATTTATACGTTCCTTCCTCGTTAATCCATCTGAATACGACCCCCCAAACCCCTCTCTAGAAACCCGGGAAGGAGCTCGTTGTGACTCAATCGGCGAGTTCTTTCCTTATTGGTCCAGAAACCAAGTAATTAGGATTTTCAGAATCCCGAGTTTGCAGCGCCCAAACAATAATACCATACTCAAAACAAATATTAGTTTGCGGTTTGATTTCCCCTCCAAGGCTCCAACCTTCAAACTCGTCACTCTAGCAACATTATTAGTTCGTAGCCGCCGCTCAACGCAAGCAACTATTTAGAGCCACGATCTCGCCGACCCTCAAGCCAACCCTCTTGCCATTACGAGAACTTAAACCCACCGACTTGGGCCTCCAGAGGTTACGGAAAGACGACAAAATGTCCGATCTCAACCAGCCGCAGGTGCAGGAACAAGAACAAGAGCAGCTCCCCCCAGATCTCAAAGGCCGTCTCCGAGATTCCTACAACGCCATCGCGCCGCTGTACAACATGTGGTCACTTGCATACCAGGGATATCGCATGCGTTACACTTGCAAGCTGCTAGAGTTCATGCGAAAATTTAAGCAGCAGCGGCATCAATCCCCCAAAGAGCACGCCTTCATCAAGCCCACGGATGATGGAACCGGCTACGAGTACAAGGCCCCCAACCCCGAGCACCTCAAAGGCATGAACGCCCTCGAGGTTGGCTGTGGCTCCGGCATTCCCGTGGCCGAAATTCTTCTGGCTAAGGACATGACTTATTTCGGCGTGGACTTGTCGGTGACGCAGATTAACACCGCCCTTCAAAACTTCCAATACCAAACCGATCATCTTCAGGCTTCTTGGCTGGTGGGGGATATGATGGATCTGTCGTTTCCTCCGGGGGCGATGGATGTGATTATTGGCTTCTACAGTTTGATCCATCTACCACGGGAGGAGCAGCAGGTCTTTCTGAAACGGGCATGGGGATGGCTGCGGCCTGGGGGGATGTTGATGATAAACTTTGGGCGGGAGGAACTGGTGAGTGAGGTATCTGAGAATTGGTTGGGTCATGAGAAGGGGTGGATGTTTTGGAGCAATTGGGGGGAGGATACGACGATGGAGATTCTAGAGGGTTTGGGGGATGGGGATGAAGAGGGCGACGGCGGTGGGGAGGGGGACGGAGGAAAAGCGGAAGTGTTGCTGAAGGAGATCACGGAGGCGGATGGAGAGGACCCAGCATTTGTGTGGGTGATTGTGAGAAAAAGTGGTGGTCTTGAACCTCGAGCGCGCCATTTCGAATTCCCAGCGGAGTAGAGCCAGGTCTGGAGTAATTCTTCGGGACTAACCGGTAGCCCGCGGCTATCTGAAGCGGGGTCCCTGCGAAGCGACGTGGAACTGGGGAGTATGCAGAACTCCGTGGAGAGTTTGACGAACCGTCAGGTCCCAAATGCCGATGGCAGTCTACCCTAGGCTGTCTAGCGGCAGGGTAACGGTGAACTACGGCCGGAGCTCGGTTGGCCGGGACGGCGAGATCAGGAACGACACTCGTCTCAAGTCCGGAGTAAGGAAACCCGAGGGAGACAGCAGGGGGGAATGGTTTGGGAGTTAGCAGCGAGCAGGTAGCCCGCAAAGTCGATGGTCCACGGCCAAAGCTTCAGACTCGGCTTGGGAATTATGCCGTATTCAAACTTTCCACGATGACATGTGAACGGATCGGAATCCAGATGCCCGTACCCCGTTCTACTCAATCTTCTGTCATCCCCCTCCAGTCGCACGTAAGACACTCTTTCAAGTCCATCTCGCGTCTCGGCGCTTATCGTCCTTCCCGCCAAGGCTCGCCAATCCGGCCGCGCGGCCATGCTTGATGCCCGAAGATCGACGGAGCAGGTCGGTCGGTGTCCAACCGTCCAACGGGGCCTTGATAGATCCCGTTCCGCGACCCACACCCACCCATCCGGGCCGGCCAACAGCAACCTACAGGGTTACCGCCGGCAGGTGGGCGGGAGTTACCGTTCAGCCGCGGCATGTGTGAGCCGTTGGTGGTGTGCACTAGTGTAGCGCAGTGTAGTGGACACTAGAAGGGGTGGGATAACGTTACAGTACGTTTGACACAGTACCGAGAGATATGATGTGTATCAACCTGCAGGGATGGGGCCATTGGAGTGTTTCTCGTTGCGGGTCGAATCAGATCTTTTTGTTCACTGCGTGCGTATGTGTTGGTGCGTGTGTTGGTGTGTGAGAACACATGTGACTCGGTGATACCGACTGAACTCAATATTCGCTCACTCGGTTGGACAGAAGGGGGGAAGGGGAAGGGAGAGGGAAATGGAGGACCTTGCAGCTGCGGAGGTGTTTCACCTGTCTCGGTCGTCTGCTCGAAAAGGATAACAGAGGAGTCTGTTCCGGCGTGCTGTTTTGACCATGCACCCTTCTTGATCAGAAACTATTCTCGTTGGTGGCCATACGTTGTCTGCTGTCAGTCAGTCAGCCCTATGCAGTTGGTTGTCTGCTGATGCATGGATCGGGATGGTTCCGAACGGAGTCAAGACCGAGATGCGATAAAACTTGACATCGGCGGGGCCGACGGAGGGAGGGTCATTCCGGCGCCGTGTTCCTGTCGGGGATCGGTATGATGGTATCCGGGTTGTGGGAAGTTCGAATAGATCTGTACGGATAGTGTGCGGACAAAGCGAGTCAGTATTTTGGTTTTGATGGTTGTTGACAGGGTTTACGAGGTACAGGGAATTGATAACGGCAGCGGGATAATCCCGGTGGGTTCGCCATGGAAGGCTCTTGCACTCGGGGAGTCGGGACGAACACTTGCGGTCGACGATCAACAATTCCGACACGATGATGCGGACTACACTACAACGACAGAAATGATCAAAAAGATAACGGGACTGCTTCCTTTCCCATTCTCCCGATGCTCGACCCGCGAGTCCGAGGCCGACACGTTCTGCAGTGTTGCAGCCCTTGCAGGACGCTGAACCCAGAGATAAGATCCAGATGTTATAGATCGCCAAGATCGCCTGGAAATCTCAACGCGCGACATGTGACATGTGAAAACCCACCGGGCAAAACCGGTCCTAAGAAAAACCGTTATCTTTCTTGGCTCGTCTGGCCACCCGAAGCCGTTCCTTGTTCCTGGTTCTCGAAGCTTCAACCCTGCGAAAATTCGAATTGCGCCGTCGGGAACGGAGAGAGCAGAAGAGTTCGTCCGAACATGCTGCTTGAGTGGGGGTCGGGTACAAACCCACCTTCGTGCGTTTTGCAACCTTTGGAAAGGGGCGTCGGGATGATCCCGACGGATTGCACCAGACTCTTGGCGCTGTAAGACATGCTGAGACATGGAGGTCGTTTACGGTAGTTATTCCGTAGTGTAATTACTTTTTTGATGATCGAGGCCAAGCGTTAATGGCTCCGTTCTAAATTTTGCGGCAAGTCACTCATCGGGCGCAACATGTCCGTCTGTCCGCAGAATTTGATATCCCATTCGTACATGGTACATAGTATATATTGCAGTCTGTAAAATTGACGGCGGGGGAGAAGATCAAACATGGGCAGGAGCGAGCTGCAAAGTGCGATGTAAATGAACGTGGTTTGGCAAGCGCGACTTGCCCAGAAAGCAATTTCCACAGCCCGCCTTGCGTGCGAGTCTGTTACTCAAGTTGGAATGCCCCCACTAACTCTTTCGTACGTCGGGTCCATTCCGAACCCACTTGCACAACAACCCCAGCAGACAAAAAACACAGCGGAACCGAGCCGAGGTTGATCGCGCGGCGGGCAGAGACAGGATCGGAGCAAGTGTGACGACAGGACGGCGAGTCTGCGGCGGTATTCGGTGTTGGCCAGGCCCCGAGGATCGCCGGGGGATATTGCACATGTCCGAGATTTGCGGAAGGTCGAGGGGCTCAACTTTAAAAGACGGCAATCCCCGTGGAACCGGACGGTGTTTTGGGGGGTCAATGTTTTAGAGTTCGAGGTATCGACAAAAAGCGCACACGGCCGCCCCAACATGACGGCAGACGAACAGCGGAGCGGGGGACCGCAACAAGATCAACATCAACCACCGCAGGCAGAATCCCCCAGCCCACCAAACTCAGTCTCTAATAATTCCACAACCACAAACGAAGGCTCCCTCACCATCGCCGACCGCGAGCCCTACCAGACCCCTCCAGAAACAACCGACCCCCTCCACGAGATCCTCGAAGAAGACGGTACGGCCGCGGAGCTCCAGCGAATCGCGACAGCCCTTTCCAGACACCAAACCCGCCCCAACACCTCAGCAACAGCAGCAGCGGGTTCCCCTTCCGAACACCCTCTACCCGGGCTGCTCCCCGCCAACACCAACACCATAGACCCTACACTCGACCCGACGTCCCGCTCCTTTGACGTGACGAAATGGGTCCGCCACTTCGTTGCGCAGCTGTCGGCGCAGGAAGGGTTTGAGGCGCCCGAGCTGGGCGTGTTGTTCCGCGGGTTGGATGTGTACGGTGAAGGCCGGGCGCTGCAAGTGCAGGAGACGGTCGATTCGGTGCTGAGCGCACCAGCGAGGGCCCTAAAGGAACTGTTTTCCGGGCGGGGAAAGGGAGCCCCAGCAGCGAAGGGAGATGGGCGACGGCATATCCTGCACGGTTTCAACGGGGTGCTCCAAAGCGGGGAGTTGCTCGCGGTGCTGGGCCGGCCGGGGTCCGGCTGCTCGACGTTTCTCAAGACGCTCTGCGGCGAGCTGCACGGCTTGTCGGTCAGCGACAAGTCGGCAATCCACTACAACGGCACGCCGCAGCGGGCGATGAAGCGCGAGTTTAAGGGCGAGGTCATCTACAATCAGGAAGTCGACAAGCACTTCCCCCACCTGACGGTCGGGCAGACGCTCGAGTTCGCCGCGGCCATGCGCACGCCGGCGGACCGGCTGGGTGACCTGTCCCGTGCGGAGTACTGCGCGTACATTGCGCGCGTGGTGATGGCCGTGTTCGGGCTGTCACATACCTACCACACCAAGGTCGGGAACGACTATGTCCGGGGTGTGTCCGGCGGGGAACGGAAGCGGGTGAGCATTGCAGAGATGATGGTCGCCGGGAGCCCGTTGTGTGCATGGGATAACAGCACTCGCGGGTTGGATTCCGCCAGCGCCCTACGCTTTGTGCAGGCGCTGAGGTTGTCGTCCGATCTGGGCCGGCACGCCCACGCCGTGGCTATGTACCAGGCGAGTCAGGCGATTTACGACGTGTTTGACAAGGCCACGGTGCTGTATGACGGCAGACAGATCTTCTTTGGGAAAGCGCGGGACGCTAGGGGGTACTTTGAGCGCATGGGCTGGGAGTGCCCGGCGCGGCAGACGACCGGGGATTTCTTGACGGCTGTGACGAACCCCGAGGAACGGGTGGCGAGGGCCGGGTGGGAGAAGAAAGTACCGCGGACGGCGGAGGAGTTTGAGAAGGCGTGGTTGGCGTCGCCGGAGTTTGCAGAGTTGCAAAGGGAGATGGCCGAGTTTGATGCCGAGTTTGCGTCGGGCTCTTCCCAGGGTGGTTCTTCCCAGGATGAACAGTCCCAAAATGGCGATCAAGAAAAGCGACACACCGTCACCAACTCCGACGCCGATATTACTGCTACCAAGTCAGACGGCCTGGCGACCCTCCGGGCAACCAAACACCGCCGGCAGGCCAGGCACGCTCGCCGAGCCTCTCCACACATGCTGACGATCCCGATGCAAATCGCCCACAACACCAAGCGCGCCTATCGCCGGATCTGGGGCGATCTATCGGCGACGGTCATTCAGATCATTGCTAACATTATCCTGGGCCTCATCATCGGTTCCATCTTCTATGGCAACGTTGCCGAGGGCACCGCCTCTTTCGACGGCAAGGGGGCGGTCCTTTTCATGGCCATCTTGCTAAATGCCCTCACGGCCATCGCCGAGATCGAGAGTCTGTACGCGCAACGGCCGATTGTCGAGAAACACGCCAGCTACGCATTCTACCACCCGGCGACGGAGGCAGCGGCGGGGATTGTGGCCGACGTGCCGGTCAAGTTTCCCGCGGCTGTGGTCTTTAACCTGGTGGCGTACTTCTTGGCGGGCCTGCGACGCACGCCGGAACAATTTTTTCTCTTCTTTCTGGTTTCATTCATCACGACGTTTGTGATGAGCGCTGTATTCCGGACACTGGCGGCCATTACGAAGACTGTCGCGCAGGCGATGGCGTTGGCTGGGGTTTTGGTGCTGGCGTTGATCATGTATACGGGATACATGTAAGTGTTGCTCTCTTAGTCCCCACTTTTGTTGACTTCAGACTGGATTCAGGGGCAAGTAAACAAACTTGTCCGAACACCACCACTAACATGCTCCTTTTTCCCACGACAGTATCCCCGTTCCGCAAATGCACCCCTGGTTTGGCTGGATCCGCTGGATCAACCCGATCTTTTACGCCTTTGAGATCCTCATCGCCAACGAGTTCCACGGCCGCGAATTCATCTGTTCTCAACTTGTGCCGCCCATCTCGCCCCCCGTTGGCCATGCTTGGGTGTGTGCCGTCACCGGTGCCGTCGCGGGCCGGCCCACCGTGAACGGCGATGCCTACATCGCCGCCATGTACCAGTACACCTACGAACATGTGTGGCGCAACCTCGGGATTCTGTTTGCCTTCTTGGTCGGGTTCATGGTCATCTACTTGGCCGCCGTCGAGTTTAACTCGTCGACGGCGAGCACGGCCGAGGCCCTGGTCTTCCCACGCTGGGATATCCCAGCGTACCTCGACCCGAAGCGACAAGGTACTTCCCAAGACGAGGAGACCGGTAGCGGCACCGAGGCCGATAAGACCGGCATCCCGCAGACTGTCCCGGCCGATCCTAACAATGGTAGTGATAACGGCACAACCACAACAGCACGTCCGAGCACCGGCATCGAACCACAAACGTCTCTCTTCACCTGGCACAACGTCGTCTACGACATCCCCATCAAGCCTGACACCAAGGCCACGTTGTCTGACGGTAGTAACACCAGCAGCAGCAAGAGCACACGCCGACTGCTGGATCACGTCGATGGCTGGGTTAAGCCGGGAACGCTGACGGCGCTGATGGGCGCGTCGGGGGCCGGCAAGACCACACTGCTGGATGTGCTGGCGCAGCGGACGAGTTTGGGTGTGATCACGGGGGATATGTTGGTGGATGGCCGGGCGAGGGGGGCGGATTTCCAGCGAAGGACGGGTTATGTCCAGCAGCAGGGTATGTTTTACTATTTTTCCTTAGTTCTTTTTCGCGGAATTTCCGACTGACGGTTTTACCAGACCTCCACCTCGACACCTCCACGGTCCGCGAATCCCTCCGCTTCAGCGCTCTCCTCCGCCGCCCCCCTTCTGTCCCCCTCGCCGAGAAATACGCCTTCGTCGAAGACGTCATCGTCATGCTTGGCATGCAAGAGTACGCCAACGCCGTCGTCGGCGTACCCGGTTCAGGCCTTAACGTCGAACAGCGCAAACTACTCACCATCGGCGTCGAGCTGGTCGCGAAGCCTAAGTTGCTTCTCTTCCTCGACGAACCGACCTCTGGTCTCGACTCGCAGAGCGCGTGGGCGATCTGCGTGTTCCTCCGGAAACTGGCTGATGCTGGGCAGGCTGTGCTGTGTACCATCCACCAGCCGAATGCGCTGCTGTTTCAGCAGTTTGATCGGTTGTTGTTTCTCGCTAAAGGCGGACGCACGGTGTATTTTGGGGATGTGGGCGCCAACTCGGGGTCGTTGTTGGGGTATTTTGAGCGGAATGGGGCGCGGAAGTGTGGTGCGGAGGAGAATCCAGCCGAGTACATGCTGGAGATTGTCGCGGAGGGTGTGAATGATGAAGGGCGGGACTGGCATGACGTGTGGAGGGGCAGCGGGGAGTACGAGGAGGTGCAGCGGGAGTTGGAGCGGATGGAAACAATGGGACGGGGGACGACGGTCAAGTCCGGCGAGGATAACGACAACGGCGGTGAGTTTGCCATGCCGTTGGGGGCGCAGGTGGCGGCTGTGACGAAACGCATCTTCCAGCAGTACTGGCGCATGCCGGCGTATGTGCTGCCTAAGTTTGGGCTGGGGATTATGGCGGGGCTGTTTATTGGGTTCACGTTCTGGAAGTCGGAGAATGATGAGGCGGGCATGCGGAATATTATTTTCTCGGTGTTTATGGTTACTACCATTTTTACCACGCTCGTCCAGCAGGTATGTTCTTTTTTTCGCTTGTTCTGTTTTGTTGTCGGTTTCTTTTTGGGATTTACGCGCTAACGAATCCAGATCCTTCCCCTATTCATCACGCAACGCTCCCTCTACGAAGTCCGCGAACGCCCTAGCAAAACGTACTCCTGGCGCGCCTTCCTCTTCGCCAACATCGCCGTCGAAATCCCCTACCAAATCATCACCGGCATCCTCACCTTTGCCAGCTTCTACTACCCCGTCGTCGGCATCCAAGCCTCCTCCCGCCAGGGGCTCGTCCTCCTCTTCATGATCCAACTCTTCATCTACGCCTCCGCCTTCGCCCACATGACCATCGTCGCTCTGCCCGATGCCCAGGCCGCTGCGGCTATCGTCATCCTCCTAACCATGATGAGCACCATCTTCAGCGGTGTCCTGCAGACTCGCACTGCCCTCCCAGGCTTCTGGAGCTTCATGTACCGCGTTTCCCCCTTCACCTACTGGATCTCGGGGATCGTGTCCACAGCGCTGCATGACCGCCCGGTCGACTGCTCGGCCACGGAAAACTTGGTGTTTGATCCACCCCCGGGGAAATCCTGTGTCGAATACCTCGCGCCGTTGGCGGATCAGGCGTTGGGGACGTTGCAGAACCCCATGGACACGGCGGCGTGTCGGTATTGTCCGTTTAAAGTGGCGGATCAGTTTTTGGCGGGGGTGGATATCTACTGGGACGATCGGTGGCGGAACTTTGGGATTATGTGGGCGTATATTGTTTTTGATGTTGTCGTGGCTGTGGGGCTGTATTATTTGTTTAGGGTGAGGGGAGTGGGGAGGATGAGGAAGAATTAGAGTAAGGGTATACATTTTATTAGATGGCTCGATGAAGGGAAATTTTAGATTTAGAGATGATTATAATAGTAATCGGACAAATTATTCACACTCAGGACTCAGCTGTGGCTTGTAGATTTGCTCTCTGGTTCAGCAAAAGGTTGAGGGCCCATTCAGATACAGCAGTGATTACGGCTATTATCAGTTGGGGGTTGGACGAGAGTAGGGTCAAGTCTGCGATGATAGGACGAGAAGTCGGCGTGACCGGCTGACTTCTAAGTGCCTTAGCAGAGGCGATATTTTAAGGGTAGCGTTTCACACTGGGATGACTAGTTTTGACAATGTAATTCCGGTTTTCAGCAATAACATTCATGAACCAGCCCTGAGGAGCCTAACGAATCCCCTTCTACACCACCTCTGTTCCAATCCTTCACCTCTCACCCTTACTTCTCCTCAGTCTCCGCCACCCACTCCCACACACTCAACCGATTCGACCCCCCACACACCTCCTCCGCAGCACCCGAACACGCCATCCCGCACTCCGCCTCCGCCACACTAGTGCTATTCACATTCAACTCCGCACCACAATAACACTCCGCCCCGTACTCCAACCCAAACACCTCAAACCCGTTGTTGAGACAGTACGATCCGCACCCGGCGACTGTCATGTCGGTCGGGGAAAACCCGCTCGCTCCCGGCAACGTGCGCAGGCCCAGGGCGTCGGTCAGTTCGGTCCAGCAGCCGAGGTAGGAAGGGGTTGGGCCGACGGCGGGGTGGGGGTAGGGGGTCACGGTAGGGGGGTCGGGGGAGGTGCCGTAGAGGGAGAGGCGGTTGGGGCCGCCGCAGATGGTGGTGTCGGCGCGGGGGTTGAGGAGGGTGGTTCTGCGCTTAGTCTTGGCCCTTGCGGGATCAGCCGGGGCGGGGATGTCGGTGGGGGTTTCGGTGGGAGGTTCGGTGGTGGTTGTTGTCGTGGGAGGGGTATCTCCCGGGCATGGCATCGTGCAGTCGGTGGAAAAGGCCGGGAACGAGCCCTGGGCTAGGGCATTCCCGCAGTAGCTAATGCATGTCAACATCCACACTGATGATATTTCCTTCTAACAGCCTGAACCGAGGATAAAACTTACCACTCTCCACCATACTCCACACCCCAAATATCGAAACCCAGCCCTGTGCAGTGTGTCTCGCACACCGCGATGGTCATGCCCTCATAGTCGATCAATGAGGAGCCTGTCAGGGCGCGCGCCGGGATCTCGGTGTAGCAGCCGTAGTAAGTCTGCGCGAGAGCCGCCGCAGGGGCGAGGGCAAGGGTTAGGCGTTGCATTGTGAGAGCAAACGTTAGTGATTGGTGGTAATTGGCTGGATGGGGGAGGATGTTGAGATGGGGCGTAGGGATGGCAACATCAAGGGGATCTTGGTACTTATACTAGTCTAGGTTACGTTCATCGGAGTAACCAAGATTGCTCGAGCTTCGTTTTGCCCAGCTGAAAGAGCCCGCGTAAGGGTTTGCAGAAGCGGTACAATCTAGAATCCTTGAGTCGCAACATCGATTCTCTCAATCCTACTCTGCACTGGCACGCGGGCCAGCGAGAACGACGCGCAGATCAACCCCCGCGTCAGTCGCGGGTCGATCGCAGGGCTTCTTCACCCCGGTCAAGGCCGAGATTCTATCCTTCGCACTATCAAAGAGTCCTTCGGCTCCGCAGGTGATAATACACCGTGTTTGCATACCTGTATGCGCGGCTTGATATCACATGCAGCGCGGACGGACCCCTCCTAGCATCGCCAAGAAGGCGGGCCAAAGACCTTTTGGACTGCTATTTTCATCCCGGCACGAGGTCCCGTCTCTGTTTGTGAAAGCAGAGCCTCAAGTCAGGTCTAGGCCCAGTGTTTCTCGGCTGGTGAACATCGACTTGTTCCGTCACGGTCCTCCTCCGACCCGTCCTAGAAAGCCAAGAGATGCGGCGGGTTTTGCGTTTGTCCCGATTCGGGTGGCAAAGGAACGACGGCTGAAGGAGGTAAAAGGCGGTTCGAGGACGGCCTCGAACCCGGCGGGTGGTGCCGCCCGAGGCGCGTGGGGGTATCGATTTATTGGCCCGAATTGGTCGATATTTCTGTTCCTGCATTTATCGATGGGATGCAGCTGACTTGCTGAATCGAGAGCGGTGGTAACCCTCTCTAATCCGCTCACAAACTGCTGGTTCCCAACAGCCAAGACCGAGGCTGATATTAGGTTGCAGCGGCAGGTTAGCGGCCACCGTGCTAGGAATAGTCGAAGTCAATGAGGAGGACCGGTGAAAATCTTCCGCCCAAGCCCAGAACAGGCTCCAGCACTGTAGCCTCAATCCATTCCGCTGGAGTCTAGCCTTCTTTTGAGATTGTCCTCTTCCGCCAAGATCGAGATTCCGAAGAGTTCGAGATTCCCTGCAATACCACCCTACAGCGCCAAGGACCCAATATTACCCGCGACCACCACGACCGCGGCTCGAGCGGGAAGGTTCAAGCCAATCTGTGCAGAAGCGAGAGGTCGAAAACAGGCCCAGAACTCTAGGACACTCGCTCTGTTCTCGTATTCGATTGTTTGCCCGTCGAAGAACGGTGCGGCTGCGTTTTTGGCCGCTTAGGTCGCATTGAACTTGCATGGGCCTGCAACGAGTCGATAAACTGTTTCCGGGAGCATGGGAAGGGCGATCGAGGTTAATTATCTTGATCAACGGAGATTGGAAATAGAACTGCCCTACCCTTGTGATCATGGATGATGTGGGGGAACGAGAGGCTCGGACCGTGAGGCCGGGTTGTCTAAAGCAACGTAGAGTTTAGTCAAACCACAGTCAAGCCGAAGTCATTAATGAGGAGAGGCCATGATCCTGTCACAACAATGAAGCCGCGATATAATTACATGTTACGGTAGCATGTTAAATCCAAATCAATGCAAACAGGGCGGGCTTACCAAGTGACAAGTACGCGAATAATCATGATGCCAAGATCTGCCTTGAATCTACCTTACCCTTATGCATCCTGCCTAGTTTTCGGAACTGGTATTTGTTTTCGAATTCCACCGGACGCTTAGTAGGACCCTGCAAAAGATTCTGTACGACGGGCTTTGATGTATTAGTTGTTTCGATCTTCATCCACCAAGGTGACGGGAGTGACCAAGGTCGTATGGCCCTCGCTTGTTAGACCGAGAAATTTCTCAACAGAAATTCGGATGAACTTACCGGTGCCTCGACTTCGATCGCTCCTTCCCTCCTTTTGTTCCACCACCACCCACGGTTTATAACCCACCTTCCGGTAGTTCCTTCCAACCGTCCTCCCAAAGTGACACCGGCTCCGGCCGAATGGCGCGGTGGGGGGGGCTGTGGATGTCAACTGACACCACAGAACTCCAGTGCTCCCGGGTTCGACCCCTGGTGGGAGCACTTTGCAAAACCCGCTTGCAGGTTTTCGTAGCTGTCCTACTATTCCTCGGCCCCTGTATAGGGGGGATTGTGAGAGGTAGGCGGTGAGCTTTTTGACTATTCTTTTGACCACAGTTCAGGTAGATACTGGTGACACTTGTGCATTTCTGATCAGGTATTGTAATTTGTGAATAACTACCTAACCTAGAAACACGAAATAAAAAGAATTCAACATGGAGCCCCCACACCGCAGACACGATCCTAGTACAAGATTGTCCATACCGAAGTATTTACTCTCTATCAGCTCTGACTGGCTCAGTCCAATATCGCGGCGCAGGAGCAGTGTACAACCTCCGATCTTCTCTGTGCTCTCTTACGCCAAAATTGCCGTTGCATTGGCCATCACGGCCGGGTCATTCAACAACCTGACGGCCACATCCGCCAATGCCCTCGCAATCACCTCGGTCCGCTGGTACGCATAGTCCGTGCCGGCCGCCGTGGCAAACCCGGGCTCATGGTTGAACGCGCACTTTCCGCCGCTGTTGGCCGCATCGCAGATGTTATAGTTGGGGTGGAACACGACCTTCTCGGACCCGACGAGCTTACGCGAGTCCGGGTCAACGACGGCCTGCTGGACACACCCGGCGTCGGTGGAGGCCGGGGCAAAGGTCGAGATGGGGAAGTCGGTCTGCGAGCCGTACTCCGGGGTTGCGAGCAGCGAGGTGAAGAGATCTGGGAGAAACGGGGTGACTTCGAGGGCGGGGTAGACCGTGTCGGTTGTGATGGTGATGTCGGCACTATCACCTCCTGATGAGCCCTTGATGGCGGCCTCGACAGTCTCCAGCACAAGATCCAGGTCCTGAGTATACCGCGAGCGTATATCAAACACCACCCCGAGCTCTGCCAGCGTAGTATTCCCCGGCAAATAAAACTCCACGCCATCCTGCCCGCTCAACGCCCGGAACGTCTCAACCGTCAACACCAATGGGCCCTTCGTACTCTCCGACGCGTGCCCGCCCGGCCCCAACGCCGTGACATTCACTCCCTTACCATCCTTATCCGCGACCGCCGTGAACGACACCCCAGGGTACGTCCCATCATCACCCCCCAAAAGCCCGTCCACCGTCTGCTTCACCACATCCAACTCCACCCCTCGAATCCCCAGCGAGATCTGCCCCTGCACGATATTACACTCAAACATCCCCACCTCCTCAACAGCCACCACCGACGACGACGTCCCCGGCAATCCACCCTGGGTAACCAAATCCCTCACAGCCACCATCGCCCCATACGCCCTCCGAACCGCCTCTTCATGACTCGCCCCCCGAAAATCGGTAATCGCATTCACCCGCGCATTCATCGGCTGCACCGCATTCGCATTCGTCGGATGCGCCATCATCCACACATCCACGCCTTCATACGCCGCGCCCCCGGACTGGCTGCGCAACAGACACTTGCCTGCGGCGTTCTCCTCGTCTGGTGTGCCGAGAACTACCACGCGACCCGGGATGCCCAAGTCTAGCAGCGCCTGGCGGGTTAGGCTGGCGGCGGTCAGGGCTGTGAGAAGGATCTGGTTGTGACCACAGGCGTGGCCGATGCCAACCAGAGCATCATACTCGGCTAGGAACCCTATCACCGGGAGGTCGCCATCCCCCGAAGAGGTAGACGAGGGCGTGGAAAACTCCAACCTCCAGGCCGTATCAAGCCCAAACGCTTGCGGGGTAATGGTATCCCAGACATTGGGCAGGGTGTTGGTGAAATAGTCGATGACGAGGTCGTGAGCGTAGTGTTCGTCGAGGCCGATCTCGGGGTGCGACCAGACGGAGGTGGCGATTGATTGGAGGGGGGGGAAGATGCTGGTGGAGAGGGTTTGGAGGGTGGAGGCGAGGTTGGAGATGTCGGCGGCGTGGGTCAGGGTGTGGTGGCCTGTGAGGGCCACCAGAGTGAGGAAAGAGGATCTCATGGTCAGTGATGGGTTGGGTGAGAGTGACTAGGTTGGAAGGTTCATGTTGAGGGTGTGTGTTGTGGGTTTAATACTACTACGGTGATACTACGACGGTCCGGGGTTATGATGGCTGCCTTGGTGTTGTGTCTTTTACACGTGGTTGACAGGCTCTAATTTTCAATAGTGCTTATGTCAGATCGAGGTAAAAATTGAAAGAAAAAAGGACGACATCCAAACAGAAGATAGAACGTGCAGCGACCAAACAACACATGTGACGAGTGAACGCTTGCCCTCATGGAAGGAGAGTTTCGAATTAACACCTGGCCACATTGAATGGTACTCGCCCTAGAAACAAGTTTAAGAAGCGCTTTTCACACTTTTTTTTTTAGAAACCTTCAGCAGTTTTTCCATACTCAGTACTTTATCATGATGAGAAATCAAGAGCACTTTTCCCAAAGTCTCCGCAATATGTGGCCCTGACTAAGTGCCCCTGTCCAACTACGACGCTGTACCCCCCATCCTGTCACTTCCAGAACAAAGATTCAGCCGGTCAAAGAAGCGGTCAGTCAATTCTACTCTGAAGGTAGAAAGAGATCGGTCATTTGCAACGGAAATAAGCGGAGAAACGGAAATTCTAGACTTGTGTTGTGTAAGTGACAAAGGACAGTCGTGCCCCACATGTGGAGGTGGTCAAAGAAAGTCTTTTTGGATGGTCTGAACATAACTTACCAGGATCCAGAACAAGTTCTTAAAGATTCACAAATCTCTACGCAGCCAAGTGCATGAGGACACGATTGTCTAGTGAATTACGTCAAATCAGCTACTTACAAGTCACAATACAACCACAGACAATTACCCAACTGCCGTAACTAAGATGAGACAACCACTGTAAATGCCCGCTTAGTCCGACGACCCAGCCGTTATTTGGACTCTCTGGGAGAGTAACAGCCATGCTTCGGTAGCTCTAGCACAGATTCTCCTCAGGTACCCTCAGTCGTCGGGGACAGTCACCATACTTTCCCCCAATCCAGTCACCATAAACGAAGACGCAAACTTAGAAACAATGAGTGACTTACTTAGCTCAGGACCAGCCTGACAGCTAAGTGACCTACCTACCTACCTATCCCCCACTAAACCCCATCCCAAACCCAGACCCAATCCCCCTCCTCTTCTCTCCCTCAGCGCCACCAGCAACAGCCTCTAACACCACCAACATCTTCTCACACAACTCCCGTCTCAACACCTCATCTTCCACCCACGTATCCCGTCCCAACACGACCGACTGCAACACACACAACTGCTGATGTACAGGCCCGACAGCCTCGGCGATGGCGCACTCCTTAGGCAACAAACCGTACTCGAAACTGGCTTCCAGCACGCGCAGTACGAATACTGTTGCGTGTTCGTCTTGTGTCCAGTGCGGGTGGGTGTCGTGTTGTTGGGTCCAGAGCCAGTCTGCATGGCGGTGGTACATGGTGAGGTTGAGACGGAGACGGATTTGGCGGATGTCCGGGTCTAGGAGGGAGTCGAGGTGGGGGTGGTTTTGTTGGTTTGGGGTTTGTTGGTGTTGGTGGTGATGTTGGCAGAGAAAATCAAAGGCGTATTCGAAAAAGAAGGCTATGACAAGGGCGGTGGCGGGGAGGCTTTGGATTTGTAGGTGGTGAGAGAGGAAGGAGAGGGCCGAGATGGTGGTTGTGTGGGATGGGGAAAGGTGTGAGGAGGAGGAGGGGGAAGATTGGAGGATGGAGAGGAGGTGGAGAGCGAATGACTTGGATTTTGGGATGGTTGTGTCCATCATGACTGGATGATTTGTGGTTAATTAGCGTGAATAGGTCCGGACCTAGTTATCGGGTTTTGGGTTGAAGTTGGAGATGTATTAAAGAGTGGAAACCCTACACGGAAATCAGAGTTGCGCCAGGCAGTTGTGGAGGATTGACTTTGTTTATATATGATTGATGGCTGCGGATTGAGCCGCTCTACACAATGCACCTGTCGGGCGCCTGCCGTTGTTCTCACACACTGTTCCAGCTGTCACTAATCAGAACATCAGCCCTAAGGTCGAGACAAAGAAATAGCCTTCACCCAACAAAGAAGCTGAACATCATGCCTTCACAGACTCAGGCTGTAGAATATCCCGGTCAGATCTGTGGTTCCTCTCCATGTTGGCCAGACACAATGGTGATCCGAGAGAAGTGAACAGAAGGATTGCAGTGGTCAAGTATTTAGAGAAATCGACCTAATGCTCTCGTCATTCTTCTTCGGCTTGCCGGCAAACAACAACACAGTTTACCTCCAAAGCTAATTAGTTCTAGGCTTTTCCGAACAAAGAAGCAGTGTGGCTGCTTGAACCTAATTTTCACACGACCTTGTTCTTTGAGAACACGATAGATATACCCCGTGTATTCCCCAATACAATCGTCTAACATGGCTATGCTTCGCTTGCTAATTACAAACGCACAAGACTGCAGAATTCGAAGGAATCCTCACCCGGCATCCAACCCATAGCCCAGAGGCACCCATACCCCTTTGCAGGAATACCCCCTACTCTTCTCCAAACCAATTCTTCTCCATCGGATCCCTAAGTTTCTCCATCTCCTCCAACATCATCTCCCGTTCCTCCTGGGACTCACCCACAATCCCCTCCTCCATCAATCGCTCAACCACCCTAATAGTCCACCCCTGACTGCCCGCTTTCAATTCCATCCAACTATCCCCCAGCGGCGGCACTTCCTCCCTCGCAATCTCATCAACCCTATCCCGCTGAGAATCCGTCATATCCTTCGCCAACACGCGATCCCACGCGTTCCGCGACGACCGCATGCGGTCGATAGCCCGGAGCTGGCCCTCCTCACCTGGGGCGGGGTTGGGATCGGCTTCCGTGAGGAGGTGCTCAAAGTACATCTCGCCTCCGCCAGTGGTGATCTGCCAGACTTCGCCCCCGCCAGTGCCGAGGACGTTGGGGAAGTGAGAAAAAAGCGACCAATGCTTGGGTTCGTCTTCGCCTTGACGCTCGGCGATGAGGACTAAGTGGCGGGTGGACTTGGGGGGCTTTCGGTTGAAGGCGGCGCGGATGAGGTTGTGTTTGTCGATACGGGCCCAAATCAACCTCACTTCGGGGTCGTGGAGTCGGTAGAAAGGGTATGGACGGCTCTGAATTGGGTCGGGGTCAGGGGGCCAGTATACCATGACCCAGTCTGAGACGGCCTCGCGGGTGTAGTCGTCGAGTTTGCAGGCGAAGACGAAGCCGCCATCGGTCATGATGCACGCGTGACAGCAGTCGACGCGGCGGGAGACAATGCGGCCTTCGTCGGTCGGGAGCGACTTGCGGCTGAATACGCTGTCTGCGCATGTGTAATGCCTGCCCCTGGACGGTCGAGGGGGCATCCTGGCGGATAATTGAGTGATTATTGAACTCGGTTTTGGGTTTGCTAGGTGATTGAGGGAGTTTTTTGCGGATCCGGAGCAGGTCGCTGTTTAGGGCCGTTAAATATTTGTGACTCGCGACCTTCAGACGAAATCCCTTCTACAAATCTTTCCAATTTTTGGGGGTAAGCTTCCAGGCTTTTCGAAGGTGAACAGCCAGTATGTACAGACCGCTGTTCCTACCTAAGTACCTTGGATATACGCTTTGCATGCTGCTGGCTCTGGCGGTATTACACTTTGCAGTCACGCACATCCAAACAACAGGCAACACTCTTTGTTCGGCAGTACAGCCTTCGGTGTACTCATTTTGTGCTCCACAAGCGCACTCACTGCCTCGGGGAATACACCATAAAATGGTATCTCCAACCTTCCATTTGGACTCGAGCTTTCGCGAATTAATTAGCTATGATAATGGTACACTCTCACATACAGGAGGTTGGGACACTCCGAACTTGTCCTTTGCCACCTTCTCAAGGAAGACTGTCGCTGGCGAGTCGATACCGTTAGTCTCACTTGCGCAAACACGTAGTTACTTCGAAGCCTGGGAACCCACGCTTAGTGAAGGCCAGCACAAGGATGGTGAATGCTGAAAAAACCTTCAGTACGGATCTTTGATTGCTGATTTTGCACGGCGGGCGCGACGTACAGTTCCACAATACTTCACGGAAGGGTGGTTTCACTGTGCAATGCGTACGAGAGCAGCGCAATGAAATAGTTCTGGCCCAAAACACAGTCCCAGTTCGTTCACACAAAGCTCCGAGGCGGCGGAAAGCGAATACTTACTTGGACATCCGTCTCTCGACTTGGATACGCTAACCATAGCCCTAGCAATGGCTTCTAAGAGCGTCTTGATTGTGGGTATGTGCAACGCCGAGCATCTTGGAACTTGAACGCTTCGAATCGGTCACGTTTGGCAATTCCCTGTCGCCGCATTCTCACAAGACACAGGGGGAAACCGCGGCATCGGCCTCAACCTGCTCAAGGCGTTCGTCGCCGAATCATGGAACGTAACCGGCACAGTCCGACCCCAAACACGTCGTGATGACGACCCCAGCATCGCGGATGTAAGTCACTCTCTTGCTGTCCTCTCCGTTTTACTCTCCGTTTGTTTTACTTACCCGGGTACCATTATCAAGCTTGAGAAAACTGGTGCCAGAATCCTCGAGATCGACTACCTCGACGAAAGCACCATCGAGAAGGCCGCCATCGCCTATGGAAACAAGCCTCTTGACCTGCTCATCAACGTCGGAGGTCTCTCTCCTCACCCCAAGCCCTGGAACTAGCAGACAAACGACATGTTGGTGGAGAAATACCGCGTCATGGCCGTTGGCCCACTGCTCACCATCAAGCATTTCCTTCCCAAGTTGGAACAGGCTCCCGGCGCAAAGATCGTGAATATCTCGTCGGCATTTGGGTCAATCTCCAGTACGTCTTAATTACTTATCCATCAAAAAAACCTTGGCGCCGCGACTGGCACTAATAATACCTACTTTGCTCCGCGCCCAGCCAACTCCTTCGGGACGTTTATGGCGTACCGTATCGCCAAAGCCGCTTTGAACCAAGGCGCCGTCACCATGGGACGTGAGTGGGATAAGGAAGGCCGAAAGGTGACCATGATCTGCGTCGAGCCTGGTTTCTTGTCTACACGGTTGACTGGATGGGACGGCGTGGATAACATGGACAAGGGTGAGCTGAGCGGGAGGGACAAAGAGGAATTTCCATTGCCTACCTCACATTAGGTACTAAACCGTGGTTTAACTGGGCTGTGTCTGGAATCAATTACAGGTATGAACTCAAGAAGCTCACGGCTCGAGCGAGGCAGCAGGCTTGTATCCATCAGTGTCTCAGCACCGTGGCTGGATGGCTAGACTTTCACTTGGGCCCGCTGCTTCACGCCAATGATACTGGAACCCACCACACTACGTTTCCTTTCGGTTGAAATAAATCAAAAATAACTTGGCCCAGATTATTCCTGCACTTTCCACTAGCTCACAGAGAGGTAAGCTTTTTAGGTAGGCAGCACTGCAGTTCACAAAATGGTTGTAGGGGGGAGAGATGGTGTATAAAGAGGCAAGATGAGATCGTCTCTCGAATTTGCGAAACTAGACAGCCACCACTCCGCAGACTCACACACACATCTAAATAATCTCAATTCAAGTAAGGTCTCCCGAACTGAACAGATCTTCAACAACCAATATTCTATAATTAATGAACAAAACATAGTTGGTTAAACAGGGCAGTAATTTGATCTCCTTGTCTATTATACAAGCAATCTCGTTATCCATGACATTATCTATCAGGTTACCTCCTATATCTTCTCTATCGTCATCTGTGACGTTGTCTCTCCCGTTATACATGACACGGATGGCATTGTCAATCTCAGTTCCAACCATATTTCCTTCGAAGGGAGTATTCCAACTATACACAATCAATGACAATGTTTATACTCAGACAATTAATTAACAATCGACGTGCCAAGGCTTTCATGTAACAGGTCTGTCTATGGCTTCAAGAGCTTAACGCCTCGGAAACGTAAGGCTAAATCTCACCTAGCATCGACCACAACGGCCGTTCGACACCGGCGCTACTGTGAGACGCGGAAGACAACCATCTAGCAAAGCCCGAAGCTGCGTCGCTGCACGGTGACCAACTGGAGCAGTTGGTACTGCAGGTGGAGCAGGCGACGTCGCATTTCCGGAACCCGGATAGTACAGGACGAAAACAAGCTGGATACCTACCGGTTGGTGAACGAGGACAGGTTGGTTGCTACTGATTCAGAGAAAATGGATTGTTTTCCCGGGGGGGGAGGACGAGTGACTGGCTTTTGCTGCTGGTGATGTCTGTGGTGGGGGGGGGGAGAATGAAATCGACTTGGAAGTGGAAATGGAAGAGTTTAATTAACGACAAAGGCTTATGAAAACGCCCCTTATGAAATGCTCAGACCAGAGCTACTGCTTTAACTGTGCCACAATCGGCTCGAGGAACTCGAGCATGTCCTTGATGACCTGCTCGTCATGCGTCAAATAGAGTCCTAGTAAGCCTAGGTTAGTAAACATCCCACAACAAGAAACTGTCAGGAGTAAGTACTCACCATGCCCCGCACCCTTATACACCTTCAGCACACTCCACGGCAAAATCTCCTTGACCAACAACGAGCTGGCCTCAATGGGTGTCCCCGTATCGGAATCTCCATGCAGCACTAACACCGGCACCCTCTCCCCCTCCTCCGTCTCCGCCTTCTTCCCCCACGCCTTCAACTCCGCGGCCATCGGCTTCTGCAAAATCACCGCACACCTCTCCACCGCGATGGGATCCGCCTCCTGCACTAGCCGCTCAAAAAAACCCAGCGTCACGGCACTCATCTCATTCCCCGGCAAATCTGCCCTGAAATTCCCCGGAAACGCCTCATGAATAAAGTCCTTATGTCCCTTCCCGCGAAACCCCTGAATCAACTGATCCCACACCTCCACCGGCGTGGCCGTCCCACACTCCTCACTTGCAATGCAATACGGCATGTTAGGTCCCAACCACACAAAGCCCTTGCACTTCTCCCTCAACCCCTTACTCGCATTCCGCAATAGCACCGACTCCGACGTTCCCATGCTCGCCGCCACAAACACAAACTCCCCCGGCGCGCCATGCGCATATTTCGCCGCAGAAGCAAAAACATGCTCCAGCAGCGCGACGGCATCGCTAACAAAGGTGTCATACGACACCTCCCCCGCATTCTCAGGCGCCGTGTTGGGCCCCGCCCAGTCGGATCGGCCAAACCCGCGGCGGTCGGGCGCGATGACGGGGTACCGGTGGGTTTCGACGAGCGGGAGGATCAGTTGGTCGTACATGCGGGAGGACATGGGCCAGCCGTGGAGGAAGACGAGGGTGAGGGGTTGGCGGGAGGGGGAGGTGGGCGAGGGACGGTGTGGGCGGTCGGTGGAGGGGAGGTAGTATCGGTAGAAGAGGCTGGCGCTGTCGGAGGGGGCGCGGAAGGTGGGCATTTTAGTGGTGGCGGTATTGGTGTAAGAGGGGATTGTTGAGGTGAAGGTTGTTGGAAGATGGTGAAAGTGAGGATATCAAGACTGGTTGATGTGATGTTCGCGATGGATGAGAATCAGTCTCGAAATCCTCGACAGCGAGGCCACTTATTTATACACGCAACTCACCACCCGCTTCATTTCTTCCGTCTTTCTTGCATTATGACTCCATCCCCATCAAAGCCCCCCGCTAACGCGTACTCAATTATTATTAGCTATTCTATACCACATTCCCAAATAGGCAACCTGAGGTCGGCGACCTGGCTTTGCGGCTCAGGCCCCACTCCGGATCCGGGGCCGCGGACGCATGGTTACGCCGTGTCTGACAGGGGCGAAGCGAGGAAGGGATCAAACGTGGACTCCGGGAATGGTGAATGGTCTCGCGGGCCGGGACTGGCCGGGAGCCTCCGAAATGCCCTCGCCGGAGCCGGGAAGAAACCGGGAGGATGAAAATTTATTGAATTCATGTGTAACCTTATTAACCTTGTTTGCAACATCATGTCAGAGACTCATTCGGGCGAAAAAGAACTAACGATAATGGTAACCCTAACCCCGGAATGAATTCGACCCCACGCCGTCATTGCCACCCAGCCAATCAGAAGAGAAAGAAGAGGTCAAGTTCTCACAACGACTGCCCAGCATGAGCATAAAAACTGCAACACAAATTCTCGGATTTTCGGGCTACAAATCGACACGGTAACTTTTCGTTGGGGGCTCGCAGCCGGGAAGATGCGGGATGTAATGGCAAGGCCTAGGAGGAAACAAGCGGAAGGATCATGGCTCGGCCAGCATCAACCAGTTTGCCAGGCATGTCTCTTTTCTATTGACTACCTAGTATTTCATGAACATTATGGCACTCAGCCTACTCGGGAAGCCGCCTCAACTCTCAACCCGTCTAACAACAGCTAGAGCCTAAAGATATCGACAAATTCCTCAGCTGGAAAAAAAGTACGTGGACGCCACGTGGTGGTCCGTCCGCCAAGCCGGTCTCCACAGTCCGTATTTTCGCTTGCAACGTCGTCTGTTTGTCTTGTCCCTTTGGCCCGCTAACCCGAAATACGGATCCGTCCTTCACCCGAACTACCGTACTCTCGTAACCTCAAAACACCAAGCCTCCCCCCCTCCTCCCTCCCATCGTGCCTCATCCAAATCCAGACTTACACAGCCCAACAATCAGTCGAAAACGAAGCCGGCCGATTCCTCCAATCCGACCCCAACACAAACTTAGTATCCCCACTAAAAAACGGCCCACTGTTCCCATCACACGACGTGCTCTCCCACAGCTCCAGCTTGCACCGCGTCGTCGGGTTGCTCTGGGTGTTGTACGCGTAGTAGGTCACCGAGTTCGCCTGGTACCGGTGCTCCGTCGGGGTCACGTGGCAGGCGCGCCCCCGGGCCAGACGTCGTGTAGGTTGAGCCCGCGAAGTCGGAGTGGCTGTGGAGGCAGACGCTCCAGGCGGTGGTGGTGTTGGCCAGGGCGAGGAGAGTGGCGGTGGTGGTGAAGGTTAAGAGGTGCATGGTTGCGGTGGTTAGCTAGTCGGGAGTTAGCTGGAATCGAAACACCCGTACTGTTCAGAATGCGGCCTCACACGGAGATGGCTTTGTTAGCATTCAGGAAATCACGTGGTTACCTGGCTGCCTGTTCAGATTGTGCCTCATCTTGTAACTTTCTGCCTTCTAATTCTTTCCCTCACCTTTCTTCTGCCTTGTCGCAAGTCAAGTGTTTTTCGTTGCGGAAGCTTGAGACCCTTTCATACTCAGCCACTCCCCTTCTTCCACTTGCCCAACCACCCAACCTGAAGCCAGAGCATAGCGTCGACACGCTACGCAGGCACGATGAAAAATACCAAGGAGGCTGCGGATGCAGAGCAACAATGTGCCGAGTTGAAGCGACAAATTGCAGATGTCGAGCGACAACTTGCAGATATGGGGCGAGGAACTGCGGAAGCAAGGAGGCGGGCGGAACCGTCGAATTTTCATCAGATACTTCGGCTTGCAGAAGACGAGCTCTTCTCCCGCTTCAACAAAGACCCGAGACAACTCTCAATCACCACGGGCGACACCGAAGCCGAAGGGAATTGGTGCCCTTCCAAACTGCGAAGGTGGACCGTCTTTCCCGACCTGCATTCCGCCAGGTTTCATCAACTCGAAGCCACTTTAGCGGATCGGAAACTGTTCGCCTCTATCCATCAGATGCGCGGTGCCTCCCGATATATCAGCCCCAATGGGTTCAAACACGAGGACGACGTTCGGGAGTTTGTTGGTCATGCCATCGAGAACCCCGCCAAAGATATCCTATCCCACTAATTTCAATACTCGGAGCACCCCACCATCCGACGGGTGACATATCGCAGTGCGGGCGTCGGCCCAGCGCCGCAGCAGGTGGAAGTTGAGGTCGATGAGGACGATATGTCGCCGGACGCCTTACCCAACCGGTGGGGGATACGGATCGATCGCCAGGGCGAAGGGGAGAATTGTTTCTTCGGCAAGTTTAGAGTGCCGTACCAACTTACTGCAGAGATGCTAAGGCCTGTGCTGGCCGAACACCCCGGCAACGATTTTTTTTCGGTATCACGCGACGTTTCGCCTGCTAAGCTATAAGGTCAATTGCCCGTTGCCACGGTTCTTTGCGAGGCGTTTCACGATATGATCCAGTGGGGGGTATTTTCTGCATTCGTTGTGACGGGCGAGGCGTTGGTGTTTCTTCACGTCTCCGAGGCCAACCCGGGCACGCTGGATTATTTCCCCGTCTTCTTCTCTGAAAAGGGGATCCCCCAGCGGCCCCTCGAGTCGACTGCGGCTGCCTATCTGTGCACCTTCTCCATGTTCGCGGCCGAGCGAGACAGACAGAACGAGGAGTGGATCAAACACGCACAGGCTTGTTTGACAACCTGACCCCTGGACCATAAGCAAAGGCAAGACAATTCGTTGTCTCCGGGGCCATCCGAGAGGGAGGAGGATGATGATGAGGGCCAGAGTCAAATAGCTGGGGACCACGCGCCACGGGGGAGGTCACCTACTCGACGAACCTGAATGCCAATACCGCGCAAACCACCTCATCTTTCTATTTGACGGCGTCTTATCCTTCCTTAGCCCCGCGACGGGGTCTCCGCGGTGCCGGTTATGCGAGATATGGAGGATGTGGACTGGTTGATGGGAGGACATGTAAGTCTCCGACGCCCGAGGGAGCCGAGAGCCCGACTGGTCTGCTCTGAAGTCCCGAATAGGAAGTGTTGGAGTGGCCTCACGATCATCATGGTCATTTCATGGAAGAAAAGATGCTGGCATGATTGAGAGGTGGATTTGCTGGCCAGGGAGAGGGACGGACGTGAGCACTCATTGCACCAAGCGTGTGGTCTGAGGCGGGGAGGTGGCACGACTGTTAGGGTTATGTATGGGGATGCAGCTGTGTGGTCCGGTTTAGGAAGTTGAGCGCTCATTGCAATTAAGCTTAATGTATTGATTATTATTCTGGCAAGAGAAATGTAATGGATAATAGCATAGACAGACCGCACAAGATGATATATCGAGAGCGAGACAACGTGATACATCGTGAGAAGACAATGTGGGAAATGTATAATTACCTAGTTAATGTCATGAGCAACGAGATTCATTATATCCTAGACAATCAAGCTGAAATGAATACTTTTGTCCTTTTTCTTTTTCTTCGTTTTTGATAAATCAATAGTCGACAATAATAAAATCAATACTTTCCTCTATGTTCTTTTTCTCTTTTTGATAAAATAATGGACAACAAAATGGAAGTCAGAAATTAGGTAACTAACTACTTAATTATCTGTTAGAATAACTATGACGTAACTGATTCAGGTAATTACCAATGCTTTGAGGCTAGCTTTTGCAATCGCGAAACGGAGCCTTAACACCTGTTTCCTGATGTTTCAAGACAGTTGGTGTTCCGAGACCCGTAGAGTGTAACTACTCGTGTCATTATGAAGAAGGGGATTGTTCACTGGTCACACTGGATTAGGTACTGCAGAATCTCTAGCGCGGGGAATGTCTTAGATGCACCGGTGAGGTTCTGCGCGTTTCTAAGATTAGGATCGTGCAGCACGAACAGGAAAACACCAGATTGAGAGAGTGGTCGCAGCAACGAAAACCAAAACACACTCTAGTTAATTAATTTTCATCACACTCAAACGCACTAATTATCTAACCCCAATTTTGCTCCCCCTTTCCCTTCGCGTTGCCGTCAATCATGCCCCTGGCTCACCCTCACCCCCTCAAAATCTTAATCGCACTCCTCAAACTCGCAACCTCCAGCGCCAACCTCTCCCGTTCCCTAACTGTCCCCTCATCCTCCCCAGCCACACTCTCCAACTCCCCATCCGTCAACCCTAGCACTAGCTCCGTATTGAACAACCTCAACGGACTTTCCTTACTATCCAACAGGTAATACCGCACCACGTACTGACAGACCTGGTCCACGAACCTTCTCCGCGAGACGGCATAGTAACTCTGCAGGATATCGTGCACTTGGCGACACACCTGGTCCACGTTCCCGCTTTTGCTGAGCACCACTTGCGTCAGCACCGCTTGGGATAACCACCACCCCTGGACTTTATTCTGCGGCATCTCTGTCGCGTGCTCCTTGATGCGAGCCTCATAACGTGCGCCGCGGGCGGTGTCGTAGTGATCCGAAAAATACTGATTGAGAGTCAGCGGGGGGCCGTGGCATTCCACGTCCAAGAGGAAGCGGGCGTGATCCATGGCGCGGCTGTAAGCAGTTTGGAGACGTTCGAGCAGGAGGGTATCCCAGAGCTCGGTGCGGGTGTGGGTGTCGGGACCGCAGGCTTCGGAGAGGGCCCTGGTGATGAAGGCGTGGACGAGGATGATGGCGGTGCTGGCGTGGCGGTGGACGAGAGAGGGCCATTTGGTCGTTTGGAGTTTGAAGGATTGAGCGATTAGAGGGCCGCCGAACTAATTATTCAGGTCAGTATCCTTGTTTGGCTGGAAAGCTGCGGTGATCAGGGGACTCAGACTTACAGTTCCCAGCTCCGGGCCACGGCTGGAAGTGTACACCTCCTTGATGGCGTCCATGATGTTGTCTTTTGGCGATGGACAAACATACCCATGGTCGACCAAGATATCCCCCAGCTCCGGGAACTCGCTCAAGACCTCTTCCTTCTCTTCGTCTTCGTCCGACTCAGCCTCGATAGTGCAATACTTGGCGTTGAACATGGCGCTGGCGATTCGGTTACCGTTCTCGAAATGCGCCTTGTGCCCCTTAGCCGCAAACTCCTCGGCAAACCTCTCATTCGCCGCCATAACCCTGGTGATCAACTTCATCGCCGAATCCTCGAACAACCGATGTCGACTAACATCATATTTCGCCTCCACCGCATCCGTCACAATCTCCTGAAACTTATTCGCAATTTGCGCCAGATACGCCCGCTGGCTCATGGCATCCCCGCGCGAATGCCCCAACGCTTTCAGCTTCGCTTCCGCATCGTGCAACTTCCGCTGCACCTCCTCCCGCACACGAGGGAATTCTTTGCGAGTAATGGACTGAATCATCCCGCTCAACCGCTGGCGAAGAGCAGTTATACCCACGCGGTTGGAAGACGCGAGTTGGCGCCAGGGGTCAGCTTGGAAGAACCGGCTTTCGGCCGCGTCGCGGTCGGTGAGGGAAGACGAAGAGTCGTCGGCGCCACGGTTTTTGACAATGCAGTAGCCAAGTTTGAGGGAGTTGTCGCCTGTTTTTCCAAGGACGAGGTTGATAATGACTTGTTGATTTGCTTTTTCTGTGGCGAGATCCGGCTTAGTTAGGACGCCCATGGTGCGTTGGCCGTGCGGGTCGGCGTCGGTGGCGAGTTTGAGGATTTCCTGCGTTGCTATGTCGGCGTTGCAGGGGACTACGGCCAGGATGCTGTTGACGTTAGAATTGGCTCGTCTCGCCAACGAGTAGAGGAGGTGAGAGTGGGCAAGGGAGGCTTACATGGTTCGTTCGTCCTTGATGGCCCGCTCGATCATGCCCCGGACGAGGGCCATGTCGGCATCGGTGGTCACGCCGGGCGTAGAGCGGCGGAAGATGCCCGGAACGTCGATGACTGTGAGAGGAGTTTGCTGGGACCCGGTCAGTGAGAAAGAAGAAGAGAAAAAAAACAACGAAATAATTGAAGGGGAAAGGCATACCGTCGGCCCCGAGATCTCAATCTTCAACACGTGGTCACTAAACGTGTCCCCCTTCCCCTTCCCCTCCTCTCCATCCCCCCGAATCCCCATCGCAGCGCTCGCATCCCGAAAGATCTTTGCAAAATCCTCCCCCGCGATGTTCTTCGTCTCCGCGTAAAACCCCCTCAACTTTTCCTTCTGCGCCGCGTCAGCCCCCGCACTGGGGATGATTGAGATGCTAGCCGATTCCTGGTCCACACGCCGACAGGTGATTTGCGTGACATACCGCGTGCAGAGACCCGGCGCGCGAGGGAAATGGAAACCTGTGAGGCTTTCTAGAACTGAGGATTTGCCCGAAGATTGATCCCCAACGACGACAAGCTTAAGGCGAAGGGGGGGGGAGGGTGGTTGGGTTAGTTAGAGGTTGCGAAATGGAGGAGGGCGACGCAGAAGAGGATAGGACAGAGGAACACAAAGAGGAAGCGGATGATACTGAAAAGTACATAGAAGAAGAGCATAAAAAGAAGCACGGGCCCGAAGAACAGCAGGAGAAAGCTGCGGAAGAATAGAAGAAAGAAAAGCAGAGCCACGCAGGGATTCTCAGAGTGGAAAACCTCCGGAACTTGCCCCGGGCGGTAAATTGTTAGAGAAACTCGGGTTGGTGGTACCTGGGGAAGTGAAACGATGTTGCCGATGTTCAGATCTCGCAGGCGGTCGAATTTGTCAAGCAGCGCCGGCGAACTCAACGCCGCGGTCGGCCTCTCGGTTTCATCCTCCTCAAATATGCCCTGATGGGTCTTGGGCATTGTCTTGAGCGTTGTGGTGAATGGTGTAGTTAACAAGAGGTGTGAAGGCTTAAGAGTGACGGGGCTTATGCGAAGGTTTGGGACTGGGAAGCGATGGTGGTGGAGAGACGCAAGATGGGCCTGGACTTGTTAGTGAGGAAGTTGGACCTAAATACACAATTACGTTGCTACGCGTTCAAACTGGCCCGGCAAACGCAGACGTTGTCCTGTCTGATGCTTGGTCGGATATTTGCAGCGCAGCTGCCGACAAACGAACACTGCTGAGGCCAACCGAGCGGAGGAGAGCAGGGCGCGAATCACTAAAATATGGTCCCGAACGCAGCTCCTGAACGGCTATACTACCCGCTCACCCCTTACTTCTTCGTCAAGTTTGTTTACATCTCTTGGCAAGAGTTGGCCACTGTACGTAACAGCCGCGGATTGTCAGTCCTTGGAGAAAACACTCACCACAGCCCTCATCATATTCCGTAAGTCCTTCCTGAGGACTGCTGCGGGTTCATGTTTCCCATTGCTCGTCACGACGGCGGACGTTCAGCGCCAGGATTTTACTGGTCTCGCCTGTCCTGCATTTCCAAAACCTCGAGACCCGGCACCGAGTTGTCGGCCTCAGTGGGTCCGGTAGGGTTTGTCGTTTACGTGAGCAGAACTATCTGGTGTTTGCACGCGGAAAATGTGAGTCCATTGGTTCTGTGGCCGTATTACCTGAGGCCCTTGAACAATGTAATATTTCTTTCTCCATATCTTCAGGAAGCAGCGGTTGAAGCATTTGAGTCTTATCCTCAATTGGAACCATGTCTTCCAAACGGAAAGCACAACCCATGGCGCCGAGTTCCCGTCAGCGGAAGGCAAGAAGCATCCAACACCCACCAAGAAAGTGGCGTCAAATCAAACCACATCTCCGGCGAGCCAAGTTCCGAGTTCCAGCCCCCCCCCAGCCAAGGTATGTGACGGCTCACAAGCATTCTTCCGACATACGTCACCATCAGCCCTTAAAATTTTCAACTCCCACGATCTCTCCCGTCGTACAAACACCCGCCAGCTATCAAAAGCCCCTTCGGCCCTTCGGCAACCACGCATGCCCCAAACTCAAACTTCCCCATCCGGCAGTTCTCCGTCAACCGCCGAACCCAAAAAGAAAACGAGAAAAAACGCCAACTGCCACCCACCCCCTTTAACGGCCCCCAACAACGCCCAGCCCCGCCAATGACAGCGGCTGGCCACCCAACTGCAGAACGTCACGTAACCGCTTACAAATTCCGGATTGCGGGGTGGGAGGGCAAACGTTAAAACTAAACTCCCCGGGGAAAAGACAAAATGTCCGGGTAACGTGGCCGAAAAATGGGATATTGAAGGTGGGAATCGCTCGTTTGAGTAAGTTAGACGATATGCGCTAATGTGGAGGAGGTATGTGTGAGTTGGGGTCTCTGCAGCGGTTAATATCTCCGAGACTTATTTTGGTCGGTTTTGGTCATTTTTGAGGTTTGTGAGGTAACGGTGCGCTGGCACGGTCGCATTTGGGTTTGGGTTTATTGATCACTAGACTCGCAGATGTGCTTGTCGAGATTGAGGTATCGCCTAGCGGTAACTCCATTTCTGAGGGCGGAAACACGGTCTTTTCCCGATACCTTCAGTATGTCATGGCATGGCAAAAGGAGTACTAATTACCTGCCTAGACTGGGACCGAGATACACACGGCAGAATACGCAAATAAACTTTCGTGGCATGTGCAAGGGCGGGCGGGCCGATCGGGTCACACACTTGTTGTGCAGTTGGGGAATGGGTGTGGTTCGTTCGGGGTTGTGTTGGTGTAACAGGATCGGAGGGTACATTTTCCCGGCTCACATTCCAGAAGTGGCAAGTATAAAAGAGAGGTGCCGACCTAAAGCTGGATGCACTCCCTGGCGTCGGTTCTGTCTATATCAACCCCGAGTTCCCCAAATTCGAATCTCAACATCAACTTACCAACGCCTACAAACCGGCCCCTACAAATCTCAACCTAAAACTCACCCCAAACTCACAAAATGCACACCTACATCCCCTACCTCCTCCTCCCCCTAACAGCCCTCGCGGCGCCAACCATCAACCCGATCCCCGTAACCCCCCTCATAACCACCCGCCAACTCAGCCAGTCCTCCACAGCAGCAACCTTCACCGGCACGGGCCAACTGCGCGCCCTCTACATCAGCGGCGACCACACTGATCTGGGATGTCTGACAGCCACCGGGGAATGGACGGTGGATGAGGCACGGTGTGGGGTATTTGTTGCGCAGGATGGGGGGTTTGGACAGTTTACGCTGAGGTCTTTTGGATCTACCGATCGTGGCCAGGATGCGCTGGGGGCGTGTGGGATTGAGGTTGCTACGTTAAGGTGTGGGGAGGGGGTTAAGGGGGGCCTGTTTGGGGTAAGTGATTCGATGGTTGTTGACGTTGGTGGTCTGATTTTACTGTTCCTCGTCTTTACTAACAAGTCAGACATTCGGCACCCAAGGCCCGATCCCCGGCAGGCCGGTGCTGCGTTACTCGCAGTACGGCGTGTTCGCGACCAACGCGGCTGACAGCCCGCCAACGGTGGACGAAGAGCCGCTGCCGATCCATTTCTACAGTGGCAGTGAGAAGGGCAAGTGGGTGTGGCTGGGGTGGAAACAGGTTTAAAGGGGGAGGTCATCAAAAGTGCGGGTTGTAAATGTTGATTGACAATGCTGATGCACACCTTTCCCGCCTCAAAAATTGGTCTTGGTGCCCATTGCCCTCCTCGTCATCAAAAAAGCTTCATCCCGTAGCTCAAACGTCGAGTGTGATACAAGAAACAAACAACTCAATACCTAGCTCAAAAGTTCTGCAACACGTTCGCTTGACCTACGCAAGTAATACGTCATCTCAGAAGAAAATTTTCCCGGCCGCCTTCAGGAACGTGATAGCCTTCATTTTCACATACACGCAAATTATGGCCAGGGAAAGTCGAATCTCTCAGTGTGAGTGGCACTTGCGTCTACACTGCCCCTTCCTCGGCTTGTCCACGCACTTACACCTACCTATAATTATACTCGTACTTGCACTTGAGCTTGTAGCTTCGCTCTCTTCTTACTCGCACCTTCCCCTGATACAGTAACTAGGTAGGTATTTACTTCGCACGTCCCAGGTAATCACACTTGCTGTTGAGAGCGCATAAGTTGGTGCGACTTTCACAAGTGAGAGTTCGCACCTTCGCAAGAGACTGAGGATATCCCTTGCAGTTGCCAATATCACCTCACATTCGGGAGGAGCATCTTAATCCTGCAGAGGGTAACTACACCGGGCCACCAGGCCGCCAGTGTATATAAAGGAGGACACTTCTCACTCCAAGGCCCAAGGGCACAATCACCACAACCCTCACCTTCACCACCGGCCTTCTCACACACCACCCATCGCACCAACATCATCCCTCCCACTAATTAATGCCACTCTGCGAGATATGCGACAGTCCTGCTCACGCACGCCCAGAGTCTAGCCCAGAGTCTAGCCTGCCGAACACATTACCTCGCCCTTTTCCCTCCCCGTCAAGCCAACCCGGTCACCCCCCTTCTCGGTAGGACGACCGATGACGCGAACACACAGCGATTTTCCTCACGTGAAGAACGGCAATGGCTGTCGGAGATGACGATGACTACGATTTATCCTATCAGCAACATGGAAACCGACCCGGTCGAACATTCGGTGCCGCATCGACCGCACCGTCGTTGGCGAGACCGGCTAGAATGGTGACGGACCTCGTACACCTACGACATGTCTAACGATATCGTTGTTCCGACTCGGAGCCGAGAGAGGACTTCAATCGCCGTGGGTTTCAGCTACCCACGAGAGGCGCAAGGGTGCGGAGTGTAGAGGCCCAGTGAGGAGGGTCCGGATCCGCATTCTCACGGTACTTTCTTTCCCCGACTCTTTGCGTCCAAGGCCTAATTAACAATCTCAAGCATACCCGTGCCTTGACCGCTAATACACCCCTCTGGTTCTCCAACATCTCGGCGCAGGTCGTGATGGCTCTCTCTTGACGCGGCTCCCCAGACCCGTACATGAAGCGCCGCCAAAGCGAACGACGGGACGGTACCATGTCTGCGCCATGCGGTTAGGCTCCAGATAGATCTGGAGGAGGGCGCGGGGATCGTTGCGAAGAGGGATCGGAAAGGACATGGCAATCTTCGCGGGGATCTCGAACCACGGGGGGACGGTTGGTTGCTCGAAAGGAACCACGGCGGGGGATTCGAGCATGGGGCTTGAGGGGAATGCTGAACACTTAACATTAGAGGGACAGGTCTAGGATTATTGAATCATTGCGACGCAAAATGTAGTTGTCTCCTTCCTGTACAATTGAACCACGAATTCCCCAAGACTCCTGTTCCAAGGTGACACCGCAGCAGTGGGTGAAAAGCCGTTTGCTAGAGCTCCGTTAGCGTAGTCTGACTAGCACAGGCGATGTCAGGGATAGTCGAGACCCTGGGAAGCTACGTGGTGTAGGTATTCCGCTGTCTTGAAGGTGGGCATCTTGTGGGTGATCTTTTTGATCCTCAGCCAGAACCATCCATCCCTCTGCAGGAGTGTTCTGTCGTCGTTGTTTAAGAAACGAACAAAAAGAAATGAAAAGAAAGTGCACGGTCAAAATGATCGACGTCATGATTAACGGAGCAAATGATAACAGAATTAAGCATATATAAACATGATAATTTGATGGACTAATATGAACTGAAGAAGAAATGGAGGAGAAAAGTGACAACTAGACTCTAAACACCAAAAAGCTCACCCTGGACTGGACGTAGACGGTCCATTCAGCAATGACTTTCGCTATGTGTCACCCCTAAATGTCTTCTAATGGCATGGTCGAGCATCCTCCTCGGACGGTAGCCAGGTCGTATCCGGGTCAAGCGATGACACTCAGCGCGCTTTGTGCCTAATCCCTGCAAGGATGCGTAAGATGCCGCAAAGGCAAACCGTCGAGCTTGATGAGAGCCGTGGAGAGCTAAAACTTTCCATCTCTCTTGACATAATCGGTCTCGTCAGCCACTCGTCTTTCCTCTTTAACCTCTGGCTTGGGCTGCTAAGAACGGCGGTCCGTATCTGGGCTGCGGAATCGGGCAAGGAGATCTGGAAGCTTAAGGGCCATGGCCCATCAGACCCGATTTGGTGAAGCCAGTGGTCCGGGGTTAAGGATTCTGATTTTACCGCTCGATTTCGGCGGCTCGCTGCTTGAACCAGTTGACCTGGAGATAGTCCCGGCGGCCCGATCCCATTTGCAGCAAAACGTGTAGTCTTACGGGACGGGCGAACACGGTTAGCCTGGGTTCTTGGAAAAGCAACCTCTTGGCTAACCCGAAGGGTGGAGGACTCATGGTTGGGAGGTTTTCGTTGTTTTCGCCGCGGGAGTCCGTTCTATTGTCCGGTTTGGAAAAGTCACTTTTGACATGTGGCGACGGATGAGATGCTGGGAGTGTCAGGGTATGAGTTTCGGGAGATTCAGTGTTGATGTGGAGGATTTTTGAAAATTATCACCAGAGAGTGTTGTTTAATTATATACCGATTTCGAGTACGAATGCCGGTGCCCGTAGCATCTAACCTGCGGGCTGCTCGCGCAGTCCGTCAGGCCCTGCAGGTTGCGTATGGGGCCCCGTTCGGCCGAGCTGGGAAATCCTCTCTAGGCAAGTTACGGCGGCAGTTTGAGCAAAAGGAAATAGAGCCAGGGGAGGCGGGTAGGTGAACACGGCGGCGCGAAGGGGTAGGTCGAGGCATAGTTACGGTTGGATTCGAACCGAACGCAGAACTGAACGCAGAACCGAACGCAGAACCGGACGTAGATTACCCGGGTGCGCCGTGGCGTTCCAGTACGCGTGCCCCAGATCAAATGATGAGTATGAGCCGATTCCTGGGTGAGACAAGTGGTCGTGCACATCCCTCAAGTATGTGATGTTGATACCAGGGAGATTTTCATGGACGTTGCTGTAGTTCAACGTGAGTCGGGGTTCGTCCCACTCGCCTGCTCCATCGAACTTGTCTACCAGGTCGGGCTCAGCCGACCAGGTTGTGGTCTCTTGTAACGGAGGGACGGGAGCTTGGATCTCTAACCGCCTTGTTGGGTACACCAATCACCGGGAGCTTCACTGCGGCGGTCTCCCTGGGTCGACCGATATGCCAGCCAAGGGTGTGATTCAGCCGCGGCCAAAGAGAAGCGTCATTGACAAAAAGCCCCTCGCCGCGATGAATGTAAATAGGGGCGAGTCGCCCATCGCGAAGAAACACATCGCTGGCTGCTTTGCTGGCGGTACCGGTGGATGGCCGGGAAGGTTACGAGCTGTTCAAGTTTCAAATGATGATCAGTGTAGCACACGAAATTGTGCACCTCGTCAACGTTGCCGATTTCATGTCTAAGTTCATTCCCTGATTACTCTGGGAAATACCTACTTTTAGGTTGCTCTCGACGTTGCAATTCTCATAATGGAATCAAGACATTTCGTAACGGCCAACACCAAACGTGTCGATATTGAAAGATCCGGATAGGGGGTGGTGTAATTCTGATATCTTTACTCCCTGTCCTCCACGCTTCGTAGCCTTCCTCTTCCACTGTCTTGTAAATATCTCACTTTCGTTCTCATCAGCGTCTCCGTTCTATCGGCGCCGATTCTCGCCTCATCACCGTAACCGTTAGAACCTCTGTCTTTCTCATTTTTCCTTTTTTTTTCAAAAAAAGGAAAGAAACAACAACAACAACAACAACAAACCACGATAGTTTTCATCAGTGTTCGGGGCTCGGACCAAGTCTGTTCTTGCAACACCTATCGGTGCATCGGCGTAACGGCCAACCCGAGCCTGTCCCCTGGAGCTAACTCAGGACCATCCAGTGTGGGGGTGGGGCCTGTCGATCCCGGGCGCCGAGGAAGCCGAAGCCGAACCCGAATTGATGTGGGTTTTGGTAGCGGGCACTGGGATATTTCGGATGTGAAGTTCTCCGTTGACTTATCAGTGGGTTTTTGTTTTGCTTTTGAGATTCGTGATGGAAGGGGTCGTGGGATTGGGTTGATATTTCTTTTTTTTTTCTTCGTGCCTTGCGAGGGGTTCCTTGATTCCACCAATCCATCGTGAGGATTGTTATCTGCCAGATGTGCCAAGCTTCTCGTCGTCATATGGATCCGTATGGAATATGGATACCAGCATGACGTGAGAATATCAGATGATTTACAATCGGGAGGCTCTTGCGAGGCCATGCAAACCCATGCGCGGTTCGATAACGACAACACCGGAACAAACCGTCTGACAATCCCGCCGTGCTTCCCGGGATTGACAGGCACATATTCCTCTTCTGGGAAGGGTGCACCGGCCTCTTTGTTCCGGAGGCTGCGCCGTACCAGCTGAGTTCGGTGCATCTTAAGTCGCCTCATAAGGGACTTGGCTGGCTGAAATTGACGAGTCGTGCTCAATATCATGGAACAATATCATATTCGGGCCATCTTATGACATGAGCAAACAAGGTGTTGACAGAAAAATACGGGGCGGCCCGGGAAGATGCCAATGCTTGGTCAATGCTTGACGCTCTCGGGGCGAGTTTCTTGTTTCTTCAAAGGGAGGGGTCGTGGGGAAACACGTGAAACGCAGCCTCACAAACGGAGAAATTGTGGCGCGATCGTCAAGTGTGGGGTGCCGAAGAAACCGAACCCGAGCCGGAGGTTTTGGGTCCACTTGTGGTGCGAGGTGAGAGAAATGTCTTGCTTTTTGTGTTGTCTCATCGCTTTCTTCAGCGATGATGGTGTCCTGGTATGGCCGGCGACTCGGCGCGCACGGCCGATTGCCGGCCTTACCGGGCGTGATTGATGGAAACCTTGATTTTGAGTGTTCTTTTGACCGTTCCCCTTCGGAACAGGACGGCTCAGGGCCACTGTGAGGTTCTAAATGTCCGTTGGACGTCGCATCGTACCGAATTTCACCACGCGCCCAGCCAAATCGCCTTGTTTTATTCGTAGGGCGAAGAATATGAGTTATGCCGGTAATATGGAGGTCTATCTTTCCAACCACGTTTTCTTTCTGGCCTTCGCGGGCTATCCGCCCGTGAACCAAGCTCAACTGCCGCGCTGTGGAGCCCTTGGCCCCGGACCCAACAGCGCGTTCGGCCGCTCGGAAGCCAGACCGGAATCGTCCAGACTCCATCTTGCCATCCCGCTGCATGGTTATGGCATTCCCTGTTTGGGATGGAACTTTGGCTGGTCCACTGTAACTGTCTTGTGAAGGTGGACCAAAACGTTAATTCCTGGATCCGAACAGTCGTGTGAGAATGTGGAGGAATGTCTTGGTGAGTGCACTGTCTTGGATGACCGGAACTTTTCCTTGTTTTTCTTTTTTTTTCTCCGAGGTGGTGTAACGCTCGCAGGGCTCGCAAGGCTCTGGAAACCTGGATGAAGTGCCGGGTTTGCTAGGCCGATGGCCGGCGACCAGTGGTCCTTGGTTGGTGTTCCTAGTTTGGTGTTCCTAGTTTGGTGGAAACTGGGAGCTGAAGACTTTCCGAGAGGAGCGGGATTGGACGGACCAAAGTCCGACGTCCACTAGGGTAGGATTGGAAGCCGTGAGAAGTATATTGCTTAGCGAAATAACGTTATGCTCCCACGGCAACAAACTCGGCTGGTGAGGCTCGCTCGCAAGATCATACTGATGACGGGCATGGTTTCAAGTTTCAACTTTTACATACACGCATTGGCCATTGCTATCCCACTTCCCAACTACCCCTTCCCAGACAGCCACCTGCCCGAAACCGGGCTCTGCCTTGTTAGACCATTTCCAAAAGCGGCAACACAATCGTGGGTGTTTCCCAGCGCGGATCGATGGAGCAGCGGTGGAGTGAGGGCACAATGGACTCCCCTTCCCCGCGCCATTTCCCCAGATTCTGTCGACTTCGCAAGATCACGTCTCGGATCCGTGCCGGGGATCGGCAGCCGAGGTTTGGTCGACGACTGCATATACTATGTAAATACGCGACACGTGCTTGCTTATTGACTCTTGCTTTGTTCTCTGTATGGACGGGCAACGAGTCACGATAGCCAAACCACTGTCTGGAAACTACACACACTCCTGACTGTAAACCCAAGACCCCCAACCTGGTGACCGTGAGCTGGTCTCCCACCCCCCGGCTCCGCGGTTCCCGTTGGCTCATCCCCACTGAGACTACCACCTCACATCTCCCACCTCACATCTCATGGCATCCATCCATCCATCTCTCGGACTCCCGGCCGGGCCCGGACACCGCGGACGTCTGGTCCCGCGTCTGGCGAAAGAGAAGAATATCTGGGCGTTTATAACCATGGACACACCCACGCGTCGGTCCGCCCCTCTCTCGCGTCTGTTCGGTCGGTCGGTCGGTCGTACTGCGCTTTGTTTGCTGTCGTGCTGACGTGACGTGACGTTACCTTAACTCTCTGTGTTTGGTTAATTACCTGTTTTGGATCCCAGCCTGTGGTATTTTGTTGCCTTTGTTAACAAACATGGCCCGTCTTTCCGCCCTCGCTGGCGTCGCGCTGGCCCTGGTGCTGGGCAGTGGTGTTTCGGCTGCTGCTGGTGAGGATTACACGGCGGCTTGCAAGCAGATTGAGGGGATCATTTCGGGTGCTAGCGAGGTTGTTTATCCCAGTACGTCCCCCTTATCTCTTCTACTCTTCTGCCCCCCCCCCCTCCAAATTCAATACACCATCTGACAGATACCAGTAAGCGTGGCCCGCTACACCTCCGCCCAAGCGCACTGGTTCTGGTCCTCCAGCCAACAAGCCGCCTGCGTAGTCGACGCCGGCTCAGCGGAAGACGTATCGCGCGTCCTTCAGCTCATCGCACGCACCCGCACCCCCTTTGCCGTCATCTCGGGCGGGCACTCCACCAACAAAGGGTTCTCTAGCACGGAGGGTGTGCATATTAGGCTCAAGGGGCTGGATCAGGTGGTGTTGGCGGGGGATTTGAAGACGGTGGAGTTGGGGTTTGGACAACGGTGGACGGATGTGTATAGTGCGTTGCAGGACTCGGGGGTGAATGTGGTGGGTGGACGGGTGCCGGGGCCTGGGGTCGGGGGGTTTAGTTTGGGTGGAGGGTTTTCGTGGTATGTGTCGTCTGAGGGTGAGAGAAGGAGTGAGAGGGTGTGTATGAACGAAGCTAACATGACTAGGAAAACTAACCAGCACGGCTTGACCACGGACACTATCGAGTCGTTCAACGTTGTGCTGCCTGTGAGTTATCCGAGATAGACATACTCCTTGCTGCGTGGATCTGACCAAGATAGAACGGCACCATCACAACCGCCTCGGACGAGGTCAACCCCGACCTCTTTTTTGCCCTCCGCGGCGGCCTCAACCGTTTTGGCATCGTCACCTCGGCTGTCTACCGCACTCATCCTCAACCGGCCAAGGTTTGGGTAAGTCTCTCTCTTTCTCGCACGAATATCTCTCATTAGTTAGGATCCCATTAATAAACAAATACAGGGCGGCCTCCGGGGTTACACAACCGAGCACATCCCCGCCCTCCTCAACGCAACCAACCACTTCCTGCAAACCAACACCGACCCCCGGGCCCAAGTCATCACGACCCTCGACTCCGACGCTTTGGGAGTCACCTCCCTAACCCTGCTCTTCTACGACGGCCCCAACGAGCCGACGGCCTTTGAGGCATTTGATGCGATCCCCAGCTGGTTTGACACGGCGGCGCCCAAGACGTATGTGGAGTTTGTGAATAGTTTCCCCGCAAGGGTGGTGCAGAATGTTAGGGGGACGTTTGGGTCGTTTTCGACGACGACTTTTACGGAGGGGTTTTTGGAGGCTGTTAAGGGGGAGTTGGAGGTGAGTTTTGTTGTTTCTTGCTTTTGAGTTGAGAGAAAAGGGAAACGAAGAGAGAGGCAGAAAGAAGCTGACATGAGTAGCGCCTTGGGAAACTGTCGGCCTTGCACAGCGGAACGATGGTCAGCATCGAGCTGGAGCCGTTCATGAAGTACGGCCAGTACGACGCCGGCGGTGCTTTTCCGCATACTGAGTCTCTTCTTCCGGTACGTTTCCTCAAATTTCTTGTTTTTTCTTCTTTCTTTTTGTGCTCGATTATTGACCGCGGGCAGCTCAACTACTACTTCGCCTGGACCAACCCCGCCGAGGACGACTTCTGGTACGACCAGCTGGCGCAGTCGACTGCCACGGTCAAAAAGGTGGCGGCCGCCGAGGGGATCTACCAGGAGGACTTTCTGGAGTACAACAACTACGCCGTGGCCACCACGCCGTCGGAGAAGCTGTATGGGGCCGAGAACCTGGCCAGGCTGCGGGCTATTCGGGATGTGTATGACCCGGAGCGGGTGATGGATTTGACGGGGGGGTTTGAGATTTGAGGAGTCGAGACGTAACTTTGTTGACTTGAAGTGGATGTAACAATTGGATATCATATCAATATATTCTAGAAAGGCAGTCGGAATTGGTATCCTTGGGGTTAAACATAATATTTCAACCAGAATCATATATAAATCGTCTATTCTCCCCATCTTGAACCTCTATAATGCGTATTTACCCCCCACTCACCGCCTCCCCCATCTTCATCCCCTCAACATCAACAACCTCCCCCTTCTTCCACGCCCCGTCCCATATCCACCACACCACCTCCCCCTTCACCCCCTCACTCACCATCCTCATCCGCTCCCCATCACTCCCCAACACCAACCCTAACACTCTCTTCACCTTCCCCCCTTCCGGCGTTACCGTCTCAGTCAACACCCACCTCCCCGAATCAGTCCCTTCCCTCGGCGGCTCCAACCGGTCTGCTAGATCCGAATTATCCCGTGTCCAATGCTGGATATTCCCCTCTGCGTCAGCGACGACGAGCTGAAACCCCCCGACGGACGTCTCATTCTGCGTATTAAAATAATCCTGTATCATCACCGGTACTATCTCCTCCCCTTCAGCAGCCGTAAAACCATCCCCGAACACCTCCCCAGCAACCCAAACCCCATCTGGCCCGCCCGGCCTCCAAAATAGTTGTAACTGCCCGTCGACACGGACAGCAACGGTGTAGAGATGGCCGTAGGAGGGTGGAGAGTTGGGGGTGGTGGAGGCGGAAGCGTAAAGGTCGAGGTGGGTGTTGGATTGGAGGAGGGAGGGGCCGGAGTGGGAGATGGAGGAGGGGGGGGTGAGGGTTGAGGTGTGGGACCAGGTGGTGGTGTGGGGGGGTTGTTGGTACTGGGGGGTGTTAGCATTTACTTAGGAAGTTTGAAAGGGGAACGGAACGGAACTAGGGGGTTCAGGGAGGTCGGTAGGGGTGAATTGAGGGAGTAAGGGGGAATGGCTGAGGGAAACAGTAGCGTTGAAGGGCATGGTAGGGTCGTGGGTATGAAAAGGGGTAAAGTAAACAAAGAGAAAAAATACCTCATTCAAACTCCCATCGGCATGCCTGACCACCACAATCAACTGCGACCCATCGCTCTGCACCAACCCCGGCACGCCCTCCACCCCGTCAAGGGTAGCAACCTGCGACCACGCGGCAGCTGTCTGGTTAAACACCCACTGCACCAACGTCCCCTTCTCATCGACCCCCACAGCGTGAAAGTCTCTGTTCCACGACGTCCCAATCACCGCCGGCGGACTGGTCAGCGCGTTCTCACTTTTTATTTCAGCCACTGAACTCCATGTCCCAGTATCCCCATCCCGCGAGACATGCACGAACCCGGAAGAGTCGGAGTTTGGGAGGAGGAGTTCGGCGTTGCGGTGGGTTTCGCCGTTGCCGGATATTAGGAGACTGCCGCTTTGGTGACGCCGGCGTGTCCAGGGGTCGGGGTTGACGTTGACGAGGCCGTATTTGGTCCATGAGTCGATGTTGGCTTCGTCGTAGCTGGGACGGTCAGTCACCAAAAAAAACAAAAAAAGGAAAGAAAAAAAAAGGAAAAGAAAGAAACGAAAAAAACCTACGCAAACCACACATACCCCGCCTCCCCCCACCCCGTCCCCCAACTATTCTTCATCAACCACGCCCCCCTCTCATCATCATACCCAACCACCAACGCCAAATGATTCCCATTCGTCGCACTCACCCCATCCCACCTATACACCTCCCCCTCCTTCCCGGGATGCCACCCCCCAAAATCCTCATACAACACAAAAGTAGCCACCACCGGCCCATACCGATCCACCCACCCCTTCTGCTCCCCGACCGTCCCCAGCCCCTGGTAATACGGCACCTGCGTCGCCCTCCCCCGTCTATCCCCACACGCCTCATAAGCATGATCACTATCCCGGTACGGATCACACGGCCAGTCCGCTATCCCGGGCGGTTTCAAACTTGTGTTGTTCACGTAAATATCGCCCTGCCCGGCGAGCCAAGCAAGTGTTTCCTCGGCGTTGCCGACGCTGGCGCAGGCGGCGCCGAGACCGTCGTGCACGTCGGATTCGGACCGTTTGGACCAGGGGCCGTGTTCGATGCGGATTTGGGATTCGATGAGCGCGGTTACGGCGAAGGCCCAGCAGGCGTTGCAGGTGCGTTGGTCTTGGGGGGTTGTTATGAAACTGGTGGAGTTGCGGGTGACCCAGGAGACGGAGAGGGGGGGGGTATAGTCGGAATTATCGTTCGCTTTGAGAGTGTTGGTGCGGACGGTAGGGGAGTTGCGCGGGTAGTTTGGCGGTGGGAGGGAGGACCAGTCGACGGGGGGCGTGTCGGATGCTGGGACGGGTTCTGGCCAGGGGATGGCTGCTCGGCGAGCGATTGGGTTGGCCGTGGCTGTGGCCGTGGCCAGCAGCGCAAAGGCCCAGAGCGCCATGGTGATGGGATCTACACGAGAGATCTGGGATGATCTGAGATGAGGAAGATCGACGGTGAAGATCAGAGCGAGATCCGGGATACTCGTATTATTATTACTATTTCTCACACAGTCAAAAAAAAAACCAAACCCGGAACGAGTTCGAAATCATCATTCCAGCCGACCCGGTTCCCAACTTCCGCTCCATCCCTCAATATCACCGCGTTTCTAACCTCCGCCTAACCTCCGCACCCAACCCGGCATTCACAACGGTGATCCCTCGGCGGAACCCGGTGTCCGGTGCATTTGCTGTCTATCCCACCAATCAGACGCGGCCCACCCCGGATTTCGCGGCACTCCGTGTTGATCTCCCGAAATGCCGGGGAACGGCCGGCTCCACTTGGCGTTGCAGTGTCCCGCGTAATCAACACGTTTAGCCGGTCAGGTCTCAAGGTGGCACGTCATATGGGAGCATGGAGCGGGAATTTATTCTTTTGGGGAGTTGGAATGTTGGCGGGATATTAATGAGTTTGGATTGAAATTTCAAGATTGGGGCCGCCTTTAAGAAGGAAGTGCAACTTGGCCTGCAATCGACCCGGTACAAAAATGGTGGATGCCGGCGTTAATTGCTTTACATTGAGCTGTTTGGTATTAATTGCAATCAAGCTTCCGGGGGGAGCACGGATGCGTACGAGAACGGAACAAGGAGCGCAAGACAGCAGGAAGAAACCAGGCCACGAATATTAAGCAGCTTACGTATTAGTATATTAATCTCTCAAATCCTTCCTCCCATGTGTGACGGCCCGAATGCCAATGTCGCATCTCAAAGTTAGCCTCAGCCTTAACCCTAACCCTGACTTTCGAATCAAAGTTAACCCATGTTGGTGAGAAACCAACCTTCCAAATTGAAGAAGCCATGGAGTAATTAATGAGAGGTTAAGCTGTCGCGCCGTGAACAGTAACAACTCATTAGAGCCAGGGTTCTTCCAGGCCTTGGGTTATCTTGCAGATTGTTTGGTTTTGTATCAAGAAAAAGAATCAAAAACATACAACACCGGGGATTCCCCAGTCGTCACCGACCTGAGTACTAGTCCAGCGGTCAAGTGGTTTATCTATTCGGGGAAGAGGGGTCAAAAAACAGAGGGTCTCGGGATGCAAAAACGGGCGCCTCTTTTCTCCTGTTAGTGCCGTCCGTTTCAATAAAACGGTGAAACTGGCTGTGCCGTGCAAACCGTTCTCGCCTATGCAGCAGGTGCAGCCCAGCGGCCAATCAAGGGCAGAGCCCCGCCTTCAGGCAGACGAGCTGAAAGACACCCTGCCCGGGCCACTTCAGGGATGGTCAGGGCTGCAGCGGTCCGGAGAAAGCCCGCGATGGTCTTTGCTTATCCTGAGAGTTTGATGCCACACGTGACCCAACTCGTCCGAGGTGGTCCACCACTCGCCGCTCACTTCTGAGGGAGGTCGAGGCGGGTTGGTCTGAAGGAAGTTGGGAAACAACTAATTACATTGCCGTGTCCTGGAGGAAGCTCTCGAGGGCCAAGATTCTGTAGACTTCCGGAATATCACGCTGTTCCGCACGCTCAAGGCATTCCACGGCGACGACCTTGTGCTAAAGGAGAAGGTGGACGACGGCATCTTCCTCCAGCCTGCACTAGGAGGCGACGGGCGGTCATCAAAGATAATTCTGTCGGGAGCGACCTTGATGCCTTCCGCGCTTCCTACAACCCGGTCTGCGGAGGAGTGGGACGAGATATAGAACCTTACGAGCACATGGCGGAGACACAGGCGCTTGACAAGTGTGAGCGCCTTTATAGCTCGGTTACTGTAGATACTGTCGGGGATTTTGCAGCTGCGTAATGACTTTCTTCCGGTGTTGGCTTGGTGTTTTTATAAGGCGTGAACCTCTACTCAAGATCATCTCGGATGATTATATCGCATTATTCCGCTTCGTCGCGCCCTTTACCAAATCTGCACCTCTCTCTCCCGGCTGAATATATCTTATGTTGCTGCAACTACGTTACACCTGGAAGATGGATATTCCGGTTCTTATCGAGGCCAAGGACCGGCAGCAAACCTCAGATGGTGGCAAGAAATGTCTTTCAGAATTGCGTCAGGGGCGAAAAGTAAATTATATAAAGTAAAGACGGTTCCCAGGCCCTTCGCTTAAACAGAGATAATAAAATATGTAGAACATTGCAGCGATTGTAGAAAATCCATCACTCTGTAAAAGCAAACCGAAAGAACGTCACTCGGCCAGAGCTATGTCCTAGGATGAGTGTGTGACCATGAACCGCCACACATCTTGCCCGATAGTCGACGGGAAGCCAAAGAACGCTCTTCCCATCTCTTATAACCCAATTATCGCCGACGAAGAGCAAACTACTGGCGGGTTTCTGGCCTCCAGAGCTGCTTGAAGCTTCGGAATTTACGGTTATGCTCAGCAGCCCTCGGTCTGTCTCGAGACATTTGCCGTCCGGCGAGAACGCTACTGTCCTAACTGGGCCGCTATGCCCCTTGAGCGTTTGCCGATGTACGCCGGTCGCCGTCTCCCAGAGCCGGATCGTCTGATCGCCCGAAGCCGACGCGAGCGTATTGCCGTCCG